TTTTATTTCAATCAACCTTCTCCTTTTATAGTTACACTTTTCTTTCTCCGGGGCGCGTCACTCAACCGGAGAGAACGAGAAAGAACACGACAAAGAGGAAGAGAGAATACACATGACAATGAGGAAGAAAGTCGTTATGTACATTGATTAAGATAGAACGAGTGCTTATATCGGCACAGCGCCATTGCTCGAGTTCTTTGAAACTAGATGAAGAAGCAGGAGTACAATGTTCAAGACCATCTAGAAATGTATTAATTTGATTAGCTAGTGGAACTAATTGAACATTGAGTTGATCTTTGTGTTCTTTCAAATGATCGAGACATAGATTCTTTTTGCAACAGTGACATGTAGCGCACGAAGAAGTTTCACATTTTTTGATGGCGCATGCTGGGGCCTGTGTCGCCATCAATACACGTGTGACTACTGGGGGAAAATGACTTGAAGAAAGAAAATTGTTGATACAACGTGCGAATAAAATGTTCTTCTGTTCTTTCACTTTCACTCGTTGTATTATTTTGTTTACAACTGAAAACAAGAATGATAGAGTTAAAATTACATGGTAAAATAGGATAAGCAAAAATTAAAGTCTTCAAATAGTAGGAAGCGATGATTGAAAGAATTGTATGATTTTTTCTGCATTGAAATGTGAGGCTCTCTTTTAGGGATGCTTTTAATTAATCTTTATTTTATTTTTACGCTCAGTCAATGATGAGTTTTCTTTAGATTAATCGATCTTCTGTCGAGAGCTCACATAAACAGTTATTTTACTTTGTTTAAATAAATGAATAATCAATGATTTTTAACAAGATTAATTGATGAAATCAGTAGATTGAAGAGAATAGTAGATTTATGTAAATAATGATAACAGTGAAGAAAAAACAATAAATCTGACAAACAAATATAAGGATAAATCCATATATATTCGAACGAGAAAACTAAACAACGCAATAACGAAAAATCATAGCTAAACCAAAAAGATCACATGATCTCAATCATGAGAAGGATTATCCATATCAAATAGAAAACAAGTAAAGAAGACATATTTCAATGATATGGATAAGTTAGCGTCATAAAGTGACATCTAGTGACGCTAACATGAAAGACGAAGCATTTATGATGTATTTTTAAATTATTATTCATTTTAATGGGACCGAATTCTATAGCGAGCGTTTAGAATCAAATGGAGGATAGTATACATTGTATGTTCATGTCATGATATAGTTTTGCTTGTGAGTAGTTTTAAACATGGATTATTACGTTTCTTTTCGTTTAATACAAATGATTGTTGTAAATTAAGAGTTTCGTCTTGTAAACAATGTTTTTATTTGGTTACTCAAACAATTTTTATTTATTTCAACTGCCGTACAATATTCATCAAAATAGTAAAAGCATATATTTGATTTCAATGTCCAAGGTCAAACTATACCAATATGAGAGAAATAATACGCAACTTCTTTGACAATAGTTAACATATGAGATCATGCAATTAGCTATAAATTAGATAGTAAGTTGACAAAAAGAAGTAATAGTAATCGACAGCGAGCAACTACTTGGTTGATTTCAGATATGAACCAAATTTCCCATAAGATTTCTTATCACTATTGATGTTGGTGTAAAGATAATACCTGCTTGTTCACTGATAACAACTTTTAGTAAAGAAACAATGTAGTATTGAAAAGAAGTTTCATATAAAACTGTACGTCACTTTTTTGTTAGAATAGATATGATTAACGATAATTATAATAGAACCGAAACAAAGAATTAAGAAATTCTACTCAATTTTGTTCCCGCTTTTCTATTGTAATTAACTTTTTTCTTTTCCTGTTTCAAATATCTGCACCTTAAAAAAAAAGAAAAATATGACAGATTGTTTTGTTTCATTCATAAAAATTGTGTCACATGGTTTGGGTAAGAAAAAAAACGATAGGATTTTTCTGTTTTGATTTTAAGCATTTTCTTTTTGTTTTGACATCGATAAAAATTCTAAAAAAGTTTTTCATTGAAACATTTTATTAAGTGTAAATGATTTATTTATTTTAAATAATTAGAACCACTTTTTTATTTCATGTATAGAATGGTAACTAATACAAATCATCCTCAAGTTATTTTCATCGGTATTGCTGGCCCATCAGGCTGTGGTAAAACAACTTATGGCAGACATTTAGTCGATCATCTTCGTTCACCGTTACATCTCATTGAATTAGATCACTTTTTTAATCATGGAATTTCTATTGATCATCCTATCTTAGGACGTATTGAAAGTCAGGAAGAGCCTGGTACATTAGATATTCAACAGTTATTAAATCTTCTACGACATATTAAATATGAACCAGAAAAAACGACTCGATACCATCTCGATAGTGTTTCTATCAAACATCAAAATAATATATTTATTATTGTCGAAGGATTTCTTCTCTTTGCTTTATCTAATGACTTAACCAATATGTTTGATATTCGAATATTTTTTGAATCAACATTATCTGAATGTCGTATGAAACGTTATCGTCGCCATTCAAGAATTAGTGATAAAGTGTCTGATGAACAAATACGAATTCCAAATAAATTTCAACAATGGTTTGATCATTTAGTTTGGAATGAATATTTAAAGAGACGAAATTTACAAATATCAAAAGCTGAAAAAATATTTCAATTCGATGACTATAAAAATAGACAGTACATGTAAATCGATGATTATATTGATAAACGTCTACAAGAGCTTACAGATTAAAAATAAATTTAAGCTATATGTATTTCTTGCAGGCTAATAATCTTTTTTTTTCGATTATGTCATCATACACATATACTATTTACGACTTTAAACTGTTTTTTTTTCTTCGCACATTGGCAGTCGTAAAAAGATAAGCTAAAACGAAACATAATACAACATGTGAATACGTCATTATTATTTTCATGTACCACCAAACAACACACTATGTCACAATCTCCTAGAAACAATTCATCGAATGGTGGTGATGGGTTTGAATGTAGCGAAGATAGGAAATTCATCGTATTTGTAGTTTCATGCGTAGTACTTTGTATGTTATTTTGTTTTACGTTCGTGGTTACATGCTATCAAAAACAACGACACAATCGTATTTCTTCACAGCAGTCTCCAAATATACAAATGAATAATCCAAATATTGACTCATATGAACCACCACCACCACCGTACAGTGGGCATTTTGGATCACGAGCGCCACCATCCTATGATCAACTCAAATTTTGACTCGTCGCAATATATGTTTAATCAATCTGTATTAATTATAAATTTGAATAAGTTTAAAACTCTTGATTTAAATAAAACTGAGCATAAGAATTAAAATCAAATAATGTTTCATACGCGTGAGATCTTTCTGTGTTCATAAAGACATATGTTTTAGAACCTAGTAGAGTTCACTAGAATATTTGATTAGGAAATCCTATTTGTCTTAAGAAACTAAGCATAGGAAAAAACAAAAGGACTTCGATTGTTTATATATTTTTGAATACTATTTATTGAAAGATTTTATAAAAATACGTGTTCTCTTAAAGTATCATATATTTTTGTTTTGGTCAATAATACTTTATGCTACTAGATAAACTACTTTCGTATTGCATCGGTCAAGAATTGAATAGGGAAAGGTTTAGAAGCAATATGTTTCAAAGAAAAGAATTCTTATCATATGATTGGTAATATCAGCTACATCATATGCTACATTTTAATCCTATAGTGATAGGACTAACAGATTTTCTTCTTCTAATTGATCTCTATATGCATTCAAATTCAATCTGACTTAAAATCAAGAATTTTGTTGCTTATCTATTCTTTATAATAGAATACTTAGTTACTATCTTCTCTTAGCAAATTTAAAATGTAGATTTGTTTGCTTATAAAAATAACGCTTTTGAAGAAGATCATTTTTCGATGTTGGCATCGAAGAATTTATTAGTGTATAAATTGAAATATAAATAAATGAAAATAAGTATTCTACATACGGTACGTGCTGAATGCAAATCATTCTGTGTCTCATTAAAAGCGAAAATTTATCTAGATTTTATTTAGTCTAGAACATAAATCAATATTATTTTTATATGATAAATTTTGTTTTGAGAAGAAAGAAATACATGTTATTGATATTGAATAATATGATTGAAGAGATTTCATATGAATTATTTTATAGACTAAATATTTGAAAATAATGAATATTTCACATTACAGATATCATTCGAAAAACTTTCTATGGTTATAATTATTAAGAAAAATAAATAGAATACTTTGGATCAATCAGATACATATCTATTATTTGAATAATAATAGAAACAAGTACTTATAATTTTATTTACATATTCTGAGATGGTATACCTTTTCTATTGTAATCGTTGGTCATAAAAGCGAAAAAGAACATTGTGTCAAACGCTCTAATGATTCGTGATTTTTAAAAATATATACTCCAATGTGATTAATCTACAATAGAAAAGATCTAATGATCTGTAAATACAAACGAAGACTTTCTTAATCTTTCTTCATTACTGTCTGTTTGGCAAAAACAAAATGGACAAAGCTAAAAGTCAATCGCATACAAACAGTTGTATACAATGCTTTTGCATAGTACTATTGATAGATACTCATATTATAATCGATAAATCCATCAGATACGTAAATAAGCATCAGAGTTCTCTAAGTTAAGTGTAATCTTTTATATTCTTATTATTAATTATACTGATGTAGAAGCTTTTTTGCATCAGATTTTTATATTATCTATATTATTTGAATTTTGCTTGATTTTATTTAACATTGCTTATCACGTGAAATTTCTATTTCTAATGATATTGTCTGAATTTTTGAGACAAAACAAAAATGAGAATAAATAAAAATCAAAAAAATAATAAAAGTATACAAGAAAGTTATTGATTGTCAGCATGTTTATAATCAGTATTGATGGAGAGTTCACGGTCTGATTAGTTTCCATTCAATGATTTGTCATCTAGGTTCGTTTCGCTTCTATTGCTCATTTCGGTTACCTTACATTTGAAGCACGATTCATTAAATCAACAGTTAGTGTTAATCTTTACCAGATTCTTATGATTAGCCACCTACAAAAATTGATGCTCATATGGTCATTGAACGTACAAAAGTTATATATTAATCTAATTTAAGACAAATGACCTGTCATCGATCATTGTCATGACATACATATTGAATAAGAAAATTGAACAAGGCAGAACATGCAGTTCATTGATACTTGACGACCAATGTACTGATAATTGATAATTCAGTAAGACAAAATCGAGAAAAATAATGAATAGACATAATATATAATATGCTTGTATATTATAAAATTCTATTTTTTGTCTCTTCTATATGAAATCTAAGTAAGAGCTGTTGTATTTGGTAGCTAATATGAGAATCTAACTGTAAGAGAGTATTGAATCATTGATATCTATAATAATTATAAAGTACCTACTAATAATATCAAAGAGAATTCAATAAGATTTTGATCGACCGCAGCTGAGCGAATGATATTATAAATTAAAATTCATTTTAATCTTGCCATGATGGGCGTATATATATGATTACGACAGTAATTTTTATTTATCCACAATACTTAACGTTTCGCTAAGTGGTAGCTGCATATTTATGATCTTCTGGAATAATTTATGTAGAAAATGCGTGTTAGTAATTTTACATAATTTCAATTTCTTTTCAATTACTTCTCTTTAACAATGTTGACCATCAACGATTCTATAGAAATCTATAGAAATGATGTATTCAAGCAAAGAGAAACTGCCTTCATGAAAATTAAGTTTAATTTATCACTAGCATATATTAAATGGAGAAAACTGAATAGATTCATGCTTCTAATACTAGTTTTTTTGGTTAAATTATCAAGAAAATAAAATTGATATTTGTTCGTGCATTCCTTCTTTCAAATGAATATGTGGTAAAAATATTACATGAATTAATAATGACATATTTGAATAATATCGCATAGTATTTATCAAAAATCGACAGATATACCAGACAAGCTCTGAACTCGTAATCAATAGTGGTATAAACTTGTGAGAGAACGTAAATTACTAGAACAAAATCAAAAGTATTAGTATTTGTGTATATTTTTTTCGGTGAGCTGAAAATATCGTATTGATTTCGAGTGTTTAACAGTTCATTTAGGTCTGTGGCTTGAGTATAGAATTAATTCTAAAACGATGTGATAGCTGAGAAAGTTCTTTCCAAAATTTCGTATTAAATATGATGATTCATTTAATACAGTGTTCTGACTGAAAATATGAAGTTATCTTTTCTTTTTGAATTGATTTGTAGGAACTTGTCACTCGATTTCACTTATGTGAAAAATTCACGGGAAAATCAAATTTTTAGAAATAATTATCTCTGTAAAAATTCACCATGATTGACTTTACTATAGGATTGAAATTGTGCTATGATTTTAAATTATAAAAATAATTAATTGTCTGCTTAGAAATTCAATTATAATCTTATTACTCTGTATGTTTTTACATGGTTCATTATCTTTTCTAATTTTATATTACTTATTAGCAGAACTCAATCTTCCCCTTTCTAATGGTTTTGGTCGACACACACCTACACCCACACCTTACCGAATATACCTATTCCACTGTGTGGATACTGATCACTGATTCATTTTTGAAATGATGAAGACAGCTCATAGATGCATCACACTTTGCATTGTATTATGTTGGAAGTTTCCAGCTTAGGATCGAAAAAACAGAATGACAACACTTTTACTTTATCTATTGTAATTTTTTTTCTCCCGTAGCTTTTCTTCTATTTCATGTCTACTTCTTCTCGTGTAACAACGCACATTTTCTTTCTTTTTGTTGCACTCTCGGAAGTAGCCAAGCATATAAGAGAAAAGTAAATATGAATATATCACAATTGCATTGCCTTTCATGCTAGTTAAACACAAGAAGTTCAAGAGAGTTTTGAATAACATGATATATCTTTTTTACGCCTAGTTGATCTATTGGCACAGGTTTCAACACTTGCATTTATGTTTGCGAGCAGCTACTCTAGATCTACATCTAAAAAACTCACAAACTTGCACCTAGCTTTCTGACAAAAGTTTAGTATTTTATATGATGACTATCAATCGTCTAATCCGCTGTTTCTCATATTATGTATCAGAGGTGTCCATAGGGCAGCACACAGGGCAAAATCTTTTACAAATACTTTACCCTGTACAGTACAGGGCAGGGCTATACCTTCATGCCCTGCAAATTCTGCATATACCTACTTTAGTTCGAAAAAAAAAGAAATTTTATTTTTCTCGGAAATGTGAAAAAAACTGAAAAATTCAGATGGCGTTATTAAATAGTAAATAGATTATTATATTTGTGTTTGTGTGATGTCTGTGAGATTCAATCACATTGGTAAGAAAAGAACAGAAAATAATAAAGAAATCATAATAGTGATAATCTAGTGTACATATATTTAAAATATAATTGTAATAGTTGCTCATGTTCTTATTATTTCAATAAAACTATTAAAAATAAAACTATGTATCTCTATCATCGTCGATAGATTCATGTGCTGATATTTCATCTATCTCTCCTGGTGATGAAAATGAAGTTTCTATTCTCTCTTCGTTAAAGATATCTACTGATAGATCACCCGCGATTACGCAATATCATCATATACACTTTTTCAATTAGGACTAATTTATTATTTGCTGATCATTTATCTATTTGGTGAACTATTTGCCAAATAAAAAAGATTACTTAAACTTAAATTTAAACATGAAAAAGTTCTTCTTAATTAGCAGGGCAGGGCAGGGCAGGGCAATAAAATTGGCCCTGTGAACACCTCTGTTATGTATCCACGTACATTGAGAGATATTACATTCAAATGTTGCTACAAAAATAATTAGTGGGCAATTTCCGAGATTTACGTCGGTGATCATTATAATATAATTTTTAATTCATATATATATACAGCGAAATTTTTACTACAAATTACAAGTCCAAAAATTCATTTTTATACAATTTTAAATTTTGACCCAGGAACTAGTCAAATACCATTGTCCAGTTTTTATGTTTTTCTTTGTCCACCGTATTGTATGTGTTTGTTGGTCATCGTTGCTTATTTCTAATAAACCTTTATAATAATACGATGAACAATTATCCGATAAGGTTAATTTTAAATCGACAATAGCACCTGTTAAACATGCTTGAGCATGGGCTCCAGTTGATGATAAACCAGCAATACGATTTAATTTTCTATCATAAACATCATCGAAACGCATGCAATAACCATGTTTCGTATCACGCCATATGCCGAGTAATGAACGAGAATCACATAGCTGGAAAAACAGTTAGCTTTTAAATTCATTTAAAAGTTATACTGATTGATTAATACTTACGTCAGATAGCTGTGGTTCAGCAATATAAACATCAGTACTTTGTGTATTTCCCATAATCTGAAACGAAGAGTATATATATATATATATATTGTGAATCATCTGTTTATACAGTGTATATATGTATAAGTATGAAACGGTGTGTAACAATCCCTAATGACACTAGACTAAAAGTTTCAATGAATAGAAACATGGCATTCAATATGAATGAATGGCAAAGAAATTCTATGAATGCAACGGTCATACTCGTGAACCTATTGGTAAGATATTTTAATGAGAAAGGTGTACAGTTTACAAATAATTATTTATACGAGATTGGTAGAAGTCTACAAAAGCTCTTTCACTATAGTTGTCTATGGATACTGATGTAATCTACTCACAGTGCTATTTTCTATCAGATGTCCTCCGTATGAGAGATTTCGTTTTTTTCAACCTTCAATGCCTCAATTTATTCTTTGAATAATGCAACTTTATGAAAGATGCATATAAGCGAAAGAAAGATTGCCGATCCTACTCAGGTTGAGTCGCGAAAAACTGTTCATAATTGCGGTATGATCCGTAGTGTAAATATTTCGCACACAAACAAATTCACGTATAATGCTTTTTCCACTTTAAATCTCCTCAACAGATTTCTTCTTCTCAACTGACTTTGTACAAATGTCCACAGTAAGTGCATTGTCTGTTCAACGATGATGCTTGGGTCGCCCGTCGTATTCATACGAAAACAAAGACACATAATAAGGCATTGTATAATATGACCGCATTGCCCGTATTGCAGAATATCAATGAACTTTCAAGAAGATATATTTCGTTTCTGACTAGGAAATGAAAGGAAGAGAAAGGGATTGAGAATTATTTTTCTTTTCTCAAGAGGAAAAAGAGAATATGGTCGACATTGAAGCATTGTTTTGATTGAACATATAGGTTTCTTATATTAAATGGCTAATGACAAATATTCTCTTTGTATAATGGTAATTGTAGACGAAATTCAATTTAAAGATGATTGACCGTCCAACCATAATTCTTAACGAAATTTCTTTAGCATTGATCAATTAACATCGTTTCATGCATTCAAAAATACCTTTAAGTCAATTTTTAAGTTCTATAGTCTATTGAAATCCATGTTGATATTAATCCATAATAATCTAGATCTCATTTTTAATACAAGAAATCTATTAAATCACAATTGAACAGTTTAATGATATCGTGTCCATTTGAAAAATAGAAAATTCAAAGTTCAATCATACAAATATTGAAGTGAGATAGTCAAACCTGTAGTATGCTATAGTACAGGTATTCCTTATGAGCATGAACTAGAAAAACAATCTGATGGATGTTGACAGGCAAATATGAATATTTATGTCGCTACAAAAAATAGAATTGATTTGAAACGACATACAATTACCCATGTTTAAGAAAAAATTCTACAAAAGAAAAAACAATGAAGACTATAGTTTGACTCTTGTGTAATAGCATAAGAGAAATTCAACGCAACGTCATTTTTTCGTTCATGTGCAAGCGCTTTATTACAAATTATCTGAATCCGCGTTTTTTTTGAGTTTTTTTCTATGGTATATAGAATTTTCTATATAACTATTTTATTCGCAAATATTCATGGACAATGTTTAATATTGAATCATAACAGTGAAAATAATAGTATTAATCACTGTGCATTGCATGAATTCGTCCATCAAGGTTATACACGATGTTTGCGATGCTACATGAATAAACCCATGATATCATTAAAAAATATTAATATAGCAGAGAATTGCTCATCGCTATCAAATCTTCATTGTATGGATTTATACTTTCATGATACTCATTCGTATAGAAGTTTTTCCTTAGAAAATATTCATGTAATAAACAACTTATTTGGTAAAGAGATTGAAAACAATTTAGCAAAACAGAATTCACTTAATATTCATATAAAATATGACACACTTGAAGTTTTCTCACTTGCTACATTTCGATCACTTGATAATATTAAAAATCGAAGGTTTCATGGAATACAATTCGAATTAAATAATCGTAGTAGTCAATCGAAACTCAAAATCAATGATGATTTACAAAATATGACATTATATGCATTACAAATAACTATGAATTGTGATGCCCAAGGATTGTATCAATACAATTATGTACGTGGAACTAAACATCCATCTCCACTAGGATTCATTAAATGTGAAATTCAAACAACAATATCAAAAATGACATCAAGCATCGTTACAAAGATAGCTGATAAAACTTCCAGTACTATTATTCTATCAACAGAATCAACAGAAAATATTCAAAACAAGCTCATAGTTTTAAGTTTAGTTGGAAGTGGAAGTTTTCTATTTTGTTGTATACTCGCTGGCTGTTCCTATTTACTATTTAAACAACATAATCAAACAAATGACATACATTTTCAACGAAGAGCAAGTATAACATTTAGTGTAACCGATTCTATATCAACTGATAGAAGTATATAGTAAAACTTTTCATATTATTTCTTTTAATAAATATATAGATTATAGCTAATATGTCAAAGCAAGAAATAACGAGACGTCCATTGTGTTGATATTCGCTCAATTGGTGACTTTAGGATTTTTCAGTTTCTTAAATTATTCGAACTAGACATGCGATAAAGTATGTGACTACTAGAGGTGGTGGCGCAGTTTTGTTATAGGAATGGCTTGAAGTTACTCAACATTTTCTCTAACTAATAAACAATAAAAGAATATTTTCGCTGTCTGTATTCTCTTTACTCGATGAAGCGAAAACATTTACTAAGCTTCAAATGAAACTATTCGATTATTAAAGGAGTCTAACTGATTTTCTGTTGGAAAGCAAATTAGAATCATTTTTCTCGGTAATAGCAATATCAAATGATATCGTATACTTTCTGACAAAAAATATTAGATGAAAACACTACTGTTTACGGCAGGATCAATTTTATGGTGGGAATGGTGCAAACATTTTCTTAGTTAGGCATAATATTTTGAAAGTTTTATTTGACTTTATGCAGTATTACGAAGTATAATTATGATGCATTAAGATGTATAAAAGCAGAATTTTAATGCACTAGATTACAAAAATACAACGATTAAAGATTTAATTTTTCTTTTTATTGGTCGATCATTTCACTACGGCAAATATTATTTACTATAAACGGAACTCAGACCAATCTCATACTACTATTCGTTTAATTATCATGAGTTTAGCATTTGTTTAAAGTCTGTACTATTCTCTGTATTATTCGATGAACCAGAGCTCCGCGGGACAACCAAAAAGTTGCCCCGTTCCGTCCCATGTCCCGCACTCGGCTTGTCCCGTCCCGTTCTGTCATGTGTATGTAAGTTTTTTTTCCTCTATGCACAGTTGGAGAAGTGCAGCTAGTTTGTATGTTTTTCATGTGAATAATTTATTTTAGTATCGATCTTTTTAAATATTACATCTACATCACAATAATTTGACAAAAAAAAAGAAAAATTTAACAAGAGCTACACTCTCGTTGAGTAACTCATCCGAGAAAAAGTATATCACCATTATGATTAATGATGGTGCGGAAACCAAAACAAATTCCAGCCGTTAGATGTATGCTTGCCTGTATTATCTATAATAGTATATTGACTAGATTTCGTTTCGAGCATCAACTGAATTTGAGAACATGTGAGTTTATTAGAATCATCAAGAGAAAAGATCGATGAATTCAACAGAGATAAATTGAAATCACGAGTTGTACGAACTGGTGATACAATTTCAGGAGAAGACATCAGATGATTTTATTGCGTATTTGTGAAAATAAAAAGTTCATTAGTATGATATTAATCAAACGAGAATTGAAATGTACAACCAAAAAAATAAAAAAATCATCTGAACTTTGGCCTTGTCTACACTAGAATAGAAAACTTATGCTGAATTAAGACACGTGGTTGGTTGAAAAGTTAATTCAGATTAACGCACTCTTCAAAGACGAATTAAAGTTAATGCACCAATCGAGAAAGAACTCGATGGGCTAATTAGAATCATGGACGTGTCTCGATAAAGTCGCTATATATTATCGATAAATAGATAAATTAAATAAGAGAAATTATAGAATATTAAGAATAGGAGCTGAAGTTAACTAAAGTTAGAATAATAGCAGAACAATGGGTGATAACGATACATGATAAAAACTTCGCAGGAAGTTTTAGTAGATTGATTTGTCCCGTCCCGGGACGGGATTTGGCGGGATAGTCCCGCATCCCGCGGAGCTCTGCAATGAACTATCGTTGTATAAAAATAATTCGCTTATTAGAAGAGATGGCAATCTTGAAAATAATATTATTTCGAACTTTCCTAGAGGAATTCATCATTCACTGTGCTATTAATATAGCCGATAATATTTCCTTTTAATTGTATTAGCATGAAGAACAAATGAAATTTAAAAATCGCGCTGCATATTTTTTAGGATTAGATTTTGATGAAATTTTTTCTGTTTCTACTTCATTTTTCATATATTCATTGTGATTGTCTCGAATTTACTAATAATCAAAGCACAAACGAATGCTTTATTCAACCAAATCTTCATCTTGATTTAGATATTCATCATTATTATACAGAATGTTTACAATGTACAATTCAAACATTAATACAAAATGAACAGATTAAATTTGAAGAAAATAATCAATGCTTAACAATTGAACTTCAATGTATTCAATTGATGTTTGATAATGAAAAAATATTTGAAGATTTTTTTCAATTTCATCAACATTTTATCTACGATTTATTTAATAAAGATAATGGTACCACTCAAAATACTCTACATGTTACAATAAAAGAAAATACGATTGAAGAAATTGATTGTGAATACATTGAAAATATATTTCAAGTAAAATATCAAGCGTATCGTGCACTATTTTTCGAATTACATATTCAAAATCAAACTATTAAAATAAATTCAAATCTTCTTAATATAACTCGTTTCTCTATTAAAATAATTCTTATGTGTGGAAATAAAACAAAACCAATTCAAACTATCTATACTATTCATAATCATAAAATAACCTTAGAAAGCGAACAAGAATCATGCTCATCAATTTTTATTCCATCAGCAATGTCGGTGGCTTCTACAATAGTTAGTGAATCATCTTCCAATGAAGTTTTATCTATATTACATGAAAAATTAAAACATATCATTCGAATAATTACTCTATTAATCAGTTGTTTATTATGTATATTACTTTCTTTGATATTTTATTGTTTTAAGCGTCGAAAACATTGCTATACTACATCGTCGGCAATGACGATAAGCAGTAATGCACTTTCAACTAGTAACGATATCAGTACAGAAACACCATTATCAGTAAATGACACACCTAAATTGAATTCTAAATTAGAACGATCATTCAGTCGAATGCGTGCTACACAATTATTTGAAGATGATATTTGAATTACGTATTAAAATATCTACTTTTTGGAAAGATGTATTGTCATACAATTTCTTATTATTTTGATTTATCTTTCGGATTTCATATTTTATTTGATAAACATGATACCTATCACAGGTTTCTCCTAAAAAGAATTCTTTTAGCATAAAAAAAATATATGTTGTTTGAAGAAGGTAAAACTTTGAGTGAAAACAAGAAATCTATCTGATCATAAACTTCATTGGTGATCGCAAGAATATACATTTAGTGAGTAAATAAAATAACATGGAACAAAAACTGTATGCTCGTTTGTGTCGATAAAGATTTTTAAAAATATCAATTACAAGTCTTTTTCAACTTGTGTCGAAATTCATCTAAGAAGACGTTAGGTTTTGTATAGGATAAAGAGGATTAGCTCTTTTTTGTTGTATGTAATTTGAATAACTAATAAGTTCAAAGCCAGATCACTATTTTACCTTTCTGTGTAATTATTGAAAAGAATAACAACGTTATGTTTTTTTTATTATTATTTTCATGATTAAGCATTGAAATGCCATGAAAATCTAATTGAGGAAAAGAAGAAAATGAAAAGAGTAAGCGAAGAATGTATTCATCATTTATAAATATATATTTATATTTATATTTCAATGTTCACGATAGATAAATTAAAAAGAAAATTGAACGAAAGAACGATAGTATGCATGAAATGAATGTAATTGATTATATATATGTACAAAGTTCGATTTATATGTTCATCTAAGCAAAATGATTTTCAATATGTTCTTTTTTGTTGTCGAGTGTTAAATGTTCTGGAAATTCCCAATAGCACATTGGACATTCTCGTATTTCTTCGTTAGTATTTTTATTTTGTATCATTGTTATGATCGTATTTTTGTCATCTTCTCGAACAATTCTTTGTTGATCTTGTTGCTGTAGTTCATGTGAATTACGAAGAAGTGTAACCAATACTTCTTCATTGAGACCGGTTTCATTGGATAATGTCGGTGAATTTGGTTTTAGTGATTGCAGGCTTTGTCGATTTGTTTTGTCAATCATATGTTCGAGTGCTTTGTATTTACGATAAAGAGTTTTATATGCATTGGCACCGGCTAATATTCGTTCGGTCAAATTTTCTCTTTTACGTTTTAATTCCTCCTAAAGAAAATAGTAAATAATTAATTGATCAGCGTTGAATATCATCAGGATTAACAAAAGAGAAAAAGACGAATTGATTTTTTCCTATATCTCAGTGGTTTACTTGAATGTTTTTCAAAAAGTTAGTTAATCGATTTTTAAAGAAACGATATTAGGATTTTCATGAAATAAGTTTGATTAGCAAAGAGTAAATATCTTTATAGTTATATATTCATACATAAAATGAACTTCTTTTCTTGGATTCTCTCAAATAAAACTGATGATAAGTATTCTGTTCTGTTCGATGTGATATATTTACTTACAACGAATTCTTTATAGACTGCGCATTGTTTTTTAACTTCGATTTCACTTTTTTGATGTTTTACACAACGTTTTTCAATTTCATTGAAAGAATTTTTTAAAGTCATCAAATCATTCTGATTGCCTTTGAATTGTTCGAATTCTTTCCCAAGTCTTTCCAATTCATTTTGTTTCTAAATACCAAATAATTAGTCTTTTTGTTTTACAAAAAAAAAGAATCAACAAAAGTTTCTGTCGTTACTTGTTCAATGTCTAATCGATGTTTTTCATTTAAATCATCCATTTGTTGTTGTAATTCGTTTGTTAATTGTTTATCTTGTTTAGCCATGGTTAATAAGAATGTATTATCGGCTTTGACTGTATTTAATTCTTCTTTCAATAAATTATTTACACTTTCTAAAGCATGTATTTGATTGACTTGTTGTGATGCTTGTTTTGCATATGCATCGATTTGTCCTTGCATTGATATTTGATATTTTTCTGTTGTTAAGCGTAAATCTCGTAATTGTTGTTCTAATTGACATTGATATTGATTTGCTGCTTTTAATAATTCATCCGAGTCGGATAAGTGTTTTTTCAAATCATTGATTTCAATTGCTTGTTTTTCATTTAATTCCGTTGCTGATGAAAAATGTGAACTCAATTGACTTCTTTCATCGGACAATTTTATATTAAAATCTTCAAGTGCACGAGAACGTTCAGCAAATTGTTTTGCTTCTGTTTGATATTGAGTACATAAAGAACGACAAGCATCGTATTCTCTACGTAGTTTAGTTTCTGAACGTTGACGTGATGATAATTCTTCGATAGTCGCCTTATGACTTAAAGCAAGTGTCTAAAAATAATAAAACATATTAAATCTTCTGTAGTAAAATTTTTCATCGCAACCGGATTTTTAGGAATTATTCAGTTTGAATAAGATTCATGTCGTTATTTTCCCTCTTACACTGCGTCTTCAGTCATCACTTCAAGAAATGAAATTAGTCTACGTACGTCGAAAAATGATCCGCAAATCTGTCTGTTAGCATAAAGAATAAAAATTCTACAATTCTAACTAATAATTTCACTTCAGAATCATTTTCTACGAAAGGTTTGCCCTTGAAAAAGTTGCACTTGCTCTGCTGATTACTCATCGAAACACCTATTTGAGTAAATATTTACTTACTTGCATATCATTTTTAACTTTATTAATATATTCGTTAGATTTTAAATCTAATAAATCAAGTTTGAATTTACATTCATCTTTTTGTTGTTCTAAACGTCGATTCATTTCGAATAATTGACGATTTTCTTGACGTAATTTTTCTTCAACTAACATTCCTTTTGTATGAATAACAACAAGATCATCATTATCATGATCAGCTAATGCAATAAGACCATCACTATTTGTTGACATCGGTTTTCTTTCCAATGATGCTTCTATTAGTGAACTTGATAATAAATCAATATCATCGATTGAACAATTTAATTGAAATGGAATTGATGAACCAAGACATTTTCGTTTATCAACGATATAAGAAAATTGATAAAATTCATCGTCAGTGACAGGTAATGATGATGATGAAAATGTTGCTGTGCCACGACAAGTCGACTCTGATGTTGTTAATAAATTTAATTGAACTGGTGCATATGCTAAACATTCTTGAATATTGGTTGAACCAACCTTAAATTGAAAAACAACAATAATAATAATAAGAGGCATCGTTCAATGCGAACAAAAACCATACACGCAATAAACCTATTTGATCACTTGAATCGACCTTCATATCATGTGAAATTGTAAAACAAGCTGTAACATCTTCACCTTTAACATAATGATCAGCAACACCCTCGAATACAACTTGATCATGCTGATGTCGCTCTTGATTGCCATCAACTGTCACAAATAAATCGGAACTTTTCATTTGATGAATATTCATTTCCGACTTTATTGCTTTAAAACTAAAACAAAACCTAGATCTAAAAATAAATCAATGCATGACATGTTGATGTAAGAAAACAATGATTGCTCTTATAACGTGCAGCAAATCCAACGACTAACTAAATAAGTCGCAAGAAATGTAACTGCGTAATAAATGTCGATAATATCTATTATGATGTGGTATTCTCTTACCCGACATAGATTGTTCGAATGAGATTTTACTGATTTATTGGTAAACTCAAAATGCTAAATATGAAAACGAACCATATGACTTATTATTATTTTTAATTACGAAAGAATTTTTCATATATTGTTTTAACATATGCGACCTCTATTCACAGATAGATCTCATCATGACTGAGGCTCTTACGTAAAACTATAAAATGGCAAAAAATAATAGAAAATAGCGAAGCGAGAAATATATTTTAGATTATTGATTTATCCGAAAAAAGTATTTCTTCTTTCTTTCTTTTTTACTGATATAATAGACGAATTCAAACGGAAACATGGTATGAACAAAAATGAACATTGATAACTGATTGATTTAAAAAACAAATTCTTTTTTATTTGTTCAGGGGAACATGACATCCATTCCTGTTGAGCTATGTGCTACATGTAACATAATTATCTTTTACTTTTCATTTATTTTATGAGGAATTCGTGCATATTTTATTTTCTAGTTGATGCGGATGAAATACGACGATTAGGTAAACGTTTCAAAAAATTAGATATTGACGGCAGTGGTTCCTTGAGTGTACAAGAATTTATGTCAATACCTGAATTACAACAAAATCCACTTGTACAACGTGTTATTGATATTTTCGATACTGATGGAAATGGTGAAATTGATTTTAAAGGTAGCCGTGCAGTTAAAAATTATTTAAAAACAAGAATAAATAAGTTTTGATTCTTTAGAATTTATTGGTGGAATTTCACAATTCAGTGTTAAAGGAGATAAGGAATCAAAATTAAGATGTATGTATTACATGTATAGAATAACATCATATTTAATGATGTGACTTAAATTATAGTTGCGTTCAAAATCTATGACATGGATAAAGATGGATTTATATCAAATGGTATGTGAATCGAAAGAACTGCTCATGATTATAATATAATCATGATCATAATCGAGAATAATGATCATTAATCTCATGTGTTTACAATTTTTGTTTTTTCATTTTGGAAAATATTATTCCTTTGTAGTCCTGTGTTTTAACATATAAAACGTTGAAATAATGTTCATATCAATATTAATTTGGTTGAGCGGTAAGAGAGTATTTTGACAAGGCGATGGTTCGATTCTAACCACTAGCAAGCATAATCACTGTAGCTCTTAATTCGAACTTGTCTGATTTCTAGTGCAGACTCGTTTTGCAATATGAGCTAAAACTAATATTGTGTTTCTATCAAACAGATAAATTCTTTTCAATTATGAAATTATCTGAAGTTAAACATGAACATAACTTTGTTTTATTTGTTTATAGGTGAATTATTTCAAGTATTGAAAATGATGGTTGGCTCAAATTTGAAAGATTCACAATTACAACAAATTGTTGATAAAGTAATATGAAAAGTTTCAAAAAATTTTTTGAATATTTAATATTTTATTCCAATAGACTATTATCAATGCCGATAAAGATGGTGATGGAAAAATAAGTTTTGATGAATTTTGTGCCGTAAGTTTTCCATCGGAATAATTGATTTGTTCTTCGTGAAATTCGGATTCTTTTCTTCTTCACCTCATAAATCTTTCTTTCCTTATCCTACTTCTAGTTTATCCCTACGTATGAGCTCAATATAAGTCTGCCGAGTAATATCAAAATCTAGGTTTTTACAAAGGGTAATTTTATATCTTGTCTGTGACTTGGCTATGTATGTCGTAATAGTTGTTTTTGTGAATATGTATTATTGATAGGCATCATAGAAAATGTTCCAATGAAAAATAAAATAATCTTTCTGTTTTCTTTTTTAGTGTGTTGGCGATACATTAATTGACGATATTCAAAAGAAAATGACAGTAGCCGTGTAATAAAGGCAGCAAAACTATTTTCCTTCTTTTTTATTGCATACCTGAACAGACACATGCAAACATCATGCTCATTGCACACTCATAAATATTTGTTTGTTTGTTTTTCGCTTGAATTCCTAAATGTATACACTTATATGTTTCATACTGATATTCTTCAATGGATTTTCTTGTGCTATAAATTTTCACAATGGTGTTCGTTGAAACTTTTTGTGTATTTTTCTTTGCTGCGTCTATTTATATGCATACAACAAGTTCAGGACAGACAACAGTGAGACGAATTTCTTTTAGTATTATTTTCTTTTGTTGTGTATTGTGATGTGTTCTAGTTTTTAGTACAGCTGAATCTTGCGTATTGTATTTTCTTTTATGAATATTCATTGTATTATTTAATTAACACCGTGAGAAAGAGCAGAAATATTTTGCTTTTGTTACTGTCAAAAATAAAAATCATATCAGAATAAGAATCAAGAGAGCAACATAAAAGTAATGTCATGAATTGGTTGATGAGAAAAATGATTAAATCATGATTCAATGCATTTTGTAAACAATGGCTTGCCTATTTATTGGTGAACGTCCACATGAAATATATGCTATCCTCAGCCTATATTTTATGGATGTTTTATTATTAATTTTAAAACTTTATGAAGCAAAATTGTGGTCGCTAGTAATATGTATGTAAAATCTTGCAAAAAAGGAGTACAATGTAGTCGAGTTTTCTACTAAAATCAAAGTTTTCAATTGCTACGATTAACTTGAATAAGGACGTAAATGAAGTTGAACGTTAAAAGCGGGTTATTAAAAAGAAAACAATATAACTGTGATCTAATAAACATAATAGATCGTTAATAAGTTGAATTTTATATGCTGTACATATTGAGTTCACACGTAGATGTTTATTTTTCTGTTGGATGAAGAAAAATCAATCGTAAAATTGATAGATGAACGCTAAGTTATTTCATTTTCACAAGTGATTCATGATAATGAATTACAAAATAAGTTTTCCAGATTCTGCTATGATCATATCTTTTTGACAATATCTGAAACAAGAAATGATCCTCGATTTATCCTAAAATATATTGAGCTCATTGACTATTAACGTGTGAGCATACGTGCTATTTCAATGATCTTTTTTAAACTTCTAAGAAATTTCGATTCTGTTATTCAAATCTGGAAATCAATAATTACTTCTAGTACAAAGTTTATTAACTGCATTAAAATTATTAATCAACTGCATAATCGCAAAGAATTTTCACCAAAAAACTATTATTTATGACTCATTTGTTAAATGATCACTTGTTTTTTTTCTTCACATGGAGATACACAACACGTAAGTGCACATGCTTCTGTAAGTAAAAATAAAAAACCCATTGGCATGTCATTACATTGTGAAATAACGTAGAGAAAGGTTTTTTCTTCTTTCTTCCGCATTTTTACGTCCTTTTTTTGTTTGTTCGAAGACATGAGTGACTACAACATCCAACAACGTTCGACATTGGAAATGTTTCCTGATGAACTTTTCTTTGAGCTTTTTGAATATATTCCTTTAAATGATTTATATCGAGCATTTTTCGGACTTAATACACGAATTGATATTATTCTAAAAAATTTATCAAATCTTTTTGCTGAATGGACAACTAATTCCGATGATCGAATAATAAATATATTTTCCTCGTGTATAAGTCGACTTGTGATTTGGCGTGGTGGACACTTAAATTTATATCGTTTCAATAAACTTCGTTCATTAAAGTTAGCCTTACCAACCATTCAACAATGTAATGAAATTCAATCATCATCCACGCTTGAACATTTGCACATCGAATCGTCAGCAATTTCACATACAATAACTGAACAATTATCGTTTCTATTTTTAACTGATGCATTTCCACGTCTTCGTACTTGTCGAATTGATGAAATTCAATTCGATCAAAATATTTTTCAATCAAAACCGACACTTCTTTCATTAATGACTCGTACGCAGCATCCAACAAAATTACTTTCTTTATGTCCTATGTTAGTGCATTTACGATTAAATTTAAAAAATAATATCAATGAATTTCTTCCATTAGATATTCATTCAAGTCTTCGTTATCTTCAACTTGGTATATATTCAACTGAAATAAATCTTTCTTCTGTCGAATCGATTTTTTCAGTAACACCCAATCTAACTCGATTTACTCTTGATGGTCCTTGTATTACACCGCCACAAAATAAATTAGATATTTTCTCATTAGCATCAGTATTTACTCGTCGCTTATCAAAATTACGTTTTGTTTATATTAGTCTTCCGTTAAGTGAGAGTCAATCAGATCCAAAAGAATTTGAAAATGAAAAAGAATTACTAAAAAAACTTCATCCACTTTTCAACGATATCGTATTTCGTCCACGATCATATTATGCACCTGGTCGATTAATCATTTCATCAATAATTGATAGTAAAACAGTCAAATCTCATATAAACTGAATCTCAAATTTTCTTAACAATAATTTTTTTTAACTGTTTTGCTTTTGTCTGGCATTAAAAATGTTTTAAAAAATATATAAATATATATAGTGATGTTATTTCATGAAATCTTTGGTAATTTGATTTGTAAATCTGCTAAGATCATAATTCCATGCATGGAACTACGCTCTATTCTCGAAAGCTACTCGATTAGAATTGAAGCACGAATTCATTCATGATGAAACGATTCTTTTCAGCAATTCAGCTTAATCAATGCTCCACTAGCACAAATTCTGCATTTAAGGATGACTCAATTAAAAAAATAGTTGATCGAAAATAGATATGAGAAATATATTGAGAGTATTCAATTGATTAGGAAATCTGTTGAAGAAAGTTCTCAATGTCAAAGATTTATTGATTTAATCAATGATTTTAATTTAAAACACATTATGTACTAGGATTTTCTCTTTAAACTACATGATGACGATGATTAATTTAAATCATAATTAAATATTTGATTTCACAAATGCCAATTGCTAAAAGAAAATAGCATGTATAAAAACAGAAATGATGTCAAATCTTGATTTTAAATAATCAAAGACAGTTGATGTTTGAGTGTTCTAAAGTACAGTTATGAATTTCTTTCTACTACGGTTCGACGTTTAATCAGATGTATTTCATCAGTTTCATATTGATACAATTCTTTCTTTAATTAAATTAACTTTCTCTTTGTCACACTTCTTCTTGTGTTGCTTTTCTATTTGTATATTCAAGTACAAGCGAAGTGTCCTACCAAGCCAATATAATGGATAATAAGAAAGGAAATTGTGATTGATGTGATCAGTACTATCTATGAACGACATCTTTTACAGAACGATTTTATGAATGAACAGTTTATTGAATGATGCATGGAACAAATCTTTCAGTATATCCTATTAAGAACTCTGACTCGAAGGATTCGATAATTTATTTGATTATGAAAACAAATCAATTTTTTAAAAGACTCCTGAATAGCTCGTCGAACCGCAGTTCGATTAGAAATGATAAAATTTCCAGTAAGTAAAAAATCTAAGCACATATTATTAAACAATAGACAAAAAAGAACAAATCTTCTATAGAATTGTGGCAATATATTTCATGTTCTTATTGATTTAATTCGATGTTAGCTATTATTTATTTTAGATAAGTATTAAACTAACTTTAGAACAACTTTCAAACGAAGGATCTCACGAACTATTTGAATATTTTTATATCTACGGATTATATAAAATATTCTCTCAATTAAATATTCGTATGGAGTCATTATTAGTAAATTTCAAATATCTCCAAGTGACTTTGAACACACCGAAAGGTAATAATTATCAATTCAATCAATTCTTTTTATCGAAAACAAAAACACTTATTATTAATCTTACAAAAGCTTTTTATGATCGAACAAAATCTGAATTATTATTACATATTCGTTGTTTAATACTTGGTCAGTCAATATGTAAACAGTTCAAATCAATTCAACTATCGAATTTTCCATATCTTGAACGTTTAAAATCAATAAATTTAAGATTGGTTTATGAAACCGCAAAACTTTATCAATTAATTTTTTCGAATAAATTTCGCTATTTATATTCATGTTCATTACCTCGCACTTCTTATGGAATTAATAATCGATGGACTTGTTCTTTGAATCTTCGATCGTTTCAAATAAATATTTTGGATATTCTTGTCTATATTCAAATTCTTGATGCGTGTCCACAGCTTATTCATTTAAAAATTGAAGTCACTAGAAGAACAAATGAAGAAAAACCTCTAGTAATTAACCCAAATAAAAATCATTCCTCACTTCGACGTTTGGGCCTTTGTTGCTCTAATTCAGCAACATGTAATTTTATTGATATAATACTTTCTTTTGTACCTAGTCTTGAATAGTTTTTACTCAATGCTAAATATCAACGATCAAGTGATTTATCAATAGATCGACTAGTGTCGAAATTAGAGTATTGTACACCACGATTAAGTTGGATAAATATTAATATGCCTCTAGTGAGAAGTTCTTGTTTTAAAGAGCAAATCGATACGAAACACAACTTATTGAGCTCTTGTAAAATTCAGTTTGAAACAAATCAATTTACGAAATTAATTATTGTCAGATCATTAACAAAATAAATTGTATTGGTAGTTTGCTTTATTTTTAACTTGAAGAAAATTTGATTTGTTTTACCAAGATAGGCGAGAGAAATTCAATATGTTAAAAGACTCTCTTATTGTAAAACTTTATTTGTTTTTTTAAATAATCTGTTGAATCAGAGTTGAAGAAAAAGGTTGTTTTCTGTTTCAAAGTTGAAATAGATGCAAGTTAACCGAATATCAAAAGCTCAAAGAAAAAATTATCTGAATATTTTTTTCTGATTTCAGCGTCAGTTACGTTCTATTTATAGATTAACATAATTTTATCAATGTCAACCGAATATTTAATATCGACTGATGGGAATATTAAACATTTCGATTGTATTCAGGGTAAATTATAATGAACAGTTTACTACGGACAATATTGGATGGCATGAAAGATGAATTTAGTCTTTGATCAATGTCTCAAAGAGAGGAACATAAAAAAAATAAGTAAAATGAAATTGCCTTATTTGAAAATATATCAGTGAACATATACATACACATAGGTCTTATATTCTTGCTTGTTCTCGAACAATGATATAAATCATACTACGTATACATGTTCTAAAGATAAGTGCCCTATGAATCAATGAAGTTCGCGTAGACAACACATTGGATACGTAGAAGATCTGATAATCTAGTATTGTTTGTTTATTAATTCATTCGGATATATTTGACTTGACAAACTTCAGTGAAAATTAACTAGCATAGATCATGTATGAATACAGCGAAGTTAATAGAGATAAGTTTCATCAGCTATGATATGGAATTCTTAATTTTATTTCATTCTCTTGTTTCAAAACAATCATACAGCTACAAATTTTCTTATAAATTTCTTTAATTCTATAAATAGACCTGTGGCAAAGATTTCGATTAATGTTGAAAATACCTTTATTCGCACAGTCTATAGTTCGTATTTATATTCGTTTTGTTCATATATGTATAAAATAAAATAGAATAAACGTTTGATATTGAATAGCGAAAACATAGATTAATTTAAAGACAGAAATCATTTTTGTTTTTGTTTATATGTTCCTTAGCATAAAAGTTAGAGCAAAAAAGTATCAACACATTGCAAAAGTCATAATTTTTATGAAATCCAATAAAATGATGCTTTTAATATGAGCTGGTAACGAAACAATCACGTCCATTTTTCGTTCTGTTAAATACATATTGACATTATTAGAAAAATACAAAGTTATTTTTTCTTTCTGATTTTCTCACAGAAAATTATAACTGTTATTCAAAAAATATTCAAAATTTTATTTCTACATGAGCAATCAACTTGCATTAAGGGGGAATCCCCCTTCCCCCTCTTAAAATTTATTTCCCACTTAGACCGATCCATTTAGGCTGAAACTTTCGGGGATAAGTGACCAGCGTGAGAAACTCTTCTAGTAAAAATTTTAGCCTGATATGTTGAGCTACAATCGAGTTCCAGTTTATTGATGAGTCATATATATATATATAGCTTCAGCAGAATTCCTAAGACTTTGTCATTGAAAAAGCTACAGAGCTCATGGTGGTTTCAAATTAAAGCCAACAACTATATGCAACTTTTGTCCGAACAGAATTTTGAAATTTCTTTCCATTCATTTTCTATGAGCATTTCAATAGATATGGGGTCAAAATAAGTCCAAAAACGTCCATCCTACGACATTAGATTTTATTTTTCTCAACCCCAGAATAAAATATAAAAAATTTGGTCAGACAAAAATTTACTCGCACTTAGAGTTATAAAGCAAAAAAAATGATTATACTTTAAACCCTGAAGGAGAAGTTTCTCTTTTTGTGATCAAAATTCATCTTGTGAGAAAAACGATAAGGAAGCTAAAAAATTGCTTTTTTTTTATCGAAATTCAATAAAAATATGCCGAAAATGGATTATTTCACAAATATAACTAGACGAGTTGTCCTTAGGGCATTTATTGAATGAAGTCAGCGAGCGCATTCATAGTGTTTGTATACTGTTATTTTCGGAGAGAGGGGATGGCGAATTCCTGGCCCCTCAATTTTTCGATTCCATTGTCTGATTTGATAGAGTACATTTTTTACCTATATTCTTCAATTTTGACATTGTTTCAATATACCTGACCCGAGTTATAGTCCTCTCAAGACTTAGTTTTTGGCTAAAACTTTGCCCCTGGGTGTATCTAGTTCTGGACTGATTTCTGGCATAAAGTAAAAGTTAAACAAACGTTTGTATACATGAATCGATAGAGAATTCTTCCCTCTATCTAACACATTCTCAACGAGACTGAAACAAGAACATTTTCATATCATTTGATATTGAATACGTAACTGCAGCCTGCTTATTTTTACACTTCAATAGATTTCTGTCGTGTTTTCATAATTATAATTATGCTTTTAAATAGTTTCCTACATATAATTGGATAGAGCATTTCAAAATCTACAAAGTGATGTAAAAATCTTCAAGGAAAAAATATATCTAGTGTTGTTTTTTAAGGATCCAGTGTGTTGATATGTGAAATTCTATACAAAATCTTCGACAATTACTTAATTTCACTATCAATAACTGTTTTTTATGCAAGATAAAAATAATATTTGAAATCAGCATAAAAAACCAACTTAGTGAGTATGGATTTCACGAAAATAAAATTTGGAAAAAAATTCACTTGTTCTACCCCACTCCTGATAATTATGATTACTGGGGGAGAACAGGTGAATTTTTTCAAAAATATGCATATATATTCTCAAAGAGAGAACTTTGGAGCATCTTTCTACGACAACAACTCAATTAGGATCTTTTTCAAAAAAAAAGAGCTTTTAAAGGGGGGGGGGGGGCAGCAACGTCACTGATCTTGTCTTGATGTTTGTTATATTATGTATGTTTTTTTCTCCTCTGTATTGTTCTCTCTTGTTACTTATTTGTCGCGCTTATTATTTTCAATATCGGCACGTTTCGTTTTTCGCCCTTGGACTCAAGAAAATGATATGATAATTATTCTTCTCTTTTTTCTTCAAGCGTCTGCAACAGGGCTCCTAATGGGATGGGATGGGATGGGACGAAATTTTCGTCCCGTGGGATAATGCAAGTCGTCCCATCCCATCCCATGGGATTTAGCAAAAAATAATTTTCATCCCATCCCATCGGCTCCCATGGGATTCGTTATTTTACGAAAAATCTTACTAAAAATCAAGGCTTATTTTTTTTGTAACTGAAAATTCGAAGTTTTCCAGCATTCTGATTTGAATATTGGAATTAGGGATGCACCAATTCCTAGTACATTGCAAGAAAGATGACATTTTTGCCTGATGTAGAGTGGAGCGGTCCTCTGATTCCATTTATCAGCCAAGACCATTTTTTTGCTCTATGTAAAACGATAGCTGAGATTTATGAAAGATTAAAAAAAGTTTTCGAATTTGACTCAGAATTTGAATTTTCAAGTCGTTTTCGGTCAAATCCAATTCAGTTTCAGACTTGCAGTTTGCATTACACAAAGTCTAAGAATAGATTTGAAAAGAACGTTCAAAACTGAACAGAAAAAAAATAAGTAAAAAGGCTTAATCCATAACTTCCAATGCTGAGAACATGTAAACATTGGATAAAAAATTCAAGAAATTGACGGGATTGGATCTTTTCCCTACTTAAAAATGACGTGCCCGGTAGTAAGAATTATCGATTGAACATCTCTTTCTTCATATTTTTCTGTTCAGTTTTGAACTCTTTTTCAAATCTATTCTTAGAATTCGTGTAATGCAAATTGAAAGTTTGAAACTAGGCTGGATTTGGCAGAATTTGGCGGTAAACGACTTGAAAATTGGAATTGGTAGTCAAATTCAAAAACGCTTTTTCATCTTTAATAAATTTGGATCATAGTTTTTCATAGATCGAAAAAGATGATCTTGGCTGATATATGGAACGGAATCAGAGGACGACTGCCTCCTACATTAGGCAAAAATTTTATCTATCGTACCATGTACTAGAAATTGGTGCATTCCTGGTTGGAATATCATTATCAATACCTTTTAATTCTGCTTGTGATGTTGTAAACGAAATTTGACTTTCTCAACTGAATATTCCTGTTTATCCGAAACTAAGGATGATAATGAGGAAGAAATAATTATAGAAGGTGATATTGAACAATTTATAAAACAAAAGATGATGATATTTTATTAAAACATTCAAACAAAAAGAACATTTATGTTTATTTCTGTTTTCTATGTTTTATCGTATTCTTTATTCAATTGTTCGAATAGAGCTCGGAGTTGGGTTAATGGCCAGTACAGAAAAAGAATGATAATATTCACACTTTTCACCTATTGTCAAGTGTGACATTAAGGAATAGTAATTTTTCTTTAAAAAAATAATCACATTTCCCATGGGATTAGGAACTCATCCCATCCCATCCCATGGGATATCTCAAGAAAACAAGTTGTCCCATGGGATGGGATGGGATGGGATTATCCCATCCCATTAGGAGCCCTGTTATGGTAGCTATCATTGCTGATCAAAGTATCGAATGTTATTCGCTTGTGAAATGTGACGCTAATTAGGGACACAAAGATACTCGTTTTTTCAACGCGAATTCAAACAATTTTGCAATAAAACTGATTTACTTTTTCTTGAATGAATCTTTGATTCTATATTAATATTAGTTGTAATTTGGAAAATTTACAAAGCATTCTTTTTTCCCTAATAAAAAAAACAATCAAACGATGCAACAAATATTCATTTTTATGAAATAATTATCTCTACTTTTTTATATTTAATTCATTTTCTCCTGACTATATGCTGTTATAATAGAAAAGCAGAACTATTTATCATAACTAAAGATTCATGATATTTACGATAATATTTAAATATGATATAGAATATTTTTGACACCTATACACCAAAAATCAAAAGCATATTTTTGTTATAATTTATTCATTGTTTGTACTTTACTATCGTGTACTTCTGACAATTATGTCGCCTAGTTGGTATTTTCGTCCTTTTGTTTCCTTGTCTATTCGTAATGACTTCAAAATTGAAGTACATACTTGAAAATATGAAATATGACAAGCAATGAATAAGCATACATCAACCGATGCGCAAGATCTATATTTGTGTCCGAAAAAGCAGTAATATACGTGTTGAACTCTTGTTTCAAATGTATCGTATAATAAAGTACGAATCATATTGCCATTGATAATTGTTGCGTGTGTATGTTGTTTTGGTTATATATCCCTCTCTTCAATTCAAGTATTAACATACAATAATTGTGATATAAAATATTCAAGATTTATTTTTTCTTCGGTGATTCAACTAAATGAAGATTTAATATAGATTGATAGATTATTGAACAGAAAGATTACTGATAAACATCCATAATGCAATGTAAGAAAGTTGATCAAACAGTTTCGATAATGTGCATATTACATATCCTTGCGTTCAATCTTTATTTTAAGCGATGAATACGATTCTATAATGAATTTCATATACTATGTTGATCAATTGTGAATGAATAGAACAACTAATAAACGAAAATTCCCTAATGAATGCTCTGCATTAAATTCCATGATTTATTAATTAGAATTATTTTATCATATATATAAAATAATTTCATTTTTTATGTTTATTTCTATTTTCTATAATCAGCTTTTATTAAGATAAAATAGTGTATGAGAAACGTCTATTCTCTTTTTTTGACATACGTATGTCTCCTCCATGATTGGATTTATGACATAAAAGCGGAAAAGGACCAACACGAGTAATCATTTATTTTATATGTGCATTCCCAGAAGAATGCAACCAAAATGGACTTTTCCTTTTCTTTTCAATGCAGGAGAAGAAAAAAATTAGTTTGTCTTTGTATTATGATGTCAAATGTCAATCGTATGTGTATAAACTCAAGGGAATTTTCTCTCTTGACTTAGTTTGATTCTGATAAAATACAAAGGAACAATCGTTGTTGAAGGAGAAGAAACAGAAAAAAAAATTGTCAAAATTACATCTCACTAAAGATCGACTGTCCTGTTCAATGCAGCAGCAGCAGCAACAACAACAACAATACTAATACTACTACTACTAATAATAATAATAATATCATCACCGAATTCGATTCCTATTGCAAGAAAAATAGATGAACGAGAACAGAGAAAAGAATATATCATATTTCATATAAGTAAGTGACGAGCAATGACTATTGTGATGTAACCTATCGGACAGAAGCAGCATGAAGCGTCGCTTGCCTTAATTACTCTATTTTACCTCCGATCACGCAATATTTACCTCTCTTACTTTTTCGTTTGCTCGTTAAACGGACGGTTTATTCGTTTCATAAGCTAACTATTTCGATCACTCTTCTTCTTAACTCTCACCATCACGCCAATAAAACGTGTGAATTAATCTATGATCGTCGTCTTATTCTGTTTACTTGATCATCAATTCCAGGTAGAATAACATTTTTATCTTCATTTTGTCATTAGATATTTTCGTCTACATATAATTATTTTTGTTTTATAGTATAACTTATGTAGCAGATATCAAACAAAAATACTACCAATAAAAGAATGGCTTGGTGGTGGTATTATCTAGTACCTGCAATAGTCGATTTAGTTCGAGCACAAAATGCATTCCCTGGTGGAGGTTTTTTAGCAGATCCTTTTCTTGAACTTACTGCAGGAGTAACATCTCCTCCTAATGAAAAATCTTCTAGATCCGATTCATTATGTGTTTCCAATGGTGCTTTGGCTGGTTCAATTATTGGTACTTTAATATTATCTGCTTTTATTGGTTTTCTTGCATGGATAATCTATTTAAGACAGAGATTACAAGGTTTGTTAGTTTTTTTGACTGATCTTTCATACTTATATATTGAAAGACGAATAGTTCTATTGTGTTTTATATTTTAATTTTGCTTGAAATTTTTTTTCTTTATTTCTATTCATTTAATAGAATTTCAATCATACAAAAATCAAGAAGTAGTAGCATCATCAGAAAATCATCGTAGTATTCCATCGATTTCTAAACGTCAGCAAAACAAACAATATACAGGTGAGGATATATTCAACAGAAAATTTTATTATTATAAAACGTTTCGATCTATAAAATAATAGATACACTAGATCTTACCGGCAATCAATCACCAATCGATGGTGCAGAGTATAAAGTAAGAATTTCACAATATCTTATTTAGTATTGGCCGCTAGCTATTTGAGATCTATTAGAATGTCGCACAATAATTGTCATCGAACAGAAATAGATTTTTTTTTGGAATCTTGAATAAAGAAAAAAGTCTTCCTGTTTTTATTTTTCGTGTTCGACTATTCGATCTAATTTCGTATAGTTCGGCACATTTCCATTTCGTCAATCACAAACACCAAGCGTTCTTGGTCAATATAATCCTTCCGATTGGATACATCGCGTTCCATCATCATTTCGTTCCGAGACGATGAATAAAGTAAACTAGTAGTCTTCTTAATATCTTATTCATTGTTTTATTTTGTATGATAATAAAAATAGGATGCACAAATGATTGATGTTGAATTATTAAATCCAACGTTTTGTGGTCTTAATTTCAGTATAACAGGCAATATGCGTGCTGGAATATTCATCAAAGATATACTTGATAAAGAATCTGCCGAAGGAGAAATTAAATTAAATTCTTCAGATCAATTACGGACAGGTTATTATTCATTCCTTATTGTTTTCGTGATGATTTATTGATTCTTTTCTCATAGGCGATCGTATTATGGCATTAACTGTATGCTTTGAATCCATAGTTTATGAAGACGCATTGACCATTCTTAGTTATGCATCACCTTATCCCGTATTTATTATCTTCTATTTAATAAAAGTTAAATATTTTTATCATCATACTAGGTTATTCTTCGTGTGCAACGTCCTTTCAATTCAACCAAAATAAATGTTTTAACAGAAAAACAGCTAACAACAATAAATTCAACAACTAAAGTCAAATGGCGAGATGATTTTGATCACTATGATAATGACAGTAAATTTTACTTTTGTTAAAATATCTTATGAAATATTAATCGAAAAATTGAAAAACAGACATCCCTTGAGAAGAACATTTTAAATATTAATTTTCTTTTTTTAGCACCACACAATCGTTCAATCGTTCATCAAGATGTATCAACAACTATTATGACAGATACAAAATCTTTTCCTACAAAAACTCATCCTCAATCATCAACGAAAAGAGTTCGTTTACAACCAAATAATAACAAATCATCATCGACAACTAAAGGTAATAAATCTAAAAAGGTATCTAACACTGTCGGAGCTGCAACAAAATGTTCGGATATTGGCATAAAAAAACATCAACATAAAACATCGAATACATTGATATTAACATCAACAGGCTTGACAGCAAAGTCAATAGATAAAATTTCGACGCTACCAACAAATAAAACGACAATGAAATCTGTTACTGATACCGTTATGTCTTATCTTCATTATCGAGGTGCTAATTCAGGACTTGTAACAGGTAGACAAACCAACAAGGGGAAAATAAAGCGATGCATGCATTCACATCTATTGCATGAATCAATGATTAACAGAAATTATAATTATTAATATTATTATAAACTATATTTTTTTCTTCTTTGCTTTAGATGTGACCAACATCTCTGAAGCAGCACTGATGGTATGTTTTGTTTGTGCCGAAAAGAATATTTATAGTACTGAAATTAGAAAAAAAGTATACAACAGCCAATTTTAAGTCTACAGTGTTGTTAGGACATAATAGGTTCGATCAAACTTAGAATACATACTTTAAGAAATAGAAAACTAAGTGGAAGGTTGAAAAATGTTTTTTGTTTTTTCAAAGAAATCTGAGATTATTGTCGATTATTATGTGAAACAAAAATTGAGACGACCATAAACGAATGACGAATAGGTAAATAAATAGCATACTATCAAATATCATGTAGAATTAAAGACCCTCTTCATTCTCATTTCAAATGATGACAATATTCAAGAGCATAATTTGGATCTACCAACAGAGATCAGAAGTACGCCTTTTTCAATATTGCTTTAGTGGAACGAGGGTATCAGGCAGAAAATCGATTATGATGTGTCGCTAAATAAATCTGTAAAGTATTATTAGTATGCACTTATTAAGAAAGAATTCAAACTAATTTTTTTGTACAAACGCACATTCCTATTCACTTTCTCGCATGCATACCGATATGACTGTATTTTTCAAGTATTTAGAAATCAATATAAATTATTTATAAATTTCATAATAGAATAGATATATGCTGTTTTCTTTCTTCTGCATAGCCATACTATGATTCTCCTTATGATTATTATGGCCCACCCGTGCCTCACGCAAATTTGAATAGAAATAATAATAATTCTCTATCAACTGAATCATTAACTCCTGTTACATCAATTTATACACTACAATTGTCATCAATAAAACCCAATAATTCAGTTCAAAGAGCTATTATTCCACGTCGATGTCAGCGCCGTGTTTCTTCATCTGCTGCCATTCTACCTATGACTATTAAACAAACCGATGGTAAAAATATTATAATCAAGAATATTGACACATTTGTATAATTATTTTCTTTTTGCTTCTTGTTGTTCTGACAAGGGAAGAATTTATCAAAATAATTTAATTATAATTGAAAAATATACATAGTTTCTTTATTGCAAATTTAAAAAAAATTTAGAAATGAACTCGTTTTTAAAACTGTTTGAAATATTCAAGATTACAAATTCAACAATCAACTTCTTCACATAATAAACTTCTCAATGTCTAAACTTGTTATAGTTCCTTTTTCAAAGAAAAGCAATATAAATTACATTGGCACGGCAGCCACTAAAATAAATATTTTTGAAAAAAATACCTCTGATATACGCATTTTCTATTAACATATTTGAAGAGTTGTTTCCTTAAAGAAATGATGCATTATGTCTTCATCAAACATAAAAATATAAATAATTCGTTGATAAGCACGAACTTTACTAGTAACTAGAAAAGTCATATATTGGACTACAAATTGTAATCTTAGTTTTCAAAACAAGATGTATATATAATGATTAAGAGTTATTGATCAGATACTGGAACCGAATCGGATTTGTATCGAAATTTTTCTTTCATTGCTCTCTCTGTTGTCACGAAGAGAAAAATTTTGTTTATAGACTTTATTCACTTTGGTATTCATTCTGTATGAAATATTAAGTTTGATAAAACCAAATCCCATTAGACAGATTCCTATTTTCATAGTCTTCTAAAACAAATCAAATATTATTTGAATATGTAAGATCTTATTGAAGCCTCTGTCAAGAGCAATATTTTATGAATATAAATACAATGAACAACTACAGACAAAATTTAATAAAATTAAAATGAATCGATTCCCTGTTTTAATTTTAATTTTGGGTTATTTGGAAAACAGAAGGTTGTTGGAATCCTCGTATCGTAGATTCCACTGGTACTATTTGGTCTCTATGAAGTATAAATTGTCTAAGAATTTGCTTGATTTGTGGATTATATGAAAATGATCGCTATACTAAATACAAATACAGTTATTGATGGACCTAGCCATTGAATCCGATACATATAATAAGAACCAGCAACGCTATGATTAATATTCGATAATATAACAAAAATCGTATTCGGTAATCCAGGTAAAGTGAGTACAATAACAGTAAACAAAATACGACGAGTAATAGTTAGATTGGATCACGTTCAGCCCTTCGTTGTTGTCATTCTCTTCCAAGATTAGGAAGCTGATGACGAATAAAATGCAATACACGAGCATAAATTATGCTCAGATCAACAATAGGGAGGAGAAAAATATGTGAAACTGTGTAACATAGTCCAATAGCTTTTTCATAAGGAATACCACAGTAATTAGCTGAATCATAAAAAGAATAGAGTGATCCAGGCCATACGTATGAAGGGAGAACAACAAGAAAGTATACAGATACAGACTACTGAAGTAGAATGCAAATAAAATTGAGCGAAAATACCTAAAATTTTATTGAAAAGTAAACAAGTAAATAAAAAGATATTGCATATTCTTTAATTAAATCAATTGTTAAAATATTTATGTAAATAATTAGATTAGGCATGTTTGAATATTATGCAGAACAAAGAAATTGAAATATAAAAACCTGTAAAAATTTGTATTTGGCATAAACAATTCGATTTAATCAATAAAGTGCCTGAAGAACGAAGCTCATATAAAAGCAACCGCATCTTTCATAAGTAATAAAGCCCAAAAAAGTCACCTCCTGTTCAATTTTTGAAGATAATATTGGTGAGACCATAGAGATCTATGATTAAAACAAAAATATTCTCTGATAGGACCACGATAGAAAATATGTTCATAGCGATGTATGTGTTTGCTGCAAGAAGAAATGGAACATCATGTTTTTCTTGTATATGAAGGATCAAATTGAAGAATATAGTAACACTAATCAATATTGCCAATATAGAACTGATGAGAGTAATACAAGTAAAGATAATATTCAATAACATTATTTTGTTTTGAATTGAATATTAATAAGTGTTAGAAACAAAAAAATATGCTTTCTTTTTCCACAAGAAATGAGAGACTCTTCTTTAAGCTAAAATATTCAGTAAGAGTAGAAGAATATCAAGCATTTTCTTCTTTGTTCGAAGCAGTATTGCTGTAACCATTTTTGTTTCTAGCCAAAGGCCTTCTGAGAGATTCTTTTATTAAATCATGTGCAAAGGAAGAAAATGATTCTTGATGCTTAATTCCTGTCAACTTTCAACTATGCTCTAAAATTCATATTTAGTAGTTATATCGTTCCCATCGTATCTACACTAAATTTCTTTTTAACTGTAAAAAAGATATGAATGCATTTCGACTGTAGTACTTGTGCATCCTAATATGTCTGACGTCATAGTGTCGAATGAACTAGAAACTTTTTAATCATTACAATGATAGATTTCTAATTCGTTGACTATTTATTAGTAATTTTTCTGCAATTTTTACTGACAGGAAAATACAGGAAATTTAAAAGTTCTTTAGATTTTTGCACAATTCTACAGAGGATATTTATGTCGAGAAAAGCCTATTTTTTACTTTTTTCTAACTATAGTTCAAAGAGCCTTTGCAAACACAGGTCATAATTCTCATCTAATCACACGGTGGCTTTTGTCACAAAATATCATATGATCTTTTTATCCGTTCAAATTGTTTAAATATTTAAATATCATTATTCATATCATTTTATTTTACAAAACTCTGCTGAAAAATCAAGTGAAAATCGTTTTAAGTTTGAATGAAAGAGTGTGGAAGATATTCATCAATTTACTACCAAAAATAGCTTTCAAATTACATATTAAACGTGATCTAATCTCAAAATGTTCTTTTCAATATTAATTAGAAAATTTGAGGAAATCAGCTTTTATTAAGCAATTCGATGGGCTCTATTCAGTGGGCAAAAGCTATTATATTAAAAAATAATTGAAAGAATTAGAATATTCGATCTCGTTTGTCCTTTAGAGTTTTGAATATTAGATATGAGTTTAATGAAGAAATTTAATTATATAATTATTAAATTTTTAGTTCGACTTAATTAGAACTTTAGTATACTAGACTTCCAAAGAGACAAATGTGGTAAACTGTCAGATTTCATGCTAAAACTCAAATAAAAAAGTCATACTAAAACAATGATTAAATAGTTTAATTTTATTCGTCGGGAAACATTCACGGAATCTACTTCTACTTAAACAAGACAATGAATGATGTTGTGCTGTCTGTGTTACTAATCTATAGAATACATGTTGAGCTTCTCTTTGAAATTGTAAATATTTTGTAATGGATGGCATAAGAAAAAATGCTGCCCGCTATTCAAACATTCAGCATTCATAAAAATAGATAAAATACTGATGATAAATGAATTGAAATGAATGCATAGAAAATGTTATATATGATATGATATCAAGTATAAGCTTGCCTAACTAAGCTAATCGTTTCGGTAGTATCCATTAGCTAAGTAGTCATAAAATGTCTAACTTCTGAGAAATTCTTGTTTTCATATGATCAATTCGTCAGCAATGGGCAAGTCAAGATAAGTCATTTTTGACTTAGCTGTGGCGTGACTGGACTTAATTTGAAATTTTCAAAAAATGACTGGATATGACTAGAAATTACTTAGAACTAGTCATGACTTGACTTGAAGTAAGTGAAAAAATAGTTGACATGCCCGTCTCTGCAATTTATCCTGGAATGTAATTAGAACAAGATGAATTTTTTTATGATGCTCTAAATGAACTGCGATATTACGCTGGAGGTTGTGGCACAAACAGTCTTAGAAAATGAATAAAAGAAATAACGTAATAATAAATTCGTCTAGATGAATTCAATCATTTAGCTCCTTGCCTTTATCGATTCTTCCAAATTTGCTTCAACATTATTACGCATCTCGATAGGTTCTTATGTTCATGAAAAGTCGTATTCATCATTCTTTGTAATCATTAATTTCATTTTAATGATCTTTAAAATGATTATTCAATTATGAATTCAACCCAACACTTGCAGTTAAAAGAGTCAACTACGAATTTTTAACTTGTACAATATGATTCTGCGCAAATAAGACTTATATCACTAACGAACTCAGAATAGAGTTGTTTATTATTTATCTTTCATCTATAATGTATTCAGTTATATTATTTTAAGTAAGAGTAACGAAAATGAATCCTTTTAAATATTTCATATGATATAACTAGAGTTTCGTAGAATTTATTTTAATTCGTTGGTTTTTTACATTAATGATTGCACCGTTTATGGATACAACTATGAAATATTACCGAAAAATAGTATTGAAGTGTATGTAGCAGAAAATCGAACTCATTTCTGTCACTTATCATGAGCTACGAGAATCTACCTGGAAACACATGAATAGTGGCTACGGATACCTTTTCACTTGTTCTACTTTAGAGTATAAGAACTTAATCATATTTCGCATTGTAACCTTGTAGCTGTTGCGCTAACATTTAGTTAGTATTTAGTAATTTATAGAATTGTTTATAGTTTAAGAAGAATTAGAAAATGCATGCGATAATAGCGCTATGCAAAAATATTTAAGGTAATATGAAAAAATAACAGGAATGGCATGTTTTTTATTTATTTGTCTCGAATATTGTCAGATTTTGACAAACTATGACTTAGATATTGAATGAGTAAATTGCAATGAAATTTGAATAGAATTTATTACTAAGCAAGCGACGAAAAGAAAGAAACTCTAAAGATTGATCCATTACTGATCATCGAGTTTCATTGAACGGCGAACTTAAGATGTATTTTTAATTTAACACGAAAATGTTATGAAGATGTTCAATACAATAGTAGTTTGAATCATGCTTTTTTCTGCTATAGCATCAACAATGACTATCAATCGTCATATGGATTTCGATATTGTACCACAATTGTATATATTTTTTAACTTGAGATGTGCAATTAATGTATAGCTGGAATCAAATTAGACAATTTTATAGTTAAATTTTGTGAAACGAAGAGTTTTCACGGACTCCATACTGATTTTTACACAAATATTACTAGCTTGGTTTTATGTAGAGTTAATTAAAATGATATCACATGAAACGTTAGAAGACATTTATCTTGATGCTTACCAACGCATTTATTTTAATAAGTCATTGCTCTAAGCTAACCTTACGCATTTTTGTGTCTATTAAACGATATTCGTTGATAAAAACGTACATACGACTATGACTATATAGCCTTGAACTTATGTTCCTGGTTTTTGCAATTTTTGTCAATAATGTTTACATTTTTCAGTACGGTTCTCGTGAAATTTTCATGTAGAACTTTTTACTTGTGTTGCTTTTGTTGTTTTTCATTTGAAAAAGAATTTTCTTCAAGAACTCGCTGATTTTCTTTGCTGCATAAAATATACTAATCGATATTCTTGAAATATTGTATATTATTCAAACAATATTTCTCATATTTGAAATGATAAACATCAAGGAGAATGCTTCTATGAGAACAATATGAAATTTTCCTTGATTCTATGTTCAACACAGTAGAAACTTTCTTCAACGGAGTATGAGATTTAATGCAAAGCATTTTAAATAATCTTCAATCTGATGAGCTATAGATTCCGTTTATGGCTAATGAGAATTAACATCAAAATAAATATTAAATACAGAAGTTAATGATCATTGCTGATCAAGTTTGAATGTAACTTCAAAATAATTTCAGATCTAATGAAACTACAAGTATAAATTCGACAAACAAAAAACAAAAATAAAATTGGTGATATTCAAACAGGATGCTCAATTTGTTTTTTGGAGGCTTTGACTTCAGCCAGGTAAAATAGACTGATAGCGATGCATATATCATCTTTGACTAGCAGAACTGATATGTGATGAAATTCAATTATTAATATGAGACAGCTTTGTGACGAGTGATTTAAATTTTGAAAAATAGTATGAAAACTGTAAGTTATTTTTTTAACTGCTTTCAATTTTCAAAACTCGTTCTCTGTTAATAATTATTTTCATTTGTTCAAATCTCTGGCTGCTTATTTTTATAAGTAAAATATAGCTATAAATACAATTATTTTCTTCTTAGTGTATATAATGTATAAAAGTTTCGCGATTGTTCCTGTTAAAGACTATATCGGTAAACTTTTTCTTTGTATGTTCTTCAAGATTTCTATGATCAAGTGGCAATCAAGCTGATAATCAAGGTGTTTTGGTTAAATGTGATAGTTAATTTCCTTTTAAGGTTTTGAAATGCACTCTATTATATATTGATCTGTCAGAGCTATGAAAATGTTTCTTCCGGTTTGGTAATTAGAGGTATCTAAATTAGAATTGATAGGAAAAGTAACTTAAATCCTGTGGTATCATTCAGATTGTAATTAATTCATAATGATTATTAGCATGTAATTAGGATTATTTCTTTGTTTAATACTTACGCTACCTGAGATAATGTCTCTAGGCGTGTATTTTTTTAGCAGCGTCTGTTAATAATTAAAACCAAGTTCGTTTAAATAAATAGGAAGTGTGGATTGCAATGTAGAAAAAGAATATCAGGTACTGGCAAAGATCTCAGTTAAGAGGGTTTGGAGCAAGAGGGAAAAAGGTGATTTATAATTTTGTCAGTTAAGGTGATTTTTTTAGTTAAGGTGAATTATCAAGTTGAAGTATCCAGGCGGAAGAAATTGATTTCTAACGCTAGAAGTTACGGGCAATCACAAGAAATCAGAGAAATCACCAAAAATTACTAGAAATCAAGAAATCAGTTTGCTCCCCATAGCTTTCAATCAAATCCATTTATTATAAATGCACCGTGAACTGCACATCATTTTCTTGTCAGAAGCATAGAAATAGATGGCTCTGTTATTTATTTTTCTTATAGAAGTCATATAATATGGAAGAAAACAAACAAAAAAATTATTTTTTCTTTTGAACCCTCTTTAGGCTATCAGATGACGAAATAGGTTTAGTTTTAGAAAGGTTGTTTATCACCATGTACTATGATAGTATTTGGCATATTATTTATGATCACTTTGAGAAAAATACGTACTCGTATTCAACCCACAACAAATACAGTTGGAACAAAAGGAGTTTTACGAAAGCGAGATCGAGACTCGATTAGAATAACATTGACCGAAGTACTTGTTTATCTAATCACCACAACACCTTACACACCCACTTTGAATGTTGTCATTACAAACTTATATTTATTAATATGTTTATACACTGTCTCATTTGCAACGATATCGAAAAACGTTATGCCTAATAAGTTAAACTGATAGTCATTGGAATCGGGGAAATCATTTGGTGGCATCTAGCAAGCTCTGATATATGTATGATAGGAATAAATCCTCAATTTCGTGGAAATATCATTTCTAATTCAAGCTATTTATATCTACTGTATGATAAGAGAACTTTTTTCAGAATCTTAGTAAAGAAAAATAGGTTCGATGTGTGAGGTTATAGGGTCGATTCAAGATAAATAGATTCCGTCGAAGTGCATAACATTTGGGATCGTACTAACTAACTAGTGTAATATTTATTTCTAGTTTTATCGATTTATCAAAAAACAAAGTCATATGATTTCTTAAAGACGAATTTTTCACGCAGAAATCATTTCCAATAGCTCATGTTTACATAGATCAATATTATTATCAAAGCACAAAATAATTTTTGGAAAATTGATTCTGCTTTCAAAGATTCATGGCAGTAACGAATATCTCCAACAAATATGCAGAGATTCGATTTATAGTTTTTAGTCTAAAGTATATGATAACAGATGTAAAAAAATTATATAGATTGACACTAAATGAAGAATATTTTTCATGGCTGAGATGAGTTGCCATGTAAACTGTTAAAAGTCAAGGGTATATGCAAATGAATTCATATGATCACGCGCAGTTGCATTCATAACATTTTTATTGTCATACTTTTCAATTGTAATCATCCGAGAACAAAATACTTCACATTTCTAACTCAAGTAACATATTATTAATAATTATTTTATTGGCCCTCCTCCTTAGTTATTCTCTGTACGTCCTGTTTTTAAAACATTGATAGCCTTTGATTATGAGTATTCTTTTAATGAATGCATAAGGAAACGCCATGGTGTTCTTATTGTCTGGATAAAATTCAGCTTCAATACCTGCTTCAATAAAACAATTGAAACTTGGAGAAGAAACTATATTATCAGTTCGGCACGAGAGAAGAATTACCAAAAGAAGAATTGCACGCAATAGGCAAAAACATTAGCCGGGATAAATTTCCAGTCACCTGAATCTATATTTCTGGAAAAGAGTAAATCGATAAAATGTATGTTAATGCACTGCATTGGACGTAAAATATATTTGAAATGTTAACTATCCGCGGTATAATATCAGTCATTGTTTCAAATAGATAGTACTCAAGTTGCTAAGATATATCAGCTTTTTAAAACATTTTATAATTTCCAATAATAAAGGTGTAGTTTACAGACGTATATATATCTAATAATAAATAGTTAAAACTTTTATATGAGAGATAATAAACTAATCTTTTTATTTAAGCTTGAAAACTAAACTGTCAAGAATCAAATATAAAACAAGTGACAATCAATAACCTGATGATTACGATAAAGATATGACTCGAATCTTTAAGGGTATTAACAGTGTTTGAATTTTCATATTTAATTCTAAAACAGAACGATTATATACAGGACTGAAACAAAAATTTTTATCAGATGATAATCTACAATGTCAGTACCATATAGATCTTTGAGAATTTACATGGTACTAATTCAAGCATTGTAGTCACTGTAGTTAGCTCTTGTTAATGAATTATTTAAAATATACAATTTCAAGATACTTTTCGAATGTCTAAGGAAAAGCAGACTCATCACAGGATTGCATTCTACAGAGCTGTTCATTTACTATAGATACAATACAACCTCTATATTCATACATAATTGTATACTTTAGATGTCACCAATGAATGCCTTTTTAGGCAATAGGAATGGTTGCTCTGAATATCCAATCTTCTGTTCGAATTGATAGTCAGTCAGTCGGTCGATCGGTTCAGTACAATAGATAGTCATAACCATAAAATTAATTAATTCTGATTTTGAAATATTTTATCGTGGAAATAAAAGAATTGATTTTTTGAATAGATAATGGATTCACGAAAAAAAACCACGACTAAAAAAGAAGCATTCTCAGCATTAACAACATTCTATTTATTTATCTATAATGGTATTCTTACTGTTGGGTTCGTAAAATATTTTATTTGAAAATAAATATAATTTCATATCTAATTTTTTTGCATTAAGGTGGTCATTTATCTTGTATGCAACAGTAAATCAGGTAATGACCTATAAATCAGTGGGTGATTTGTGGGAATGTCGTGGACTTTGGAAGGCTATTGAATTACAACTTAAAATTTGCCAAACAGCAGCTTTTCTTGAAGTAAGAATATTTTATTTGTATTATTGTATTCAATTTTTAAAATGATATTATATTTTTAAGGTCATACATGCCATGTTTGGTCTTGTTCGATCAAATCCAATGATTGTGTTAGTTCAAATTATGTCTCGTGTTTTTCTTGTTTGGGGTGTTGCTAATTATATTCCACAAGTAAGATGATCAATGAATAACAAAACTAATTTTATAACACAATAAGAGATACTATAGATATGTTTGTTAAACTTATAATTTTTTAAATTATAGTATTCTCTTTTTGACTATGATTTAGAAAACTATCACTCAATTTTCTTCAAATAATTGTTTATTCTAGACTCAATTTTCAGTTGGTATTTTATTAGCTGTCGTAGCATGGAGCATTACAGAAATTATTCGATATGCCTATTATGTTCTTAACTTATTCCAAGCTGCTCCTCAAATTCTTACATGGTGTCGGTCTGTTGAAGAAGATTTTCATTTGAAATACAACCATATATGTATATATTTAGATACACATTTTTTATTATCCTCTATCCAATGGGTGTAACAGTATGTTCTATCTTGGGAATAAATCTTTAAAAACATTATTTGTATGGTTCTTCTCATAGGGTGAACTAACAACAATAGCAAAAGCCATGCAAACAATCTATCCCGAAGTATTTCGAAATCGATATTCAATTCTTTTACCAAACAAATTCAATTTTGGTCTTGATTATTTTTATTTTCTTGCCGTTGTTGTTTGTGCTTATGCGTGTAAGTTTATTTTGCTTATATCGAAAAATAGATATTCATTAGATAATTTAAACATTGAGATAAAAAATGTATTAAAACTATGCAAGATAGGAGTCTTTAGTTTGCAAAATTTTGTACTGAAGCATTTCATAATCAAACGATGTAATATTCACAGGTGATAAATCTATTTTCATCTGAAATATATTGAAACGATCCGGTCTATTAATTAGATAAATATCTTTGAGTGACTCGAATAGCTGAAACCTTAGACAAAATATGAAAGTTTTAGTAGATTAATCTGGTAGGATTTTATTTTCCAAGTGAAATTATAATTTTGGCCTTATATTAGCACGTAGAGTAGGAAAGATGTCTGAATTTTTGATTTCTGAGAATTAAGTTTTAAAAATAGTCCCATCTCAAAGAGACACAGTCAGAAGGAGATGTCTCATTTTTTTCTACTTGTAAAAGTTGAGGCCAAAATTATAATTTCGCTCAAAAACTAGGATTCTACAAAAGTATCCTAGCATTCAATAAATTCTACTGATTAGATTTAGCTCTATTGTAAAAATACTATGAACATCAAAATAGAAATCTACTGAATTTGTAGTTCAGGAAAATGTTGTTGTTTTTGTGGTATTTCTTATTTGTACAAAACAAATTAGAAATAAGTTTTTATTGCAAACTTAGTCATCAATGAAAACAATGAAAGTATACTTTCGATCAGTTGTTACATAAATGTGTTCTTTTTTCTTCTATTTAGATTTTCCAACGATGTACAAGCATATGTTTAAGCAACGTGCTAAGACCTTGAATACTTCGCCATCAAAAAAGGTTGATTAAAAATTAATTTGAAGAATATTTTGATACGCACACATGAGCTTCAATCAACTTTTGTAATCTGTGTGTTTTACATGATCAAACAAAATAGAAAGAACTTACTGCATCTATTATGCATGATTTCCTTGCGTTACAATAAAATAAAGAGATGTAATTGTTATCATTTAGTAACAGAAATATGTCAAGAAGCAAAAAGACGTTCTAACGTAGATTTATTCTTCATAATAGCCTATAAAGTCACTTAAAAACATGATTCAGCAGCAATTGAAAGCGAGAATTCAATTGTTCTTAACCGTACAACTTACTAGGAATTTTTCATGAAATCGTTTTTCAATTTATTAAAAAGCATAGTAAACGAGACAAACGGCATAGCTATATAATTCAATCCAGTTTCGTTTACCACCATTCTCTTATTTCTACCGATATTGAAGTGTACACTATGTCTTGTGTATAAAACTTTTCATCATACACATTTACAGTATTTAAACTAATTATTTGGACACTCACTACACCAATCTTGTAAAGCGAATTTCATATTTACGGAAAACGATTTTCTTGACTTTCATTACATCATTCGATAGCCCACAATCTCTACTTTATTCTACAATTAAAATGTTTCTCTTGAAATATATTTTTAATGGATTTTCAAGAAGCCCCTTGATTTTCTACGCAAACGTTTCACTTGGACACTTGTATTATTTCTTTTCTAGTACGTTAATTTCAAAGCAAAGCATTTTGAAAAATAGCTCATTCGATAGAGGGCAAAAAACCTGCTTCGAATGATGTTCTTCGTTTGGAAAATGTTTAAACAAAAGCGAAACTTAATTGTCAAATACTATTAGTTTAGTTTATAAGCCATTCATTAATCTTGATTTTTCAGTCACAAGATAAACTCAAAAACGTTTTCTAAAAGAACATGGTTGTAGAGAATTAAATTTTCGTCCAGATGATGTATTTGAATCTATGGTAAGTATCTTCCTTCGAGTTGTTAGCACCCTTTCCTCTCAAGTGCGCATTCTAGCATGAAGAGAAAAAAAGTAACTGTTTTTCCTTTCGAAATAAACGTACTATTTACGAGTGAACTTGTTTCAATATCCTATAGCAATCAACAAAACGGAAAAAAAGTTACTTTCCCCTCTTCATGCTAGAATGCGCACTTGAGAGGAAAGGGTGCTAACAACTCGAAGGAAGATACTTACCATAGATTCAAATACATCATCTGGACGAAAATTTAATTCTCTACAACCATGTTCTTTTAGAAAACGTTTTTGAGTTTATCTTGTGACTGAAAAATCAAGATTAATGAATGGCTTATAAACTAAACTAATAGTATTTGACAATTAAGTTTCGCTTTTGTTTAAACATTTTCCAAACGAAGAACATCATTCGAAGCAGGTTTTTTGCCCTCTATCGAATGAGCTATTTTTCAAAATGCTTTGCTTTGAAATTAACGTACTAGAAAAGAAATAATACAAGTGTCCAAGTGAAACGTTTGCGTAGAAAATCAAGGGGCTTCTTGAAAATCCATTAAAAATATATTTCAAGAGAAACATTTTAATTGTAGAATAAAGTAGAGATTGTGGGCTATCGAATGATGTAATGAAAGTCAAGAAAATCGTTTTCCGTAAATATGAAATTCGCTTTACAAGATTGGTGTAATGAGTGTCCAAATAATTAGTTTACATACTGTATTCTCTGTACCATCATTACACCAACATTTGGTGCAGGTATGCAATTTATTCGTTTGAAAAGAATTGGATAAATAATTGTTCACAGCATGTCTACAATAATATTAATGGCACATGACTACACAACAGGAACGAGAAAGTGAAAGATGGATATCAATTTTTATTACAATAACTGATTTAATTAAACCACAAATAATTTTATTCGCTATACATATTAGAAATTAAAAATGTACTATAAATTGTGAACATAATTTAGCATTGTTTGTTGCAATCATTTAACATGAAGTTTTCATGAAACATGGCTTGATCTAAATCTCTATGAATTATATTGAATCAATAGTTTCCAAGTTATATTCAAAAAGGAAATACTTGATAACTTAGGAAACTTTATTACAAAATTTTAAATCAATAGATGATCATAGCTAATTGACAGTTGTATATTTAAATTACAAAAATGATTAGTTTTATGTGACGATGCATATGATCATTATCACTGCTCTATTCAAATATGTGTACGGTTGGATTTGGTCTTTGAGAAAAACAAATTTACTTGTAGTTATTTTTGTTCTTTCGTTCTTAGCAATTTATTTTAAAATATTTTAAATGTTACCAACGTATCTGAAAATAACAGAACTTCAGTGCTTCTTTTGATTGAATACCTAATTATGTTCAAGGCGATGATTTCATTCTTTATTTTTTTGTAGCTTAGTATAATGGGATTGACATGAACAAAGAAACCATTTTAATTAAAATTTACTATGGTATGAAATGCACTAAAATATTGGTTCATAAAATCCAAGTGAATTTCTCTGCGACAAGAAGATTTACAAAATGAAATAAAATTTGAATAAGGATACGATTATTAATAAGCATTATTGTTCAGGGCAAGAAATGCGAACTAATCTTCTTCGTATCCTACTCATCTTTTTCTAGCTGAAGAAAGATGATCACTTAGACGTTAAACCTTATTCTTGATAGTGATATTGAAAGACTTTTTTCCTTGGTGAGTATGATTGTTAAGTATTGTTAGAAAAAAAAAGTGAACAAGTTCATCCCACTTCCGTATACTTCTGTGTGAATAGAAATAATTATTAACATCTTCATTCTCTCAGGAAATGTCGCATTGATAGACATGAGTTTTTTTGTATACAGCGCAAAATATGTTTAGAAAATTTCAATTTGTGCTCAGTAATACAGAAATTAATCATTCTATAAAGCACATTTCATTTTTTCGTAGGAAATACCTTAAGTTTGTTTTTTGATATCTATTTCTTCCAATAATGACACTTTTACTTATTCATAAGACATATGGCTATCAATTTAGAAAATGTCAGTCATTACTTGTTACTAAACAAGATGAATAAATTGCATTTTTCAGTGAATAATAAAATCAAATCTTTTCTAGTTCTTCTCTTGTCTATTACATGAGTTTTATCGTCGAACAAACAGCAGGATGACTTTTGTTGTACTAATCAATTCTCTTGGCATAGCCTATGTTTCCAAAGTGAATTTTTTTCTTATGATTCCTTTCAGAACATGAATTTTTCATATCTTTTAAGTTCTATATTTTTAAAGCAATGTGATATTTACATTCAGATTATTGCTTTTGAATTCAGTTTCTTATTAAATTATTCCAGTAGGAGTATATCATGTATGAGGAATTAAAAATTAGTAGAGTTTTTAATTCTCTTTGATATTTTGGCACGGTTCAGTAGCGATCATCAAGCATCACGCAAAGATGTTTATTAATAATTATTTTTGGATTTTCTGACAATGTGCATTCTTTGCTTAGAATTTAAGTACCTATGCTTGAATAAGTCTTGTTTTTCTGATTATTTTCTATTACTAACGTAGTATCAGAACGATTTTATGCTTGATGAGATACTCGACATCAGAAGTGCCTTTAATTATTGTCAAAGCGAGGATTAATTTTCGCTAGAGTCATCATTTTCCTGACGATATGATAACATTTTACTCTTGAAATCATGGAAGTTGTAAATCTAAGGTTTCATATTTCTTGTGTATTCATAACTGACACTGCATTAGACGATTTTGTTAAATAGATTTTCATGAAACAGATTCACTAAACATAAATCCGATTACCGAAACTTTTCTTGGAATATAAAAATACCATCACTCCCTAGAGTGATGGTTTCCGATTTTCAGGAGATCAATCTTTCTCGGAAAAACTTAATCCTGATAAAAATGTAAACTACTGGCACTTTCTGAAGGAAAATTTCCTTTGAAATTCATTTTGTTTAGTTAATATACAACTTTATTCATGTGAGAATATCAGAATAATATAGAAAAAAAAAATAGATGCGCAACTTTTTCTCTCTATAATATTAGAAGCAAAATGACACGAAATGGTTGGTTATAGTTGGTGGAACTAGTGATACTTGATGGATTTTTATTAGTAGACAAAGCAATTTCTCTTGAGAATTATCGTCTTGTGCTTAATAGATGTCTTTCTATATTGCACGCTGACAATATAAACCTGACATTCAGATACAGTTTTAAATGATACGCCGAATGAATGTATTTCGACAGTTGTTGAGAAAAGAAAAGAATCAAAAAAGTTAAACCTATTTGAAATTAGAGGGTGCATCTCTTTTGTACAAGAACGATGTCACTTTTAACATTGTTCAGTCTTAATTATTTCAAACAGTTGATTTAATGATTTTTAATGCATACACTTTCGTATGACTTCAATGTTGAAACCGAATCAAGCAGTTGACATATGTAGATATACTTTGTTTTAAACTATGACATATTATGTTTTGAATATGAGAATACGAGTCGTTTGTGTAATTAGACTATAGTTATATTGTCTCCAGGGTATGATAATGATTATTGTTTTTGATAAATTTATCGTTCTTTGATAAAAACACAAACTCATCTCTATTTAGCACGTTATATAGTTTTTTGTTGCATATCAAAGCTAAATTTATCTTATTATTCGTATTCAAACTTTTCAAAATAAAAATAATATATGTGCACTAGAACAGTGATAGGTTTTTTTCGTATACATATTTTAGTTTAATTTATAATAACAGAATTATACCGATCATATTTTTCATCTTCTTTTCTTTTTAATTTATCAATAAAATGAATGAAATTTTATGGAACTCTTACTTCTATCAGTGCATAGTAGTTCAACCCATTGTAATTCCTTTTACAGGGAAATAATAAATATCTTTAACATGATTGACTAAAAAAAAAGGCTCTCTTTTTGATTCTGTACGTTCATAATTATAAGTTATATGCGGTTTAATTTGATACAACTTTTTCACTAATTGCTATCATTTTTTCATGTAGAAAAATGCAATATGATCCGGTAGTATTATTACGTTTGACTTTCAAAACAGTTCGTTTATTAGGAATTGTTAGGGTTCGAGTAAATTATGCAGTACTTTTTTATATACTTAAATTCTCTAGTTACAATTAATTTATTCTAGGAAAAAATAGTTTTAACAATAGCAGCATTCAACTTTTAACACGTTCATCTATATTAATTTAGCATCGAACCGAATCTAATTGCAGATGATGCATTCTGCTTAGTTATATACACGATCAGTATATCCAATTGAAGTTTATAGAGTGAGCAACGAAGTTCTAGTAATATGATGATTAAGACTATAATAGAATATAGTTTATAATAGGGAAGTATTCAGACTATTCAACTATACAATTGTAAAATTTTATTGAGTTAAATGAAGGAGTACATTACCATCGAAATATATATAGTTGCTATAACAAACGGCTGCCACACCACAGTTCACATGGTACTATACAATTATATTATTATTATCGTTTTTCTTTTGTTGAAAAGCTAACTATCACTAGGAAAACAATTTAAAATATATTAAGTTTGTTTTTATATTATTAACTTGAACAGTACGTTATTTTTTAAACTATTTGAATTTTTATTTCTTAACCAAGAAGAATAGAAAAGATCGATCACTATTCAAATCCTACCTGTCACTCTCAATTATAAATATTGACACGACGAGTTCGAATTCAATACTAATGTAATTATTCGACATTTTCTATTTAGAATATTATGTCACCGTCAATAAACGCTCATCTATTGGAAGCTTTAAATGCAGCTAGTATACAATTAAATCGTTATTTTTCATTATTTATTTTTATTTTTGGTTTCACTGGCAATATCCTTAATATACTTGTTTTAACCGAAAGATCACTTCATTCGAATCGATGTGTATTTCTATTTCTTATGTCATCTATTACTAATCTTATATCAATAATATTGGGTTTAATACCGAGAATATTATCAAGTTGGCAAATCGATTTCATAGAAACAAATGACATTTTTTTTTGTAAACTACGTGCTTTTATTACTTTTACATCAAGAACAGTTGAGTTAGATTTAATTATGTTAGCCACTTGTGAACGATGGATTATGTCATCGAGTAATTTTCAACATCGGCAATTAAGTTCAATAGAAAATGCTCGAAAGGGATTGTTACTATTATATCGATTGCTATTTATTTGCAAATGCTTTATTGTTATAAAGCAAATCTTATAAATACACCATTAAAATGTTATGGTAAAACAACTGCTTGTCGTCTTTTAACTGACATAATATATTCGTGTTTCACTATTTCATTTCCATTAATACCAATGGCTGTTCTTGGTGTATTGACACTATCAAATATACGTAAAAGACGAAGTTGTATGGAGCCTAGAAAAATACGTAGAGAAGAGCGTTTGAATGAGAAATGCCTTATTATTCTACAGCGACAAAGACAACGATGGAAAAAATCGATCGTTATTTACGTCGAATGCTTTTATTACAAGTTATTTCACTTATTCTATTGATTTTTCCACAAGCAATTCATAAAGTATATTTTACAATGTCATCAAATAAAAATAAATCCCAAATGCAATATGATTTCGATCGGTTTTTATATAACTTTGAACTTCTTTTGCCATTTATAGAGAGTGCTTTACCATTCTATATTTATACATTGGCAGGTGGAAAAGTATTTCGTAATGCATTAGAAAAATTATTGTTTTGAACAAAAGACAAACAGATTCTGAAAAAACGATTTTTGTTTTCTTTTTCTATCGCCTGTAAAGCTCTTCTTTCTAAATAACTTAGTACGAAAATTAAATTTTTCTTTTACGAATTTAATATGTGTGTCGATAGGAATTAAAAATCGGCCAGAATTAATATTGAAATTAACTTCGACTAGCAGAACGATAGGATAAATGATATATATATATAATTAAAATTACAGATTAGAGTAGCTCAATAGATTTAGTAATATTCTTGAGTATTGAATAATAGCAAAATATAGTATATGTAATATTCCAGGCGATGAAAAAGACTCGCGTGAAGTTTGAAATAATAAGATCATATTTTATTTATGTAATCTTGATGCAATTTAAATATTCTCTCGACACCAAATATCATATGTCTAATAAATAGATGTAATCAAGTAGATAGCTTCATCATGATCAAGTTAGGATTATTCTGACGATCTATTAGTTCAAGTTATGTAAGATCATATTAAACATTTTTCATGTATTAATATCAATAGAACAAGTCTAAGCGACATCTTTCAATTCTTTCAATTGATGGATGTACTTGATGTACGCCTTTTTTTATTATGTTATGAGTAAATAAAGTTATTTTGCATTATGAATTTAGTTGTTCTTTAAAATGAATTGTAGGTACTATCAATCGACTTATTTCTAATATTGAACAGTAATTGCACAACATATGAACATGATAGGAATCAAAAATATGGATTAAAAAAAAAACTGATACGGCGCTTTATAGTTGAGTAATAAATCATTCTGTAAATAGAAGCCTTTATTTATAAAAAAAGAATGGAATTATCGTTGTTTGTAAAACATCATCTTCCAACAAAAACGGAAGATATTCAACTATTGCTTCGTACATTACTTGGAATTTAATTACTCGGGCAAGTTATAAATGTGTACAACCGCCTAGTTTTTATTTATTTTTGTGTCAAGAATATCATGAGAGTAGATATAATAAAAATCAATAGTGATTATCATATATCTATCTATCTTTTGTTGTTTCAACGATACGTCATTAACCAGACAGACTTATGTACGAGTGAGTACCTTAAGATGGAAAACATTTCATTAGACTTTTCTGAATTTCTATTTCAATATATTGATAAAATTCAAGATAAACAATGGCATTACCGTTCTGAGACAGTACAAAATTTCCGTGGATATTTAAAAAGAAAATATTTTTCTTTAAAAACTTTTCGGGGAATAAATTTCATCGAACGTCATAGCCTGGAAAGAAAAATAATAAAAACTTGAAAATTTTCTTTCTATTTCACAAGTTTAATAGAGTTTGTTACGATCGCAGAGCACAACAAAAATATTTAAAAACCATTTTCTAGACCTCCGCTAGTAATATAGCTTATGCATATACGTATAGCGCTACAGGCCAATATTTAAATTTGACTTTTAAATTGATTCAGTCATTATTTTGTCGTTGGACGTGTTGATACATAGAGTTTGGTGATTTCGATCCATCACTATCATGCAGCTAAATAGGTAAAAACGACGACTTCTAGTATTTAGTTCTCTGAGTATCACTTGAAACTTCCAAGTTGGAAGTGACATTGTTGTAATAATTTATTGATTTGTTTTTATAAATAACACGTTCTAAAATTCTTAGGTAAACACAAGCAAGTCTTGAAAGATTTCAAGCAGCTTAAATAAATTTAGTTCTCAGTTTTAAAACTTGATACCGCCTTTCTTATAGCCCTATTTTTATAGTGATAATTTACAGTTTACAATATTCGATTTATTTCAAAGTTTCTAAATAATAATACAATATCACACGTATAAATTACTAAACAGTGCTTTATGAGATATCATCTCACATAGAATCGACATTATTTGTTGTAACTTAGCAACATGTAAAATCAATTAAGTACAATTCACATGAGTTTTGAAGTCTTTTATATATATATATATCAGACAAAACGTACTACATCAAGTTTCATGGTAGTTCTCTCAGTTACTGTGTCACATCAGGATAGTAAAAATTTGTGCTATTATTGTGATTGGTATGAAACGCTTCCAATGTTTTTGGTGAAAATTGAAACGTATACCGAGAATTTGTTTTTTGCATGATACCTAATTTATAATACCATCTCACCGCACGCGCAAATTTATCGTAGTTCATTTGTTTAAGTGATTGTCTACTTTTCACTTGTTGCCAAAGCATAGCAACTTTGTCAGGTTCATGGATTTGAAAAATACCCTGAGACTTGTTCGTAAAAGATGCGTACGACGTATAATTTGGATTTTTTAATAGAAGAAAAAGAAATTCGAAAAGGCGTGGTGGTCTTTGACGCTTCGACACTGAATCCATAATCTGCCAATCTTTTGAATTTATTAAAGTATTGTTCGAGACATATTCATTTTGAATAAATGTTGGTTGAAGTTCGTTAGATAACGACAACGAATCATCTATAAAACTGCCTAGATCGGCGCGATCAAACAAAGAAGGATCCAAAGCATAAGGGTTCATAGCAGTATCAAAATCGAATGGCGGCATTTCATCAAGAATATCTAATCCCAATTTATCGCCATTGTCATCAAGAATATGTAATCCCAATTCATAATCATCATTATCAAATAAATTTAATGATAGATCCACAGCATAGTCATCCATCATAATTTAAAATAGAACACCAAGATATGGAAGTTTTGTAAAATTGACTAAATAAAGAATGTCTGTGTTGCTTTATATATATATATATATATATATACTATTGGCTTTATAGATTGCAGCATCGAGTATTTGGAAACTACCAACTTACATTCATAACACATGAAATACTGTCAGCATCATTAGAGAAAAGAACGGACAAACATTTTTCTCTTCTAACGAAGTCACCTGTTTTTGTCTACCATGCGTCACCACTTTAACGATTAATAGAATGAAACTTGAAAAGAAAAAACCTATGTATAGTAATGTTACAAGAATCTTTTTGACAAGGATGAGTGATACTAAAAGCGTGGCAGACGTTGACTTTTGATTTTAATTAATAATATTACACAGTCTAGGATCAACGCTATTTTTAAAATATTTCCATCAATTGGAGTAAATTTTTTTTTCATCCTATTGATACTGGCTTTTTCCAATTATGATACTTTCACGAAAATATTTTAACATCAATCACACATCGAATGAGTAAAATATTGTACTTAATCATGTGTTTTCTATTGCAGAATTACATACTATTCTTCGAATAAAATTGAGTTAAGGTGAACCAAAGTCAAAAATCGAGCAGGAGAAACAAAATCCTTTTATTATTACATGGATAGATAGAGCTCGATGAGTAGATCATGAGTATCACCTTTTAAATGTTTCTAGGCTTCCATTTTGGCTGAGAAATTTTCAAAATATAGAGTGCACCTGAAAAAGTCAATATTTCACTTTTTTCGAGAAAACTCGTAATTTACGTAGCTTAACAATGTTCAATGTTTAGAAAACTATCATCATCGAATTCAGCATGGAAATCTGAATCTACTGATGTAACGTTGGCCAGTAAAAAGCATAAGTTTCAAGTTTGAGGAGTTCAACTGGGTCTCCATATAGACACCTTGAAATTGGTGTCTCACAAAATCATCAACTATTTTTTTTTGAAAGCAATTCTCGGACTTTCTTATATGATTCGAACCGCCGAGTGATAGCTGACCAAAATTATATATTCAGTTTGAAAAATATTGTTCCCTTTTGAGAAAATCGATTTTTACTAGATCGGTGGCCATAGGTTAAAGAATTGTACTCTTTTTTCCGGATTTCGACTACCAAAGCTCAATTTTCATGCAAATAAACATCAGATTCTGAATTAGCAGGAAAAACTACATTGGCTATCACAAATTTTATCAAAAAATAATTTTCATCAAAATTCCAGCCTACTCCTTTTCAGTCATTTTTTCTAGATTTTGTCCTGTGGTGCACCATAGGTAAAATTTTAATGAAAATTATTTTTGAAAAAATTTACGATAGTCAATGCTGTTTTTTTGTGCTGATTCTGAATGTGATGTTCATTTTTGCGAAGCACGATCTGAAAGGAGTGTTGAAGTATATAGGGTAGACATTTGGGCCCATCCCCANCAGCCAAAATGGAAGCCTAGAAACATTTAAAAGGTGATACTCATGATCTACTCATCGAGCTCTATCTATCCATGTAATAATAAAAGGATTTTGTTTCTCCTGCTCGATTTTTGACTTTGGTGCACCTTATGTTCCAGCTATACTTTAGTTCATCAACATCTTTTATAAACATGAGAATAAGTTCAAAGTTTGAGTCGTAACATATTCTTCTTTCTTATAATATTGAAGGTTTCCAAGATGAAAAAAGTCATTATTTGCATAATGCATTATCGATAGGTGTTCAGTCTCATAGAAACCTACGGTTATTAATGATATGGTAAGTTCGCAATAGTTTTCTCACCAAACTAGAAGAAGTATAAATTTCTGAAATTGATACGAGTATGTAACATATCGACAATAGAATTCTTATGATCATAAAAATGTTTTATAACTCATAGATATCAGGTTGTTTTTATGCGATCTTATATAGAACGGAACTCTCTGATTAGACTTTACAATTTTGTTCTTCAATTCACAGACATCGTCTAGACTTGAGACATGATTAAAACACTAATCTTACTCTATAGCTGTGATCTTTAAAGTGTGGCTTTAAAAATTCGATTACTTAGTTAAAAGCTAATTGAAAGTTAATTTTTCTGTAATATGTATTATTCATTCTTTGAAGTATGAAAAAAAAATATCAGATATCATCATATTGTATTATGTAGAATTACGATGTAAAATAGTCGGCATCAGATGAGCACTATCTGTGAAGGAAAGCTGCAACTAAAAGTTACCGTTTTTCCCTTGACTATCCTTTGTATCGAATAGATAATCATTTAAATATTCTGTACAGATTAATTTACATCAAAATCTGTAAAATTAATTAATTGTCAAAACTAGAATTCAATCATTGTATTTTCAACGATATCGCAAGAAATTCATTATTCCTGAATAGCCAGCAAAATAAATAAATAAATGATTTTCAAAGTTTTCCATCCATCCAATATGACATAATTGTATATATTCCTTTGATGACTTTGAAGTGCTCCCGCATACCACATGGTACGTTCTCAGTTGGAGAACAGGCAATTTATCCAACTAGAGAGTATCCTCTTAGAAACAAAAACAATAACTGGGTATTATGTTGGTTGATGAGTCACAATTCATGACAACAGAAATAAAAACATTTTCTCACACAAGCAACCAGGTAAATAATAAGTTAAAAGAAATATATGTTTCATTTCACAGTCACATATAATTCTAGAAAAAAATGTTGATTTCATCTGGCATGTGTTTCTTTTTAGCTTCTCAGCTTTTTTACGACCGTATACGATCGATATTTGGTGAATGAGAAGCAACTGCTCGATTCGAATCTCAAATAGCAAATAATAATTTTCGGATGCTTGTAAAAACTTGTGTAGGCAAAACCCAACAACGAGTTTCAATTCAAGCATGAACCTTATCGAAATAAGAGTTGGACCATAAATCAGATAGTGCATACGCAGCTCATTCGATGCGTTACTAAATGTGTGATTTTAGTGACGGTATGAGTGGATGAGAATGTTACAAATGAAAATGAAGCATAGAAAACCAAACACGCATTCTCCTCTATACACAAACCAAACCTAAGCATACATTTACAATCTACCCTCATTCTTCTTTCTATAGTTTTTGAAGTGTGTGTTACACCGACTTTTTCATGATTGCTTGTACATACAGGTACAAAATTATTTAAATGCAACTCAAAGTATCTTATTTTACAAGTTTCCATTCGATGAAAACAATGAAATACGAATTAAACTCCAATCTTACATCGAAAGAAGTTTTTAAATGATGAATTCAAGTCGATAATCCCTTTGTTAAATATGAGGAACACGTTTCATGGATTCCATCGATAATCTGTAGCATTGATTAAAAAAAAGAAGAGCAAAGATACATAAAGTCTACTTGAAATAGTATTTGAAAGTCATTGACTACTGTTTTCATGTGACAGCAGTATTTTCTTCAGAAACAACTGTTTGACTTAAAACTTATTGGCACAATACCATCATTTCAGATAAAGCTTCATGGTATGCAGCTCTTTCTTTTTTGAAGACAAGAACTTGATATGATTTTCAGTCTCTAAAATACTTGAGCAATAGAACATTGTAAGGATGCAAAGTTAAATAAAATAATCGGAATAGCTACAATTTTCATGGCAGTATGGTATGATATACAAAGATCTAATTAGACTCTGATGCAGATAGACACATATGCCTTGGATATTGTGAGCACTTTCTCAGCGATGAAATAAGATCCTGCAGTCAAAGCCATATAGTCTAACACTCATTTTCAACTGAGTTTAAAATTTCTGTAACCGGTTCTATCGCATGACTGAGACTATTCAACACGTTCTACACATGCAGTCTCGGTGCTTTTTCAAAATTTGCATTCACTCTTTCTAAGCGCGATCCTAAATTATGCAATTGAGTTCATATTGATATTAAAATATTGAAACCAATGATTTACATTCAATGAATGCCAAGTGAATAAAATCTTACTATTGGTTTTTGTTCATCACGCAGATCAATTCCAATCATGCTGATACTACTAGATGAAATGGATTAATATACCAAAATAAACAATCAATGAAAATGATCATGAATAATTCTGTGAAGTATCAGCGAATAGTTCATAAGAATCATAAATATAGATTTTTACTTGTCTTCCTGTTAAAACTGTTTTTGTTTTTGTTTGCCAAGTAATTATTTTGAACGCTATTCAATAAGTTTCAAATCATTAGATAGATGAAAGTATGAATATTCTCTGTGTAAAACAAAAAGATTTTTCAATAAAATACAACAATCTATTAGAAATTTGTCTAGTCTAAAAGTTTTGATAGAAAATAAATTCAAAAAAAGACCGAAATACTGTATCAAAAATATTGATAGAAATTCGACAACGAATAATCATCGATTTCTTAATCAATTATTTATAATCATATTTCAACTCATTCATTATTACGTACTATTTCAGCACTCGATTACAAAAAAAGAAGCTATACGATTTAGTTATTTCTTTTCAGTTTGGGTTGCTTTCCTTTATATTTACATTACAATTATTACGTCAACAAGAATATAATGTTTATGCGTTCGATATAAACAGCTATTGCGACATTTAATAAAGACGCGTGAACGGGGTTTTCGATAGAATGAAAATATAAGACGAGAGAAAAAAATAGTATTAAATAGGTCTGATAGGTGAATAAAACGAAAAGTAAAAGCCAAATTAAGTATATTACACTTCCGTTTTGCCCGAAAACGAGAAGAAAAACGTCGAGCTTATACGGCAGTAGAGACCAATAAGAACGAACCTGAAGCGAGCGATAGTTTCTTTTATTTCTAAATTTTGTTTTTTACGCATCAATTATCTGTCACCAAAGTAATGTCGTCATTTTATCGATTTTCATTCGTTCTAGAGTGACGCATTAAATCACACATTGTTACTTCACCATGTTAGCGAACCAGATTACAAATACTACTCACAGGTTTTATGATGTAGCCGACGAACCATGCGTCTTTTTATTACCAATTGAAGGTTTTAATAAAAAACCGTTAGTTACTCTCGAAGAAGCCACGCAACCATTAATTCCGATTGTTCCCCGTATTTGCACATTTGTACATATAGCTAAATCACGTGCTACAAATTCAGCAGATAATCTAACACGTGACGAATCAGCTGCAATTGCATTATATACCATGGAATGGCAACCAACTACACAATCACTCTACTATATTCTTAATACAACATTACGTCAGGAAGATCGAAATAAACTAAAGCCATGGTTTTCGTATCTTAAACTTATATTAACTGGTTTGTCTCATCTTCAATCAACATCTCATCGGGTATATCGTGGAGTTAGAAATATCATTGAAAGAGAACGTGAAAAATATACCGTAGGAAAGAGAATTGTTTGGTGGGGCTTTTCATCCTGTTCAAAAAAGCGCGAGGTAACTGAAACTGATAATTTTCTTGGAGAATCTGGTACAAGAACATTATTTATCATTGATTGCACTACAGGAAAAAATATTGAGAAACATTCATATTTTACAAAAGAAACTGAAATCTTACTTTTACCTACTACGACAGTTGAAGTTACTGGTTATGAACAGAAGGAAGATAATTTGCATATTATTTATCTTCAAGAAGTAAAGTCAATTCCTGGTCTCATAGAACCTATATCTTCGGAAAGTGAACGTGATGTTTTGAAAGTTGCATCGAAGGGAAGACCAGTCGCATTCGCACGAAGAAGATCGATCTCGGAAGCGAATAGGGATGTTAGTTCTAAATTTCAAGAACTGATCACACGACACAAAAATGGATGTGACGTTTTCTTACGAGAAATACGTCTTAAAGAATGTGATGTAAAATTTATTGTTGAACAATTGGTGATGAAGAAACGATGTCCAAACTTATTTCTAAGAGAAAATGGCTTAAAACCTGAAGGAGCATTTATTATTTCTGAAGCTTTACGTGATAATGATACATTACAAATGTTATTTATTGCTGAAAATAAACTTGGCGATGAAGGAGTCAAATTTCTTGCTCGAGCACTTTCCGGTGATAGCAATACAACTCTTAAACAGCTTAATCTTGCTCGTAATAGTATTACAGATCAAGGTGTTAAATATATTGCAAAAATGCTAGAATCAAATAAAGTAATAACTCATTTGTGGTTAGGAGAAAATCAAATAACGGATCAAGGTTTACAACTATTATGTGAAGTACTCACAAATCAGAACAGAACTTTACAAGAACTTTCACTCGAATGGAATAAATTTCGTAGCAATGCAACTGTTCAAATTCTTGTCAATATGTTTCATAACAATAAATCATTAGTCAAACTTAATTTAACAAGTTGTAAATTGCCTACATCTGCTACCAGACAATTGAAAGATCTGGCAGAAAAAAAGGAAAATTTCGAATTACTCATCAACTAATATTTAAAACTTTCTTTTGTTGTTAATGTTTAAATTTGTAATATAGAAATGTTTTATTGAATAAATTCAATATTAATTTTATGTTAGAACTTAGAATATGAATAAATGAATCTTTATTCAAGAATTCTATATAGAAGAGAAATCAAATAGACAATGAGATTGAATAATACGTTGTTGAAAGCAAATGCATCACAAACAAGCTTTAATATATATATATACGCACATTCTATTAATATGATTTTGTTTTCATTTAATAGAAGCATGATAACTAACAAGCATAGTTAAAGATCGATGGCACTAATGAGCATTTTTTCTTTTCAACATTTTAAAGACACCCATAGAAATCTGACAGCGTAGAATCGGAATAAAAATTCAATATTTCTTCTCAGAATATGAGGTCAAACCTGTTACAAGATTTTTGTTCGTGAAGTTTTGACTCAAGCTTTTGCACAGTCTTTAAATTAAGTTTGGACAAATATTAATGCGATAAAGGCTATTAAAAGAAGAATGAAAATCTAGTTAAAATACAACAAATCAAAGAACAAATATTTATCAATAATATAGTATGCCAATGATTAGTTTGTCATAAAATATTTATTAATAATGAGTATTCTAGAAAGAAATATCGTGCTAGTTTAATCTACAAAATGTATAAAAAAAAAGATACATGGCATAAACGAAAGCATATACAAATGCAGTACGATTATTGTATACAACTATATTGCATAGCATTATGACTGAAGAGATTTAATACAGATCCCATTGAAAAAATACGGTTCCAAGCAAAAGAACCAATAAAAAAACAATAATTATCAGCAATTATTTGCATCGGTTACGATTAAAGAATAATATACAATTTCTAATTAACATATATATATATACACGTGATGTATAGAGAGAGTAGATAATTATTTGATTTAAATTTGACGACATCAATGACAAGAAAACGCTAGAATTATTATCTGAATTGTAAATAATCATTCCAGTGACGACTACGTTGCTAAGATAAGTAACCAGACAATGATTCCATTGAACATTTGCATTGGTCCTTCGCGAAAGTTGACGAGTATTCCAATTTTGTGCTTCTGTGATAAAAGGTTAACACTGTGTATAAGAAGCTTTTGGAAAAAAAATTCATGTTCAACCAATGTATCTCTTGCTATGTTTACAATTTGACAGCAAAGGAAATCGAAAACAAAATTGAATACTTTCATAAATCTTAATCGTTTTTCAAAGTAGTTCATAGATTGTTCGTGTTGTTGTAACATTATTATGACAAAGAGAATATGTCTATTGAAAAGAATATTTATTTGATTCAACGACACACTTGATAGAATTAATATGAATACTGTTGATCAATTGTATATGAATGTTGTTTCTTTGATTTAGTTGTCACGTTTTTTTTTACTTTTTATCATTTAAACTGCATCTATCATAGATTATTTTGTTCGATGACATTGAATTTCGCATTAGAAGAAGCAAATGTATATTGTTTTCGACTTCATTTCGCATCTACGTATATGATTGTTGACATAAATATTTTCCCATTTTTACTCAAATAGTTTTTATTGATGTTATTTCTCATTTCAAAAACGATCAAATAAAATATTGATTCTTTTTCGCATTTTCACCGAGTCTTCTGATTATTGACAAGATTTATTCGCCACAGACGCTTATATTGATATAGAGGTATGACTCAGTAGTAAAATTACGTACACCTTTTTTCTTTTCTGACATCAAAACCTGGTACTATAAAATATGAATTGTCAATATTAATCATTTTTTTGCGTTCTTTCTTTGGGATGTCAACAAGAAGTGTTTTTTTCAGACGAAAAATATCTACATTTATTTATTTCGCTTATTAGCCGTAAAACGAAAATATGTCAGCAATAGCATTTTGTACTCTATGTGAAAATAAAGGTGTTAGTGGCATATTCCGATGTGAAGGATGTTCACAAACATTTTGTTTGCAACATACCAATGAACATCGACAATATCTAACTCATCAATTAAAAGAAATAATGCTTGAAAATGAGGCTATTTTTAAGTGTTTCAACGATAATGAACAATCGTCTTTATTGCTCGATCAAATCAATCAATGGGAAAAAGATTCAATTGTAAAAATACAGCAAACAGCACAAAATGCACGTTTACAAATTCAACAATTTTCTCAGGTACAAAAAGGTATTGTAAATAAGTTTTCAATCAATTGAAAAAAAACAAAATGCTTTTCTATTTTCATTTAGAACAAACGAAAGAGAAATTCAGTCAAATTAATAAACAATTAGAAGAGGCTCTTCAAACTCAAAAATACCTTGAAAGGGATCTCTATCGATGGAAAATTCTTCTTGAACAACTTCAATATGATTTATGTATGATTTCTCCATTAATTATTTTTCATCAAGATCATAGCCAAGGATTGATTAACAATATATTTATTTTGAAAAAGGATCAACAGTCAATTCTAAATGAAAAACTTATTAGTTCTTCTACAGAAATCTACTTCGACGATAAACATCATGTTGCTATGCATTGTGGTCCTTGTCGAGCTCCTGCTCATGTCACTGGTACACAAGAATATTCATCAGGTCAACATCAAATACGATTATTTATTAGTAAAAGTACAGATGAATTCATTCTTTCATTCAATATTATGTCAAAACTAATGCCCATGTCAACTGTCTCATCTGATTCACAATATTTAACGTATGGTTGGCAAAGTAATGATTGTATCAATCCGTTTCACTGTTCTTTAGCAAGTGACAAACATTTTCAAGATTTGAGAGGAAAAACAAAATTTCATATTAAACTTTTTATGGATTGTGATCAACAAAAAATTAGTTATTTCAATGAAAAAACAAAACAGACGAGAGAAATCAATGTTGATATTCAAAAATGCCCTCTACCGTGGAAACTTTTGTTTTATTTATATGATATCGGAGATTCTGTCCGGCTTCTTTCGTCATGTCCATTATCATAATTTTCTATCAATGATCATTGTTTTGTTCTTCCAAATTTAGTCTCTACTTAAAGGAATAAACGAATAAAATAATGGCACAATATTCCTTTTTTTGCGTTCTTTTATTTTATTATACCCTACGGATCGACGAAAAAAAAATCGTTACTATTTGCTTTCTTTTTGTTTTTTTTTGATAGAAAAAAAAGCGTTCATGATATTGACATCTGTATCTCTAAAAACACTTTGTATCACGTGTGTTAATAAAATTTCAGGTCTATTTTGATGTAAACGATACTTACAGCAAGATTTTGTCGAAAGCATCTTAAACAACATCGATATTTCTTTAGACGATAATTGAATGCAATCATTTAAGATAATGATACTTTACAAGAAAAAACCTGTTATTGAAAGCGAAAACAAGCAAAGAAAACATCTTTCTATTCTCAAAAAGACTAATCAATGGAAGAATAGATCAATTGAGAAAATTACGAAATCAATTATCAGTGAAAGTAAAAACAATGAGACTAGCTTACAAATAGATCAGTTCGAAGAAAACGATTGTCAATTTCATTTCATGAGCATTTCAAAAAACAATGCATGTTGCTAATCATTGCTGAGATATGAAAGATCAGTATTCATTCAAAGTCGACCTTCTACTTGATTGTAACAATCGAAAAATAATTGATATTAATCCATAAACAAAAAGAAAACGAAGAAAGTTAAATATCCATACTAACGTAAGAAGTGTCGTTCATTATATTCGAATATTGAATTATTTGAGACAGAAATTCTCAGATTATTTCAATCGTTTTCTCTTTGTGGGCTCACTACAATTTACCAAAGTTAAGATGCAAGAGTCATGATTGAACATAGTTTGTTGTGACAAATAAAAATTGACGTTTGACAAATTTTTAATAATTTTTTACACATTTTTCACAGCATCTTCATTAGAGCATTGATTTCTACAAGTGTTAGACAAACAAGACATTTTTAATATTTCGAAAAAAAATGAATATAATTTTAGTTATTGAATTAATAAAAAATAAGATTTTATAGACAATTCTTTTTAGCTGAACTTTTTCTCAAAAGTGACTGAAAATGTTAAACATCAGAACAATAATACTGTATGGAATAATCATTTTAATTTATTCGAAGGTTATCTGCAAGCAGCGTGGCGCAGTGGAAGCGTGCTGGGCTCATAACTCAGAGGTCGGTAGATCGAAACTACTCGCTGCTACTATCCTTTTTTTTCAACAAATATTTTTTAACCTAAAATATTCAAAACGGTGTGACTCTATTAAAATGAATTTCTTTCCTGGGAGCTAAAACACGTTATAATGATAAAGGTCACGACTTTGTTATTTTGTATTTTTAGTAAAAAGAAGAAAATATCTTTGATTCATTTTCTCGAGATACATATCTGGAAAACAAAAATTAATTGAATCGATTACGATAAATATACGACGCTTTCATTCTATTCTCTTCATTCGTGCTTAGGGTACACTATGGCTAACTAATCGATGTAATCTTGTCTAATTTATTAGCTTAAATACACCAAGTACTGGCCACTAAATATTTCACCGAATATTTGAAAAAAATTCGTCCTTCATGATTAAATATGCGATTAAAATTAAGATGTTATTTATGTTTAAAATCACTGACAGATTATATCAATCTTTACAATCACTAGCATTTCAATGTCACAAGTTGATGCTATTTTGACAAAAAGATCAACAAATAAATCAATATTAACGAAACAACTGTGAGGGAATGAAACAGATCGTATAAATAAGTCTATGTATATTGATTAGTTATATTGTAGAAAAAAAGAAGATTAATATTTAAATTTTATATGAAGAAGTAATGTATTCAATTATTTTTCTACATTATTATTTTTATAGATATCGACTGTTTTATAAGGATCTATCCAACAATAGTAGATCTATCTGAGTCATCCGTATAAACCAGAGAAATTGGATTAGAATAGCTTGCAAGATCTATCTATTTACCGACGAATTTTTCTAGTTGAACCTACTATTTAGTTCCACCTCGAAACTAACCACTAGATGCACTTTTGCAAATTGACAGATTAAATGAAACCGATTTTATGTAATCGATTCAAAGGAACAGTGACAATTGCTGCTCAATCATTATCTGATTGAACTGTTTGTTGACGTATAATAACCTATTTTAGTGCCATTATCAAGTAACAAACTAATACGAGTAATGAAACTATTGTGTGATCCCACTAATGAAAATCCATCACGAGGGAGTTCACTTTATATATATATATATATATATATATATATGTTTGTCTTCTATGAACCTATTACATCACTAATTGCAAAATTTCGATTGCCAACTTTAGTGTTAAACTTTCGACTACCAATTGTATCTCTTACTTCAATCGTATAAAATTTTCGCGCAACAAACTTAAATTTCCTATCGTTTGCTTCATTGTTTTTTAATGTTTGTGAATCAGCAATAGCTGATGTTGATAAATACTAGTCGATTAAGTCAACTAAATTACAGATAAAACCATCGATAGCTCTTTTCGAAAGCTTATCTTTAGGATATGCCATGAAGTATGCGCAAATAAAAATGTCTCTATACGATTCAAGTTTGCTTTTATCTTAAGAGCACGACAAGCAAACACTATAAGTTGGATTTCACCATGATTTTGTCATCTTTTTGTTCAATCAATAAAATTTTATTTTTATCACGTTTGAATGAAGTTGATTTGCTAACAGACTATGTCAATCGTACATATATATATATAGGAGAAGATAACGAAGTACCACCAGTTCAACAAGACTTTTGTAAAGCAAACTATCATGATAAACATCTGAGAAAAACAGTGTACATGAATTTCAAGTATACATATGTTTGGTTAAAATGCGAAAAAAACTAACAATGTACCATTGGAATATGAGCTTTATCTTTTAGTCTTCAAAAATATTGCGAACTCATAGTCGTTATACGTAAGCTTTAAGAATTGTTTTATTTAATTTTGTTCATCGATTAAGAAAATAAATATTAATATCGATTCACTCATACATATAGTGATCGACCAAGTTTTGTTACTTGATGTAGTACAATAGCGTTGGAGACTACAAGCTAACAGAAGGATTTCATTCAGTGCAATATTTTTGGACATGGTGATTCCAAACTCTGCTATTCTCACCAACATAAATATATAGTTATTCATTGCACTGCTATAGCGGCAAGTTTTGTGTCGTTATGAACATCTTTTGTTTGAATCTTAAGTCTCCTATTCAATTTCAACGATGCCAATACATATAGATTCACCTAAAAATTCTGTTTATTGTACAACTCAATGTTTTGCAGGATGACCAGTGACAACATATGTCAAGCTCTTGGTTCGCACATAATATTTATGACATCCATGTTCCTGCATTTTTTTTTCTGTTTACTATAGACGATACATGTGACACAATTGAAAAAATAAAAGCACATTCATCTGCAGCTGTACAATATTTTCAAAACATGCACAAGTAACAAGTAACTATTTTCATTAAGAATACTACTCTCTTTATTTTTAACAGTAATAGAACAAGAATGTTTTTATTAGTAGCGTTTAGAAAAAAAACTTAAGTGATGCTTCATAAACAATGTCACTTTATCGGTGAGCTTACAAGAGTCACTAATTATGATTATGGTCCACGTGTTAAATTTCTATTGGGTATTTTTTCTAATAAAACAAAATCTTATATTCAATTAAATCTATTTGAGTGAAAGATATCGCATCGAAAAACAAATAAGATCAACTGTACATTTTACAGCAGTTTGAAAAATAAATCAAGTATGCCTTGTGTTCATTTTTATAGTTGTTTACGAGTTGCATCTGTTTTAATCTCTGTCGAGAACATATACTAACTGCACTAAAGTTAATTAGAGTATCACCTTCATATTCTTCACACGTCTTTAAAAAAATCAAACGTGGTATAATGAATGTTGATTAGGCGGCTATGAATAAAGGGAAAAGCCTAAAACTACTAAATATACAAGTAAATACAGAGTAAAATTTGGTTAACTAATTTTTTTAAAAAGAAAGATGTTTTTCTATATGCTCATTGTACTTGAAAAAAAAATCTAGGTAAACAAGTAATATTATCTATATTTTATGTTTTAATATCGTCCACATTAGTTAACTAGTAAGAGCAATAGCTCTACGAAATGAATTGATAAGTGTAAAATAAGTTATATGTTTTTATTTTTTCTGTCGAAAGGTTTTCTAAAACATTCTTGATATGATCATTTATTGCAGTGAATTTTATTTTGCTTTCTCCTGTTGAAAGTTCATTTAAGATCACTGATGAAGAAGCTAAAATCATATTGATTTTCTGCTTTTGTCGTGCCAAATTAATTATTTTTTTCAATCATTTAAGATCACTATTAACGACTATTTGGTAAAGTTTTGTGTTTTAATTTGTTATTACTACTGAAAATAAGCATTTGTCTACTTAAATATGGGATGCTTGTTATAATCATTGAAAAAAGATGTATTCAACCGTCGTAATCAAGACTATGGCGAGTTTCACTCATTATCGAACCATCCAGAGCGTGTTCCTCCAAATACAAATATTGAATTGGCATTGGTTTCTACACCAGGATTAACAACAAACTTCGAGGCAAACCAACCAGCATCAACTGCAGAAGTAGTAACCTCATCCAGACGATGTAGTGAATTTTATTTGGCATGTCGAAACAACAAAGTGGGTTAAGTTGAGAAATTACTTCAAACAATGACATTAGATGAAATATATAAAGTGGAACCAGATGATAGTATAGCACTGCATGCTACCATGATCATATTAGACTCGTTCGATTATTACTCGACGCAGGAGCAGATAGAGCAATACAAAATAAATATGGATGTTTACCATTTGACGAAGCACTGAATAATAACATCAAAGATCTATTTTTACGCGTCCCAAACGGAAATCGATTAGTAGGCAACACCGGTGCTATCGAATGTGAATTGATTGATAATGGTGTATTGGGTAAATTTACTATTAACAAAGGATGTCTGAATTTAGAGGGATGTCCAAAATAAACTTTCATAAGTTTCAGGACATCTGCATCTATAAGATGTATTGATATGAAGTTGTGATCATGAAGTAGGATATTTCATTTTAGTGATCACCCTAACAAGATAATGAGAAAAAGCTAGTGCTGCTTTTTCGACTTTATGTTGAAGTATAACCAAAGTGAGAAGAATTTTCATTTCCAAGTTAAAAAATTGGATATTTAGGTTTTTCAATTACTTCTAGCCTTTAAAGCTTAGAAATTTGGAATCAAGGTAGATATTGAGATCTTTAGGTCATGTTCAAACAAACTCAGCAGTATGCACTTTCTGTTTAATTTAGACTTTTTGAATTCGCATATTGCTCTGGATAGGATTATAATGGTGAGACTTTGAAAAGTTAAGTTTTCAGCATTGATTTCACGATCTAACGTAGTTTTAGTATACTTCACATATGAATCATGCAGAAATAAGGAGTGAAATATTTATTGCTAAATAAAAAGTGAAAACAACTTACTTTAGTATTTAAACGATTTTTCAAGGTCTATCTATACTATCGAATTAATAGAATAAGGAGTATATCGAGTGAAACTATGAAAATAGTAAAACTAGATCGACATTGGCTTGGATTCATTCGACCACTGGTAATCTTAAGAATCCGTATGTTCTACTCTGGTGTGAGAATACGTCATAGATGAATATGAAAAATGCCAAAAAGTTTACTTTTTGGAATTTTGTAAGTCATGTAATCGGACGTCTTTTATGTCTAACATTCAAGCGAATGAAGAAAGATCAACAATCAACTCTCTGTCTACGATAGCTATGCTGGCAACAACACCATTAAGAAACTATTTGAAAGAGTCGAAGTCAATGATATTGGCGTGGGACTAGTTAATATCAATGGGGTTCAAAATATCAAACGTTTTTTTCAAAAAGCAACACAAGAACAAAATCCAAGCTGGATAATAAAAGCTAATACAATTGAAACCGAATTCTATACTACATTGAATAAGGAGATAGCAGGAGGTGAAGGTCGATATCAAAATGAACGTAGATATATTATAGCGTTGCTATGTCATCATCCTATTTTAAATAACTGCACATTTACTGGCACGGCTTATCGAGTCTTACGACAGAATAATAATGATCTTAATAGATACAGAACTGACTTTTGTTTAATAGCCAAATCAGTTCTGTCTTCATCAATCGATAGAAGAATAGCTGAATTGTTTTTACTTCGACAAGAAGCAACCAGAGAAAATCCTGGTGTTAAACTTTGAAATAAAGCCGATGGAAAATTAATTAAAACGTGGGTGATGTGCATATATCAAATTAAATGTCCGCGAACTGGTTTACATATTGAAAATTCTTCTGAATATGCTAATGAAGGAGAAATACTAATTATGCCATTTACAGTATTCAAAGTGAGAAATGTATCACAGTTTAAAGCTGAATTTCTTCCAGATAGACCATACACGACTCTGGTTGATTTGAACGAATGGGATCAATAAATAGCAACAAAACAAAAACGATTTTTATTGAAAACAATAATCAAGACTAATTTTTTTAAAGTTCTCATTTCATTTCTACTATCTACTTGTTTCTAAATTGAAGAATGATCTTTTGATAAGTTATAATTTAATTGTTTTTAGCGAGATTTATTGTCATTCAACATCATGAACGAAAGTGTCATTCAGTATAAATTCTACTCTCAATCTAATGATAAATATATAAAGGAGTTCAGGCAAAACTGTTAAAAGATTTTTAAAAAATCTTCAAGGTCACCAAAGAATCAAATTATTTCAGCCTCTTGTACTATTAGAGGTTTCTGAGTAAATGTTCGAATCATGCAAACATGTAAGTTGTCGTCGGATAAATAATTCTGAATAAGGTACATTGCCATCATTTTTATTTCTTCCAAAGAAAACTAATCTAGCAAAGAAAACAGAAAAAAGAAATTTCAATAGCCCTTATAGTCTCTAAATTTTGCGAAAATATGTTGAATAGTGTGTATTATTTCCTTTGAGGTAAGTTGGCAAGACAAATACCACTTTACCTTTTCAAGAACTATCTAGTGAGCAGCTTCAAATGTTTGACAGTAATAATCAAGAGTTGATTCCAACATTTCTCATTTTCTTGTTGTGTTACTAATGCGTCTCTATCGCTCCATGAATAAACTTCTGGTGTAATGCTTTCTGTATAAAACATAGAACTTTTTATATTTATTTTAATTTCTATGCACTAAACTATTTGTTTGATAAGCTTTCAATAGTAAAATTCTTAATTACGACTTATATGAATCTGAAAGCTATTGAAAAATGGTTAGCTAGTGTCGATTCCTTTCCAAACAATCTCTCCAATGGTCGACAGTTCTGGAGACATAAGCGTAAGTTCGTGTTCATGTCCGTTGTTTTGACATGCAAAACATAAATTGTATTTGTCACATGTAGAACAATTGTATCGTTGACCAACGAGTGGATTCATTTGACAAGCATTGCAGGAAATACCTGGCCATAAGAGACCCTGTACCCAAGATCGGACAGCTTCCGCTCCTTTACTTGCTATATCATTTCGGCCATTTTCAGTTAAGAGATTTCCATCAGCTAAGAGAACTATGAGTGTTGGAATTCCGTCTACATTGAACTTTTTGCTGAGTTTTTTCGAACGTTCTCGATCTAAAATATACAGACAAAACTAATTAATACGTTCAACTAAAATTTTGACTTATTTAAATTCTGCAATCGAATTTTTGAAGAAAATCTGTTACGCGCACTACATCTCTCTCTCTCTCTCTCTTAGCAGTTATTATTTAATCCCAAGATAGTCATTTTCATATTGTTTACACCAGTATGACAAATGAATGTATTGTGAGTGCATAAAACGTTTTTGTTAGCCATTGAACTCAGATTTTAGTTAGCAATTACAATGTCTTAATGTATGTGTGCTATACAATAGTGTACTAGATATCGGAACTCCTGCATTCACATTCGCAAATTCAATTTGAAATCACAGATGGAGGCAAAGTTTCTGACAAGCTTGATCTAGCAACCTATCGATGTATTCACACTCAACTACCTGAATAACGAAGAGCTTTCCATGGCATCGTGCGAAAATATTCGTCAAAAGATGTTTCATCTTCGTCCGACGAGACAAATATAATGTCAAACTTGTCGTGTAATTCAGACTGAATTTTTTTGTAACATTCAGCTAGCTTTGGAGTAAATTGTTGACAAGGTGGACACCAATGAGCCCTGCAAAAAATAAATATATAATTTCATTGCTGTATTTTTACTAGTTGCTTACGAAAAATAAATTGCCAAGACCTTGTTCTTAAGCTCATCGATCGGAACTTGTCGATATGATTCGCTTGTTACATCAGTGTTAACTGCGAGTAAAGTTTCTCCTAGTAAATCATTCAGTTCTGTTGCCATTTCGTCTGCACGTTGGTTTAAGAGAAAAACATCAAGTAACTATAATTTATTTACTACGTTTTATATAGACTACAACTGAATGGGGTGTTGATAGCCGCTTATTCATGGTGAAGCATGTATTTTTCTTCTTCATTCCTTCAGACATTAATGCAAAATGGTTACTAGTAAAAAATTGAAAGGATTGCACAAAACAAGGTTTTACAAATACATTATATTTTTGTTTGTAAGCAAAAATTACGTACCCGTAGTCTAGTTTAGTGTTGGTTTCACATTAATCATAATAATTGATATAGATTACTCACTTTACTGTTCTAGATATGACCAAAATTTCCGACGGTTTTGCTTTGATTCGTAAAAGATTGTTTTGTATTCACCTCGATTGGTATACTGTTATGAGTCATATGCATGAATCTGCGCACAGAAAAAAACGCTACTTATTTGAAGACATTTGATAGATTCAAATGATTCCCTATAATCGTATTTCATTGACAAATCACAAAAACACAGCGCCAAAGAAAAATTCCATTCAGATTGAATTTGATCTCAATGATTCAAATTAAATTGCGTGTTACTTGTTACGTTGTTTTGATGTAGTCTATTAAAAAACACTATTATTTTAGATCTTTTTTTAATTTTTTAAAGATTCCAACCATTATAGAAGCCTGCATCGGTATAAAATAAAAATTTCCACTTCGTATTTTATTAGATTGTAGAAAATGTCTTGAAAATATATTCTTCTCAAATATTTTTTATGAAACTTGACTTAGTGTACTTATTATGAAATAGTAGGATACAGAGTAACAGCTAAATTGTGCAACTAAATATGATTATTTTCCCTTTCATCCTGAAGTTTACGAACTAATTGACAGCATATTTATGGAGTTTCCACTGGTTCATTTGCTTATTAAAATTTTTCTGTGAGAATCCAACAGAAAAATTCATGAAAGTTTTAATCCATGATAATCCTTATCTAGAAATTATATTTTCGATGCTACATTGGTGTAATTCAATTAAAAGATTTTTAAAAAGTGATCGATATACTAAGTTGTCTACACATTATCCTTCTTCCACATCCACTCTTAGAGAAGAAGATCCACTACAATACACATTCACATTACTATATTGTACAGATAAACTAATGCTTAAAACATGACATTTATAGAGGAAAATGTCAACTGTATTTAAAACATGTAGCAACTACATATAGTCAAGAGTATCAGCTACCAGAACATAGCCTTAGCAATGATGAATCCGATTGTATTGAACATTACTAAATAATAAGAGTCACTCTGGTAATTCGATTATTTAATAGTACTGATCAACTGATGTATGTTCAGTATCATGAAACGCATGTTACAAATATATAGTAGATAGAAAAATTCTTCCCACAAAATTTATTTTTAAAAGTCAGAATGAAATATAGGAACTGAAAACGTCTCTCACAAGTCGCATAATCTTTGAAATTGATAGACAATGCAGATTCAATGATTAAACTGGAGAATACTAAAACCGAAAATCGGAGTGAAGCAGTCAAGAAATGTCCGAATGTATTGCCAGCAGAAAGTCAAATTATCTTTACAATTGATCACCTTCATTTTTGAAATATTGACCATTTCGAAAGTGTTATTTTACTATTAGCTTCTGATGACTACTTGTGAACAAAATGATTATATTCGCCCAAGAAGATTAATCCATCGGCAACCATATCAAAAATAAAAATGTTGACAAACAATAAAACCCGTTAGTTTGTTATTAAATAAACAGTATTCAACAATACCGTGATATTAAGAAATCGTATGGTGTATATTTGTCTATTAAGTGAGAGAAAGAGTTGCTAAGACTGTTTGTGTAGTAAATAAATATTCTTTCGATAACTGCACTACCCTTAATAAAAAACGACCTTTATTATACAATTACGATTGATATGTGTTTGAGTATGGATTACTCTTCGAGATTTATGCGCATTTTTTAATCTGTTTTTATATTACAAAGGATACGAACTGTTATTCTGTAGTCAAGACATTGTAGATTAACCGATACGACGTGTTATTATGTAGTATTCTTATCAAATGTTTATCTGTTGGCAACTATTAACAGATAACATAATCGTGATAAGAATCTTCAAATGAATTAGAACCAACTTCATAGAATAGAAAGAGGAGTATTTCTCATCATCCTCTATAGAGTAGCTGTAAGAGTACAGAAGAACAGGCGTTGAAATACCATCACCAACATAATCACTCTTGCTAAAATTTCAAAACAAATTCTATTTGACGTCTTCTCGAAAGTTCTCTTCATCCGACATCAAGATGTGTTCGGTTACTAATTTTAATAGGGAAACTACTGACTGACTTAAACAGTTACGGTTTAGAGAATATCATGTGATCCTGTCTTTTTTTAGCCTAAGCTTTTGTGACAAATAATTAAAGAAACTGATGAGTTTTCAAAATGATAGAGCGTTTCAACGATTTAAGATACATTCGATTCAATGTGGTAAATATGTAAGAAAAATATTCGAAAACACATTTAGACAAGAGAACTGAGGATAAGTACTTTGAGAATTTTCTTGAGATACTTTAAATATGTCTTCCGTAAGTAATCAAAGAACTTTGATAATAGAGTAATTGTTCCTTGTCATGATCGACTACAATAGATATTTTGGCACTATTGCGTTCTATTATCTAAGAAGATATATTAACCAAGATCGGCATTGATATAATAATCAGATATTATTTAGAAATAATACTAATATTTAATTTTTATTTTGCTAACCCAACAGATAAAGTATCAAATTAATTGTCGCTAGTGTTCATACAAGAATTGATGTTAAAATGATTCAACTGAGAAATGACCTCTTCCTCTGAAAAACTCAAAGTATAGTAAATAATAATATAAAGTACTTAATTCTTTATTATTACTATTAGTATGGAACAACCAACTACGCTTGACAAAATCTATAACACTATATCAGTATTATCTACCTGATGAAAGAGATTCATAAATGAGCTGATAAGTAAGAAATCTCAGATTTCTGGTGACTCAAAAATATTTATGATTGATACAATACAAAGAGATTGGCTTATTTTGACTATTTACTGTGTTATTATATTGAAGTAACTCTTTTCTATGAGTATAGTCTCATTTTACGAGAAATTTTATAAGCAAAAATAGTTTTAATATAAAAACTGCATCTATCTACTTCTACGTTATATTTTATTTTCTCATGCAGACAATTTGAGAACTTGAGTGAAACAATATACATACATATTGAAAAATAACCTGTGAACATTTAATGCTACCTCATCATTAAAAACTTCAGTCGGTTTAAATAGAAATGAAGTTAGTATAAGTGCAAACAATTAGTGTTTGATTATTTTCTTTTAGGCTCGTACTTGAATAGAATTTTCGTCAGTAAATTGTATTCTAGTATTGATACTAAATTTAACCTGATATTTAACTGTGATATCACTAGTTTTTTATTGTTGGTATCCTGACAATTATATTAACTGTTATGTTGGTCAAAGTTTGCATTAATGTTATGAAATTCTTTGGTTTTTCGTACTTAAGTAACTAACTATTACGTTTCTATAGAGTGATCATAGATATTGTTAAATACAAGGGATATTAATAGTGAATCCGGTACATAATAATTCTGATTTATCTACAATAAATAATTGATGTTTTGCATGCTTGACTTCTGAGCTGTAACATCAGACTTCTTTCAACTAATCAATCACCAAGTTTCATTGTTTATTCAATAGTTTTGTAAATCGGCATCAACTATTGAGACCTAGCGAACAGTAACACAAAAGCAATTCCTTTAATTTTTCACTACGTAGTATACAATCATTTTTCGAATAACAATTTATTTTAATATAATCTTCTGAAAGCGGTTCGTGCATGTAGAAAAAAAAATTATATAGGCTAGATTTTATGAAAATAGATTCGAAATGTGTCATTATGGTACTACTAACCTAAGATTTAAAAGGAACTATGCATCATCAAGTGCTAAACGTATTGTTGACTCGATTACCTGCAAGATTTCTCTTTGAAAATTCCAAAAGGTATCTTAGAAAAAAAGGAGCCTTGTGATATTTCAACAAAACATTCTTTTTTTCTTTAAAGTCTTAAGAAACTAAATCTAACGAAGATGCAGAACTAAGAATTTTTAATGAAGCGAGACTGACACGACTAGAATCTTAACAGATTTTTGTTGTTTTTTTCCATTTAGATTTCGATGTTCTCACTGTTTAAAATATCTCTTAGGGAGCCTTCGTTATAGAAATATTGATAAAATCGTTTATTCGTTCTCTTATGATGAATAAAAAGAAAGAATTGACAGACTATGTAATTTGATAGATATAGTTACAATGTGTCTGTTTCCAAAAGAAATGATTCTTTTTTTGCATTCGTCTCAAACGTGTACAAAATGAACCAGATATATTTTCTTAAATAAATAGTAGATCCTATTTGAATTTATCTGCATCAATAGTAAAGTATTAATTTAAAAAAAAAGAAACATCTTAATCCTAGTTAAATTTGGAAGCATGAATTCGTTAGATTTTCATCATTTTTTTCTCAACCTAAAGAAGTTTCAGAACAAAAATTGAGTTTTTTTCTTCTCTAGAAGCAATGCTTTCTCCAATTCTACTTTCATTATTAAATAATCACAATGATTTAAGCACATATTTTTACTTTTCTATCTTATCCTAAGGAGACTTACTAGTAGCAACTACTTAAAATATTTCTCTTGGAAAAATAAATCCTATTTCTTTTTGAATTGAAATATAACTACGAGAATAGTCTACAATAGATATAAACATAACTCCCTGTCATTCATTTCCATTTGAAATGCACGACATTATGTAGAATAAAGCATAGATTTATTAATCGGTTAAAGTATTTCACCTTTGAAGTCGATTATTTACTTGCGTACACATCTAACAATCATACAGAGATGAAAATTACTTTATAAATAAATAATATATATTATCCATGATTTGAATTTTTATGAAAATTGTAGTCACATGAATTGCTATAGAACAATCGTTGTTAATTTAGTTATTTTAATAGTTTAAAGAACCAATCTGATGATGTAGCAATAAAATCTTGTTGTTCATTCTTATGATAGTTTTCAATAAATCAAAACAAAAAAACTTGTAAAACTAATGAATATTATTAGCTTCATTTTGTTGCGTTATAGATCTACATGAGCATATTCCACGTGTACAGCATTGCAAATATTGAGAGTGTAAGGTCATTGTTATTTTCTATTTGTGCATTTCCGAGGATTCATTGAACTAGTTTTCGGTCAAATTAAGCATATATATTTCAATGTTTTCTCCCTCTACTTATCCAAATAGAGGAGCGAAGAAAATAGTTTCGTGAAACTATATCAATAAAAATGCTCAAAACTTCATTGTTTTCTCTTGAAAGAAAATTTCATAAGCAGCAAGGTCTTATTACGCATCTGTCTAGGTGAGTTGTCATAAGATCAATGAAATTTTTAATGAAAAGTCACATTTTTCAAGACAATAATCAACAGAAATCTTTGCCCATCGTTAGAATAAAGAGGAGAAATTCGAATGATTTTTTTCAATACTTACAAAATAAAACAATAGATAGATCTATTGAGTATTGATGAATAAAGAAAATAGAAAAAAATAAAGTAGAGAGTTTCCGTTATGTCTCTCTTTTCTTTATTCTTTCTTTCATGGGTGTTTGACGTTGCCAAATGTGCCTCGTTTCCTCTATCTATACCCGCATCAACAGAGAGTATGTCGTCAGTTCATATTTTTCTCGTTTTCCCCTTATTATCCGGCAATGCGAATCTCTATTTTCATCAGCTGTTTTTGTTTTTTTTCGAATATATTTCTATCGCAAGAAAACAATATACCGTAACTATGGTAGTTTCTGAAAGACGCATGGATTGCTCATTGAATAAATTTTCATTCTAAAATAAAAATAATTCTTTTCTTTGTTTTGTTTTCTTCATAGATCAATGTTTTCCTCAAATTCGACTGTACTTATTGCTATATGGAATAATGCATCTTCAAAAATCAATTGTTATTTTTCTATTTTTTTATTTATATTTGGAATTATTGGTAACGTATTAAATGCACTTGTTTTATCTCGAAGTTCACTTCATTCCAATTCATGTGCATGGCTATTTCTGATTTCATCAATATTTAATATTATTTCGATTCTATCTGGTCTTGCAACAAGAATATTATCTGGCTGGATGATTCTTCTTACTGATCGTATTGAATGGTTGTGTAAACTTCGAGTTTTTACACTATTAACTTCTCGCACCATAGCATCATGGCTCATTGTTTTAGCTACGTTAGATCGTTGGTTATTATCTTGCAAAGAAGTTCACTATCGACGTAAAAGCAAATTGAAAAATGCCAAACGTGGAATGTTATTGATTTTTGTTATGTCAAGTCTTTTGTATTCACCTATTTTTCATTGTTATCAAGCAAATCTAAATAATGCACCATTGAAATGTTATAGCAAAACTATCAATTGTCGAATATTTGCTGATCAAGTATATACATTTATCACAATATTAATTCCATTAACTTTAATGATGATCTTCGGATTTTTAACATTATCAAACATACGCAAAATGCATCGACGCGCACAAATGTTACTTTTACCAAGATCAAGTCAAACAACAATTAGTACTGAACATCAACATAGATTAAGATCAATAGATCGCCATTTACTTATAATGCTTCTTACATAGATTAGCTTTTTAATTTTGTTTACATCACCACAAGTAATAGAAATGATTTATTTAACAATAACAATTAATTACTCAAAAACACCATCCCAGAAAAGACTAGAAAATTCAATATTTACATTTGTTCTCTTATTAACCTATTTAGCAAGTGGTATGCCATTTTATATTTATACACTGAGCGGTGGTCGAGTATTTCGACAAGCATTTTTTAAAATTATGAGACATAAGATTCAACAAATGGTGAATCGTCAAAAATAGGATATTTTATTTGTCGAAATATGGCAAAACAAAAACTTGCAAACAATCAATTGATTTTTCTTTTCAATGAACTATGAGATAAGCAATGTTCAAACATGATGACTTCTACCTATTCTATTGGTGAATCAACAATTCTTATTATGTTTGTTGGCAGTAAAATTTAATTTAAAGATAGTATTTCTATTTTTTGTATATTGACAGTATCGGATTTCAATGATTTCATTCAAATTGAGTACTTTTAATCAGAAGTGTTATTTCTATTTCAAATTAAATATAATTGATGTACTTCGAAAACGATAGCACAGGCTTTCATATTTCAATTTAATTATCTCGTATCGAGAAATGCGTCAACAATATTTGATTAGAGATGTGTCATGCAACATAATCTCTTACGCTATATGAGAGAGAAGGGTAAACTTTCCTTATTCTTCAATTGCATTAAGAATTTGTTTTTGAAGAACGAATGCATGCAATGAATTGATGACTCAGAAAAAATAGTTTTGAACAATTTGAAAAAACAGACTAATAGAATATGCAAAAAAACATTTAATATTAATCTTTTATCAAAATTCATACGAAAAACTAAGTAAGTGGAATTCAATTTAAATAGTATTATATTATTAAAAGCGAAGATTAAATAGCCATCCAGGCATGTTGACCCGAAATAGTAAAGCTTCTTCTAGAGAAAAAACGTCCTATTGGTACACATTAATATTATTCAAATAGGATATTTTTCTTTGTTCCGCTGTTGTTACATTTATTTTATCCGATTTACTACATATATTTGTCCAGTAACAAAAAATAATCATCTGCACCAATATCTTCTTTTTACTTTAACAGAATATCTTTTCTTGGATCAAAAACACATCGAATATTATACGTTTTAATCACAAATTCTAATGAAGTAACTTGTTACTCCTTGAAAGATCATTTGTTTTCCTTGTTAATTATCGATCGGTACGATCAAAAAAAGATTCTTTTCGGTCTTGCAGTTGAAGAAAGACGAACGACTAGACATTTTTTTTCTTCTTTATTAAATCAATATGTGGGTGATGGTTGCTGTTTTGTGATTTCCCATAATAAACATTAAAGCTTTAATACAATCATGCAAACAAGATAATTTAATATTCAAACAGGCGAAAACTGAAACGCTACCAAAACAAGTTATTATTTTCAATATTTTCGTACTTTATGTTTATTTTTTTAAACTAGTAGAATCAATACTTAATATATTTCATATCATCAGTATAACATCAATCTAGTTTGTTTTCTACTTGGTTTGCTTAAAATTTCATGGAAGATTCACTCAATCTTGGTGATATGACATCTTTAATGGTCTTCTCTATGATAATCTTTAATTCATTGATGGTATGCATTAATATCGAGAGATGACGGATCAGTTTTCGAATAACTTTGATATAGTATCTTCATATTAAAAGCTTTCTCGTATAGAAAAATAAAAAGATTTATTAACTTGTTATAAAGCTATTTGCTAAACAAATATGTTTTATAACTAAAAATAGTCATTGTAGCTACTAAACACTTGATAAGAGTCCAATAAGAATGTCGATATTTTCAGCATACTTTTTATTTTTCTCTTGAAAATGATTTTTCATCTACTCCCTTGCTTCCGATTAACATCATTGGTTTTACCAAAGAAAACGAGCGAGCTTCATCACAAGGGATTCTTTCTGAAAAATAACAAATCAAATTACTTTTATTTATTTGCCGGTAATGTACCGAATTCGTGAACTCCCCCATTAGAAACATATTCACTATGTTCCAACTTTTCAACAGCATATATTTTAGTTATTCACAAACTTTATTTTGCCGATTCTCTTAGATTTTGAGATGACGTATTGCTTGATTTGTAATCACTTTATTTGAAGAACAGTCAAGAATGATAGTAAACCTTGAAGGCACTAAAAGTAGAATCAAATAGAAGCCGCAAAGAAGGGATAACGTGTATGACAATATAAATAACAAATACAATGTGTTGTTGCTCTTTTTAATGAAAAAGCAAACATCGATAGGCGAACATTAAAAATATCGGAGAGCGATTAGAGAAAGAAAAAGTATAAAATAATCTGAACAACTCTGCGGGATGTAACCAATCAAGGTAAATTCATCAAAAACACATTCCATAAAAAAGGAAAAAACATACATCGGAAAGAAAATTCCACTCTTAAAATGTAAGCTTTCTTTATCCTGTAGCAATATTCATCACTTTTGGTTGCAGGATTCTTTTTTTCTTTTTCATCAATATTCTACAAGAAAAGATTTGTAAACAAAATAAAAATAGTTTTCATTTATTCATTTCATTAAAGCAATTTTCAAAAAGAATGATTATATTTAAGTGTGCATCAAAACTATAGCTGATCTAGGGTAAGGAATAGCTCTTCTCTTCGCAAACATTTATACTAAGTATTGATTATTTCCTTTTTTATTATATCATTTATTTATATATATATTTTTGGTTTTCTTTTGAAGCGAGCAAATATTATAGCCAATGACCCAGGTTTAGTCGAGAAATGCATCATATGAATTATCATCACTAAAAATAGATTTTCTATTTGATATTTTGTGCCTGAGTCAATATACACTCGAAGAAAGTGATCGATAGAAACATGAGAATATTGATCAAAAGAACGTATTACTTTTTAAGTCAAAAGAACTAGTTATGTTTTCATGGAAACATAATGACTAGTAATACTGGGAAAATTCTGACTTGAACAGTATTTAACTCCGTTATGAAGTGATAAGAATTTCAAAATCTTATGATAGAAATCATGGTAAGATCTTCCACGACTGTTCAAAAAGAAGAGTGTTTCATTGTTGGAACAATGTGGATTCATTTCTTCCTTTTTTTATGCATTTCATAGTTACATCTGAGAAGATTTCAATAAAGTAAGAAAGAAGAAAAATAAAGGATCTATTAGTACTGCGTAGTATAGTATAAATTAGGATTTTGTAACTGAAGAAAATCCAGGCATGTGGATTATATTTCAAAACAGGATTCACGGAAATCTATTGTTGTTTACTATTCTGGAGTCAAAAAGGTTATCCAGATCTAATCAGCTATTGTCGAGATAGAAAATCTATCGGGATAAAAATCCCAATCCGTGCCTCTACTCAAAATGCGATACTTTTAATCGGAATGTTTGTAAATCGAAAGAGTAAAATAATATACAAAAATTAATGAACAATGTAAGTATAACGAATATCCGTATATTTCATCCATTAGTGAATCATAGCTTCTATCGATATCTTATGAAATACTATTGGTGATAGTGTTTCATTCCCTAAGTAATTCAAAGTATGAAGATCGTGATTTTTTGAAGGCCATCTCTGATTACAAAATGAGACGCATGATATTTTCTACACATCATCTTAAAGATTATTCAGGTGTATATAGTGTAGTGTTAGTTTCTTTCTGTATGAAATACTTGCCCAAAAACTATTGAGCTACAGGTTGAATAGGTAGACGAAAAATATTAATATAGTTTTCATTTTAAAAAGAAGAGGTGAATCATTAAAAAAAACTTTTATTGTATCTCGTAGAACTGTTTATATTGTATCTTGTGGTATAATTTAATCTTAAAATATCTTTGTAAATCATACAAAAAGAAATACCAATATTCGCGCTTTATTATGGATCATTCATCGTAAAGTGCATTTTTCCGAGAATATTTTCTTTTGACAAGCAAATATTCAAACTTTAAAGATAATCAATATTTAATAATTAATTGTTCACTTGTATATCATTTGTAGCTTTATTAATTGATATCTTAATTAAATACTGAGAAAATACCTTACATATTGATCATTTTTTTGTGTATCTTATTATTTATGATAGATCATTTCATTGTGATTGGAATTTTTTTGTTTAATAATAAAATAAATATCATCGGTAGATTTACGACAATTTGTATTTTAACACATTGCTTTCTATAAGCAGTTTACGATCATATTGTTGTAAACTAATTCTGTTTTCAAAATTTGATGATACAGTTTATCTGTCTGTTGATCTGTCATTTTAGATGAGAGTCGATCTAATAGTATAACTATACAGTATGTTTGAGTTTTGTAAAAAAAAATAAAAATAGTGCATTACAAACAATTAAGATATGTGTAACACAATTTAATTCAAATTTTAAATACAGACAGAAAAGAATTAATATCAATGATTTATAGAGACTTTTAAAGTACTTGAATCACAACATGAAACATCTGTATGACTGTAGTATGATAGACAAACTCATAATTAACTGAATTATACATTTTGGCATTACTTTTCCTTTAATCTATTCATGAATATGTTTTGTTGGCTTTACAGATTTTGTCATTATTTTATACTGAAAAAACAAATTATCTATTTAAAAATACGGCCTACAACAGTGTAAGATTCATCTTCGTATATTTTCGAGAAGTCTTTTTCTTCTCTCATTAGTGTACGATGTAATCGGAATTTTTTACTTGAAATCTTTTTACAGCATAGACTAGCGAAATGTATTGGTAATTGACTTGAAATATAGCATATTGAATTTTACTTTCCCAAAACTTTATAAAATGTTCTCTACAATATACTTGGGCGCTTTTATCGTTAATATTCACCGAGAGATACTAGCTCAAAAATAAATGGTCTATTTAAGTTCTTAAATATTTGAAATCGAATTATTTTCGTATAAATACCTGAGTAGGGAATATGTGTACTTCTATTACTCTATTTCAGTGCAATTCATCGTTTTGATGAAATAATAAAAATCCATTGATAAAAAAAAAGAATACTATTGCAATTGAAGGACACCTATTTTGTATATTCAATAAATAACAGAAGCAGTCGATTAGGACATTGCTTGCTAAGCGTTGTGTCTAACTATGGATTCATATATTCCGATTATTGAAAATTATTTAAAACTATTTAACAAATATTTAGAAAATAGAAATTCTTTGAATTATAGATATTTATAATTATGGTTGACTGTCTTTCAAAATTGATTGCGTCGGGTCAAGTTCTTCTTTCATATATATATAATTATATGTTATATAGTCGACAGAAAAACCGTATATTTAGAATGTAGTTTTTAACATAATCGAATATTTCTCTCGACATAAAATAAAACATTTATCAAAGTAAATATGCGTGTATTTTGTTTATTCTTTGAAAATTAAAATCATTACTTTAAGAAAAAAATTAAATGCTCATAAAATTAGTCTGATTACAAAGTATTCAATTTAATATAGAAATAAATGAAATACAATTTTTCTCATTTCTATTTAAATCATCGTAAAATTGGCGCATATACATTAGTTTTTCATCGATGTTGTTTTTTTCTTGGCATAAAAAAATAACAGATGTTACTTTTCCGATATCTTGTTTTACTATTGATCCCGATCTACACTTCAACTAATCCTTGTAATCAGAACGAATTTTTTATGAATAAAAAATTACATCAAAGAATTAAACGATTATTCAATCGTAGATCATCGAAATTCCGAGTTGATAGTGATACCATACCGAAAAGTAATCAACGATATGATAATTTATTCTTGCTAAGTAATGATGGGAAAAAATCAAAACTTGGAACTAAAATTAAATATATTCAACAAGATCTAGCTGAAATAAAACGTATACTTTCGAAAAAAGAACATGATTATTATGGTATACTGAACATTGACAAAGACGCAACACAGGATAAAATTGTTACTGCTCATAGAAAATTAACTTTGCTTGTGCATCCTGATAAAATCAATGTGCCTGATGCTACAGAAGCAACACAACGACTGAATAAAGCTCGTATCGTACTGCTGAAAACAATTGAAATTCAACATCAAGGTATTGATCAGTTATATTATTCATATTATGGTCCTTTAAATTTCAATCGATACATTTATTCAATCGAGTTATACACTTGTTTTCCTAAGGTAATCGAAGAATAGATTTGAAACTTGCAACCCCATACCGATCATGGCATGTGCTATTCATATTGAATGAATAGTGCTTCACTATAACATGTGAACTACTTCCGTTTCGCGTAGTTAGAAGAAGAAGAAGAAGAAGAAGAAGAAGAAAAAAGAGTATCTCAAAATAAATAAATAGAATAAGACGATGTTCTCGCCTGATGAGCAAGACCAACTAGATGCTATTTTACATTTTAATCCAAAATATTTCTTTTTTCTTTTGTTAAATTACTTATGATGCTAGTTTGATGACTGCATCTTTGACTGTTTAGGTCGTTATCAACAAGCAACAGAACCAGTCACAAATGTATCTTTCACAATAAGCAACAAGAAGCATGGCGAAGTATCAAATATTATTGATAAGACATCAACTAAGATTTCAGTACTCCCGTAGATAGACACAAATGTCAATTTTAATACTCATTATAGAAAATTTTGCTGTTTTTAGCCAGTTAGAATACTCAACAAAAGAAAAACAAAGTCTCAAAATCAACATCCAAGATGATAAATCTCATTATTTTCTGTTTGCTTTTATTTTATTAATAATTGGCATCATTATTTGCATCATATATTGGAAAAAGCGACAACGTCGTATACAATCTTTTAGTTTTGAAAATGGCTCAAAAAAGTCAAAGATTTCTCCAACTTATGATAGTCCTGATTCGGATGATGATGATACTATAAACATGCATGATACAACAGAAGTATCAATCATTAAGGATGAAGCAGCGACCAATTTAGTTACAAAAACTCGATACTCAAAACGATGATTTGTTTTCTCTAGTGTTTCGAATAAACTATTCAAGAACTTCTTGACAAGAATTAAGATCTAATTGTTGTTTCCTTTTTTTTCTTTGTATATATTTTAAATGATTCATCGTAAATCTTGCATTTTAATCTCGCTGTATTTTATTCTTGAAGAATAATGAGAATTCATCAGGCTTTTTCTTTCTATTATTTCATATGTAAACTTCATACAGGTACATGTCTTTCTCAAGGCAAGGTTTATGTGGTGAGATAAATTATATTACTCTGCATTGTATCAATGATCAATCAATATGTATTTATCTGAAATATCTAATATATATCAACGTATGTTTTTCATTTTTTGTGATTTCTTTAAAACAAAAATTATTTTGTCCAGACAAATACTAGTGTAAAAGAATATTTTGTCGATTCAGCGTATTTATTTATATATAAAAAAATTAAAAATGTTTTCTCTAATTGAATATTTCAACATGATAAACGTAAAACATGATACTAGCTGATATAAGCCTATAAACACGTTTGCGATCACAGAAAAAAATCCTCATCATATGTCATCAAAAGAGTGTTTACTTACACTAATGGTGATAACAACTAGAGGTGTCAGCCGTACGGCTGAGCCACCGCAGCAGCCGATTTTTCAATAATATCAGCCGCCGCAGCCACCAAATTAGTAGTAATTTTAAGAATTTTGGGGGAGCCGCCGCTGCGAAAAAACAAGTTTAGCCGTTGCGCCGCTGCAAGAGATAAAAATTTTTGATAGCGTTATTTACCGCCGCTGACATCAATACATACGCGATCGAATCGAACATTTTTCTTTTAATTTTCGTCAGTGAATTTTTAACTGAGCCGCCGCCGCCGCCGCTGTGAAAAAGATTTTAAGAATTTGTAGCAGCCGCCGCTGAAGACATTACTCATTCAAATAACGAGCCGCTGGAAATCTTCAAAAATTGAAACATTGGAATGTTATTACACACTTTATTCCAATGGGATCATATAAATAATAAATCGGAAAATAAAAATAAACGTTTTGAATGCAATCTCTTTATGTACTAATTTTAATTAGAGTCGAGTAAGAAAAACAAACATCATAGTTGTTAGGGTTTCTCTCTCCCTTCTTTTCTCCTATCGATATAGATATATGTGCTGATGATCTATATGCACGAACTTTATTATTATGTAAACCAAAACATTACATAATATAGATGTATATAGAACGCAAGAAAATAGAGTACCAATAAAGATGAAAAGAGATGAAAGAAGATAGAGGATTACATGAAATAGGGATGATGTCAGCTTGCGACATCACCCTAACAATAGTACTGTAGAATAAGTCGTATATAAGTCATATAATCATTTATATTTATTGGCGAAATATCCATCGCGCTCATCACTCATGCTTAAATATTAAAGGAAAGTAAAAATCAATGTTGTTCTTTACATTTATAAACTATATTTACTTCGTTTATTCTTAACTATTCGCACGTGACCAGCTCATAATATTCAATATTTGGTTGTTTTATATCATGGCACATCAGAGATGCCAACAGGCCAGACCTGAAAAGAGTGGCCTAGCCTGCCTCAACCTGGGGATCAGAGCGCTGTGAACTGGCTGGCTTCTTGGCCTGATCCAGGCTGGATATATTGGCCGGGCCGGGCGGATCAGGTCAGGTCAAATTTTCAAAATTCAGCCTGGATAGGTGGCCTGGCCTGGCAGACCGCCAACTCTGTGGCACATATGCTGACGTTATTTCTTGTTAGACCTTTCGTTGATAAATGTTTTAAAATCAACACAAAATAATCGTGTGGCAATATTTCATCATGTATTTCATTTACGAAATCAGTATTTTTCATTTTTAAATAGTAATTCGCACATATGGATCCAGATCCACATGCATTGCATGAATTACTTTCATTGTATTATCTAAAATTTGATTTAAGTGAATATCCAACAGATCAAGAAATCGAAACCCTTCGTTATGAAACAAAATATTTGTTGGCTTCGTTTTATCCTATTAGATTAGTCTCGTGTCTGGTTGAATATCACGTACTTCAATATAATAGTACTAAAGTAGGCGTCTATTATATGAAAAATAATCAAATACATAATTGGGAAAATTCTAATCAACCATTTATTCTTTATTTTCATGGGGGTGAATTTGCTTTCGGCAATATTGATATTGATACATATTCTGGTTATGAATGTCACTTATCAAAATATCAAAATATGTTGATAGTTCATGTTGAAATTCGTCAGGTACCCGAATATTCTCTTGAAGAAATTATTTAAAATGTTATTCAGGTTTATCAATTTTTATTTAATGTTGATTTTAATATTCATCAACGATTGATTGGAATGAGTGATGCGTCCGGTGGAATGCTTTGGATTTATCTGTTACAATGGATTGTATCAAACAGTAAACCTGTTCCACAAGGCGTCGTTCTGCATTCTCCATGGTCTCATCTAGATTTTACAGAAGAAAATCTTTATGATTATAGAGATAATATTTTATCCGTACAACTTGCTCTTAATTTAAGAAAAATAGCCCTTGGTAAAACTACCTATTGGTTTGAATTGACTAATGAACAAGTAAAAAAAATAAATCAAAAGAGAAATGCATTCGAAGGATTTCCACCGTTATATATACATGTAACTGCAGGTACCAATGAAATCTTGATCTTGATCGGTGAAATTCGTAGAATGGTAAAGAAAATAAACTTAGCCAGTGGACAAGTTATATTAGATGAAGGTATAGGATTAATGCATACCTATGCTTTATTTCATATGTGGATATTCAAAGGAAAATGTGTTAGACAAAATATTCGTAAATGGATTCATGTAATATTACCTATGCATGTACGATCAACATTGAATATGGCTGAAATTGAAACAAATTCACAGAATATTAGAAAACCTGGTCTTTGTACTTAGATTTCAACTTTCAACTTGAGTTTTATCAATTATGTTTTAACACCAAACTTTGAATTTAGTGCGTATAGAAGTGAGCTTATGACGCTCTGTATGTTCTTAGTAAAGAGTATAGATTTTGATCAATAAGAAATGTTTACATATGTAGAACAAAAATAATGATATTAAATAAGAAAATCTTAAATGTATGTAAGCATTTTCATAATACTATATAGTCAGCTTCTAAATTGTAACAGAGTATCGATATTGGAAACGAAAATGCGTGCACCTATCCCAAGGGGGAAAAGGCAGACTTTTGTACTTCAAGTACTTTGCGCTACTTTGTGCTACTTTAGGCTACTTTAGGCTACTTTAGGCTACTTTGCGCTACTTTAAGCTTACTTCAAGTAGAGTACTTTGAAGTACTTTTCAACTTCAAATTCACTTGAAGTTACTTGCAATTACTTCAAGCTACTTTGGACTACTTTGGACTANTCAAATTCACTTGAAGTTACTTGCAATTACTTCAAGCTACTTTGGACTACTTTGAGCTACTTTGAGTTACTTTAAGCTACTTTAAGCTTACTTCAAGTAAAGTACTTTGATGTACTTTTCTCCTTCAAGTCTGCCGTTTCCCCCTTGACCTATCCTAACAACTCAGTAAAAATTTAATTGACAGCCATATTAAGCGACAACCTTTGTATCCGCCTTAAATTATCGTTTTTGTTTTGATATCATAACTATATATATATATAGCTACATACAAACAGTCGTATTTTCTTTTATCTTCGAAATTTCGATTTTCATAAATATATTAAAAATAATCTGATGACAATTGACTTTTCACTAGTACAGATCAATTAATAATGATACGTAGATCATTTTTATTATTACTAAGATGCTTTAGGTGTTTTTTGTTTTAGAGAACACTACATATTTCATTAGATGGAAGTGACCATATATGTACTAAATTATGACTCTCTATTAATTATTTTCAAATGAAGAAAAAAATGAATATTTTTTTTATCTCTAAGTTTATAATAATTTTTATATAGATAATATTCAACCTCATTATTTATGTTCGTTTGTTCGTATTTTCTGTATAGTAATCGTGTTAACATTGAACTGCGACTGATGACTCATTAATAAGTGTTCGACCTTGAGCAACAGTTCTTGCTGCTATTTGATTGTGCAATGATGAGAGACGTGCTGGGTTTTGTGCAATGTGTTGTTTGGCATGTTCCAAACTAGAAAAAAATATATGTGTAGAGAATGTGTTGGTAAAAAATATGATCATTATACGATCATATATGATCATTTATTTTCCATTAGTTTAATAATATAATATTCTGTATGATGCATAAAATATTTGAACAGGTCTTAAGGCACCCGCCTACGGAGCGGAGATGCGATGTTTAGCTAATTCAGCAATCTCAGTATCATATAATTATTAAGATTAAAAATGAATAATGATTCTTTTAATAGTTGATATTTTACATAGAATCAAATAATGTATTATATATGTATCTTTAAGCTCTTGTAATTTACACACTGACGTGAGAGAAACAAATATGTAGCAGTTAACGAGTCACACCAAACATAATTAAATCAATTTCAACTTTTTTTTAAACGCAGCGAAGAAACAACGACAAATATGAGAGAGACAGAAAAAGAGACCATATAGCGAGAAACTCGCACAAAATCAGAAACAAGACATGTAACGACACACGTGCCGTCACAGGGAGATTCCAGATTCGAATTATGATGTGATAGATATAAACTTATTTTGTTTTTGTTTTGCTCTATTTCCTTTGCTTTTTCTATAAAGTCAAGGAGAAACAAGTCATTTATACAATCGTTTTTACCTACATTTTATTAAGAAACGAATTAGTGGCCTACTTTTTTTTCCATTGATGACTGTATGCTATCGTTTACTTTCAATAAATCAATCTTTAAATTATATAGCTATAAACGTTTGAAAAACACAGTTTTCAGTCGTTTTAATTGATTTATTATTATTATTATTTTATTAGAAATGCTTCTATCAAATGTCATTGATATGAAGAAAGAATATGAATGCTCAAGCTTTCTTGAATATGTATTGTGCATAAAAAAATAAGATACTGCTGATATTTTAGTCAAAATGAAATTGTAAAGTAATCGAAATAATTATGAAATCTACTTTGATTCAGAATTTTTCTTTTCCTTTTTTTTACAAAAAAATGAATTTAACTCACATGACCTATTATAATACTGATGTAACTAAAATATCTCATTGAAAATACACGTTACTCAGAAACCTATATACTATATTCTGATAGATCTATAAATCTGCACCGACAGTCGCATGGCCCAATGGCTAAGGCGCCTGCCTACAGAGCGGGGGATTCCAGGTTCGAATCCTGGTGTGATCGAAATATTTCATTTTTTAATTATTCGAAGTACATACTCTGTTTTTGCTTTTTGTTCAGCTTTTGTTTTCAATACAAATTGATCACTATACTCAGATAAATGTGGCCATATATCGTTTGCTTTTCGATATTGCTCTTGTTGTTCTACTTGCTTTTGTTCATAGTCAGCAGTTGTTTTCATTTCAATTGAATCAAGTATATTATGACGATTTAAATTAAGGTCAGAATGAAACCATGTTGTATCATCTGTACATGATGAAAAACAAAAGAAAGGACATTTTTTTCTGTATGTTGATGATTTATTTCTACTTACATCCATATCTTTGTAAATAATATCCATCATTTGGTCGTCCATGATCAAAAATAATTTGACCTGAACGTGCTGTTGGTGCACGACGAAACATATCAATTGAAACAAATCTTTCAACGGGTTCACCGTTGCGTAAATGTCCTAGCGTTCGTTCACCAGCTCGATTTGGATACCATTTTGGAAAACCATTTTCTTCACAGCCATTATATTCATCGGGTAGCTTTGATGTGTAGGGTTGTGCGGTCACATATGTATATTCAGTACCACCACCAACGTGACCACCTGTACGTAAATGGCTCATTGGATAGGAATCTGTTTGACGCTGACGAAAACGTCGAAAAGCTCCTGTTGCTGTTGTTATGGGAGCTTTATGAAAAAATACTGGACTAACTGTACGTTCAATATTTGATACTTGTTCGCTTGTTAAACGCGTATACGGTTGATTAGGTGTTCTCGGACGAAGACCTTCTTCAGTATACTAAAAGATAAAAAATGAACAATAAATTCTTTTTTATATTTTAACTTTTACTTTTGAATAAGGTTTAATAAGTACTGTTTTTGCACGTAATATAGTTTGACCCATTCGTTTGATATTATCGTCAGGTGCATTATTTTCTGTTTTAGTCGAATTTTTAGTCGCCATAATCGTGAGTAAGATTGTTCAACGAACGCTAGGTCTTTATATAGAACTATCTGTAGTTGCCATTTGCAACTCCATTGCTTAGTAATACCTTTTAGATGAAGAATGATCTTATAATTTGCAACTAATTTTCTTTGAAATACAAAATAGATAAAAGCCTATTCAAATCTAAGATGCTTATGTTGAATGTTGTTAGTTTTTCCAATAGATGGCGCTTATTGTTACAAGAATAAGTATACAGATGATGATAGGTATCATTAACTAATTTGAGTTTCAGAAAAAGAAATTAAAGAATTTTTTCTGAATAAATTTTGAGGTTCTAATTTATCTATATTGAATTCGTTTTTTTTCAAGTCTATAACGAATCTATAGAATTTTATTGATGAGTAAAATGATTATTCATCAGTTTTTTGTCTCTCCTACGTTTATATTTTATTGAAAAGAAAAACAAACATTCATGAATGATTTTATCTTTTACAGGTAATATCATATATTTCATTCATATTTTTTTGTTGTTGTCATGACTCTGGGTGGATTACTCGTTAATCGTCGAACAAAACGACGTTATCGTTTAGATGGATGTCGGCAATCCCATGTAAAACCTTTATTAAATTTAGCGCGACCATTTCTATCTTTAGTAACTGGTCCACAATTGTCAAACGTTGTTGATTTACGTTCATTTTTAAGTCCAATAGAAGAACAATATATAGCTGGCTCATGTGTTGGTAATGCATTAGCATCTATATTAGAATATTTTCATTTTTATGCCACTGGTCAAGTAAAAAGATTCAGCCGTTTATTTATTTATTATAATGCTCGAATGATGGAAGATGAAGTGTCACAACGTAATGCAACTGAAACAGATTCTGGTGCTGATATACAATTTGCTATTGTGAGCTTAATGAAATATGGTTGCTGCGAAGAAAAATTTTGGCCATTTTATGAACACCTTATTAACATTCAACCAAATCATGACGCATACGTATATGGTGAAAATTATTGTTTAGATGAAGTTAGTCGTCTTTCAAATAATATCAATCAATTACGTCAATGTCTTGCTCAAGGCTATCCATTTGTGATGGCAATTAAAATATTTTCATCATTTGCATCCAATCATCATGGTTATATACCAATGCCAAAAAGGCATGAAAAATCATCTCAATATCGGCATGCTGTTGTATGTATAGGTTATATTCATTCACAACGAGTATTTATTATACGTAATTCACATGGAATCCATTGGGGTGATCATGGTTATGGTTATTTACCATATGAATACTTAGCAGATAAAATCTTAGCAAAAGATTTATGGGCAATAAAGTCAGTAAAAAATATGAAACCAACGTCTAATGAAGAATCTATTGCATGGAATGATTTTCCTATTTTATCAAAATCAAGTAGTCGACAAGATATACCTGATGATCGATCACAATGTCATATTGAATATTCAAATGATGAAAACGATTGGGATGAAGATGGAGACGATGATGATAATGAAAGAGTAGAATCAGAATCATTCAATATTCATAAACAATACTATCGTCGTCATTCACAAGAATTACAAAGAGAATATTCAGCATCATCAACACAACTACAAGAAATTCCTTGGGTACAACCAACATTTATAAATTATTTTCCTATGGCATATGTTCCAGCACCAATTATATTTATGAATACGCCTTTCATGCACTAGTCGACGATATTGACTTCGATCTGTCCAGATTCTTGTTTTTCTTGAACATTAGACAAGATTCTTTTGTCATTACTTCTGTACAAGATTCTTGTCTGAAAAAACAGATCTTGTCTATCTAGCAAGATTCTCGTGTTCTTGCAATTCTTACATGATTCTTGGTTCTAGCCATTTCGGTAAGATTCTTGTTTTCATACAAATCTTGCCATTTTTGAAAAAATTCTTGCAATACAATGAATTTCGTGTAGGCATCCATGCGGTTGCCTCCTTTCGGTCCTATTATATTTTAATTTCAAATAAAAAAATACAAGAAAAGTACACTAAATGTGCAAGGAAATATACAATAAGCTCATAACGCGTACAAAAATAATTAAGAAAAATAAAAAAGCTGTTAACGTAATTCCTGTGGGATTAAAATGGGTGTGGGTGTGTGGGGATATATAAGCAAGACACCCACACCCTCACCCTCAAGAAAAAAAGTTGCCCTATTTTCCTATTCTAATAGGAAAGTGTATATAACAATTATAATTCGAATTCGAAAAGAAAACTTCCTAGTTTTCCTATTTTCCTGTTCTCGAATGGAAGTACTGGTTGAATTTTTAATTATTTTCGAAGTAACTTTATGCAGTTGAAGCTTCATTTATATTCAAATTCGAATTAGGCATCTCATGTCGAGATGTATATTGGTCCGACGTTTGTTCAATTTAGTCTGATGAATTGGCGAATCTTATTGGAAAATACACGAATCCTGACCTAAGATATCCTACGTTTGTTAGTGGTCGATGATAAAAATCTATTTTGTATTTTAAACAATAATATGAGTCCCTAGAATTGATATATTCAAATACTTCTAGAAAAGGTTCATTCATTCCGTAGGATTTATTTCAAATCGTCCCAGGTCGAACTCACCCCATTGGATCCGATGTGAATGCCTCGGAATTCGTCGGAATCCTGGTATTGGATTCCGACAGGATCCGGGTCATTCAGCCACTTTCCGACATCTAACAACTTCCTGTCGGAATCCAATACCAAGGATTCTGCCAACTTCCGACGAATTCCCATCGGATCCGACTGTCGGATTGTTCTTCCTGGGCGTGCTCTGTGATATAGTTTTTCTTTCATCAATCATATAAAACTGCTAGTTTCTTTGTTTCTCTCAGTCAAATCATTCTAAATATATGGTAGTGGTCAATGTTGAATTACGTTCAATCTAGAATCTCACATTGGACGCATATAAATTCAGGCCAATGTCAGATTCGTCTAGACCAATGTTAGTGTGATGGAAGCAATTTGTGAAGAAACATTTCTCAACATATAAGCTGATTAGCTCTAATTTCTGGACTTCAAAGAGACTTGAATGCAAGGGGGGAAAAGCGGACTTTTGTACTTCAAGTTACTTCACGGTACTTTGAAGTGACTTTAGGCTACTTTGAAGTACTTCAAAGTACTTTTCGAATACTTCTAGCAACTTCGGCGTACTTCAAGTAACTTTCGAGTTACTTCAAATAACTTTGACATACTTCAAGTAACTTCGACGTATTTCAAATAACTTTGAAGTACTTCAAGAAACTTTATCTATCGTAGAACGTCATGGCACAACACTAAAAACATATTTATTACATATTATGCGATGACAATTGTATTATATTCTAACATTTCCTAGAAAACCTAGCAAACACATTCAAATTAAACAAATGTTGCCGTGATTTATTTAAAATAAGCAATGAAAAGTAATAAAAACATGGAACATCACACCTACATTAAATGAACTAAAACTGAGAAGAAAAACGTTCAAATGCGACTTCTTTTTACTGGATGATTATTCTGTGACTGTGATGCCAAACGACGTTTACTAGCTTGCATACTCTGATTTACTACGATCTGGGCTTCAGTATGAAATGTTGGCATAGAAGTTGGAGAAGCATCATCAACTTCATCTAATTGTGAATTTGCTGAAGATGAAGATATTGGTCGATTGGATGTTAATTCAACACATCTCGATAATTCTTGTTGTGTGAGCCTTGAATCTTTTGCAGCTTTTTTAATATTTTTTATATGATCGCAACCTTTGGATTGTAAGTGTTTGTAATAATTTGACACGTGGATTTTTGAATTAAGTTTGTGTACTCAAAAGGTGAGTACACTCTAGAATCGGTTAGTATGTCCGGCCATCCGGCCGTTAACATGATAACTTTTGAAAGCCTCATCCAATTGTCATGAAATTTTGTACACAGAATTATCTCATCGACATCTCAGTCGAGTTCGAAGATGAAAGTAATCCCTTAAGAATTTGTTGAGTTACGCAAAAAATATCCTTAATTTCTATGTGAATAGTGACCTATTCTATTTTATTTTCATTTTTTTCTCAAACGCAAAGATTTATCATAATCAAATTAATTCTTCAACTATCATATACCATTAGATAGGAAATTTCATGGGCTGCAAAATGATGCTAAATTATAAGGGTAAACACGTTGCTCACAAGATTTCTCTGTATCAGTGTCGAAAAACTCATATATCTTGATAATGTGTCGGTGTGATATTTGTATATTTTTCATATGAGCAATAACTATTTTTTCAAAGTAAATAGAACTCGTCGTTTCACAACAGTCTTTATGAGTTGTATCTTGAATAGTGTATTCGCTCCTCTTTCTAGTTTTGCTGCGCATGATATATAACATTTATGACGAAATAGGAACAGAAAAAAAATGGATGTACATTTTTGCTTTTTGAAGTACACATAACAATCGGATGCAAATCCGATGTTTCCGCATTTATTAGTATTAAATTTGTTTGTTTTCTTCGTGAAATACCTAGCTCACTTATTTTCTTGTATCAATAAAGGTCATTGGATATTCAATAAAACATAGTTCAATCTAGTTTCATGTATTTTCGAGATTTAAGTGGTACTCTAATATAATGTGCCATAATTCAAACTATTCTCTAGGTACTTTAGCGTAATTTCAAGTACTTCACTAATACTTTGCAGTAATTTCAAGTACTTCACTGATACTTTGCGGTAATTTCGAGTACTTTTCTACTACTTTGAGCTACTTTGGGCTACTTTGGGCTACTTTGGGCTACTTTGAAGTACTTGGAAGTACTTTTGTACTTTGCCCTACTTTTCCTACTTGAAGTCCGCTTTTTCCCCCTTGCTTGAATGACATATTAAAAATTTGAGGAAAACTCATTCTGATAATAATTCTCTGTTCGAGTTATGATCGTTCGTAAAACTTCGGATTTTCACGAAAGTATTGAAAAAAAAATTGAGCAATATATCATGAACCCAGAAATATTTTATAGATCTGAATCCCATATTTGCCAGATTATTGATAACCTTCCATTATAATAAATACTTATGCTCCCAGTTAATGAATTTTTTCTCTACCTTGGCTCTCCGAACTATTAACATACAAGTTTTTTCATTATTTATTTAAAAAAGAGTGTAGTTATTTGAATTGGAAGATTAAGGAATTGCCAGACCTCCTGTCTAGACCTATTGAATTTATACAAATTACAGAATTTATCTTTTGGTAGAGCATAACACATTCAAAATCGAATCAAAAAATCCTGATTGCAAAGAATGAACTTTTCCATTCATCATCACACTCACTATCACAATCATTTGTGCTCCCGCTCTTTCCGCTTTAAGTCCTCGGATAGGCATAGACATAAAAACTGAATGTTTGATTAGTATTCTAAAAAATAGAAAAGCTTAATTTTGTAGATAGTTCATTGTTTTTTTTTCAATATTTTCGTGAAAATCCGAAGTTTTACGAACGATCATAATTCGAACAGAGAATTATTATCAGAATGAGTTCTCCTCAAATTTTTAATATGTCATTCAAGTCTCTTTGTAGTCCAGAAATTAGAGCTAATCAGCTTATATGTTGAGAAATGTTTCTTCATAAATAGCTTCCATCACACTAACATTGGTCTAGACGAATCTGACATTGGCCTGAATTCATATGCGTCCAATGTGAGATTCTAGATTGAACGTAATCCAACATTGGCCGCTAACATATATACATGTATATATATTTGACTTTTATTTATAATGGAAACATCTACGACCACACTCTCAAAATATTCATTGGTACAAACCAGTTAGCTACGTTAAAAGAACTTCATGTATATAAAGTGACGGTAATTTCACAAGAAATCAACCGCTACTATTTCCACACACAAAAACCTCGTCAGAAAATGTTTAAAAGAATACATCTCATTTTAGCATGTAAGCGCGATTTTATACAATAGTACAACGCATCGTGCCAATAACTCGACCAAATAGTCGATACCGACTGAAAAAAGATAAACAATCAACACAAGGAGAAGATAGATTGAAATAAAATACAATTATGCGTATTTACTCTCGCGAATATATCATAATATACGTAGACTATATTATTACATTAGGTATTTTATTAGTATTGGATACCAGTGTTTGGTATGGAGTAAATTTTTGTCAACTGATTCATATTCTAACTGAAATCTTTATCTTGCTTTTGAACACGAAGTAATATCTGTATTTACCCTTTTTTGTGATGTCCAGAAGGAAAAATTGACAAAAGAGAAGAAAAGAACGCGTATGGCACATAAGATTTTTCATATTTTCTAAATGAAATATTAAATGGAAATAATAATTAAATAGCCTTGTCTATCTCCAACACACTAAGACTAAAGATCCAGATGTAAAGTAGAAAATTTTCTCCTAACTTGAGTCAAACTATGGCGTATAATTTCTATAATCGATTTTATTCGGTATAAAAGCAAGTTTGTACTCTACTATTACGATTTATCATTCAACAAGATACATTAGAATTAGAATTCTATTTCTACTATTGGAATTATAGAAAAACGATAAAGAAAACATAAAAATTCACTGGATTACAAATGATATTCCGCACTTCTTAAATGGTGATATTCTTGAAGTGACACAATTTTCTCGAATGCAATATCAGATTCTACAGCAATCAAGTTTATGATTCGATCATAATTGTTTTAAGTATAGAAATCATAAAGTTATACAGCTTTAATCGAACAGAATATTTTATTTCATAGTGATTATTGGAAACTTATATAATAAGAACAAGCAAAAAATTAAAAAGAAGAAGTCTATTTGGGCGCATTAAAACTAAGATCCAGTTTTTTTTTTTATTGATTTCCACTTTGTTTCATTTTTAATAAACTACTTAAAATTCCATTGGCATGTACAAGATCACTTGGTTCAATAGTACCATTATTATTAGCATCTAACTGTTTAAATAGGTACGATGACAATACTTTAGCTGCCATACCATTGACTCCAAATTGTTCTAATAGCAGTGCCAAATCTTGTTTTGTTACACGTCCATCATTATTTTTGTCTAACATACTAAAAACTTGTGCTGGATTATTCAATGCATTTGATAAGCCACCTATGTCAAAATTTGATGGTAAAATATTAGCCGCTTCATGTGCAGATGACATGTTGATGTAGTTAGTAGTAGTAGTAGTTATAAATTTCTTTTAGTTTGCGTCAATAACAGGAAAACGATATCGTAAGTCTTAATATATATATATATATTCTTTTCGTTCTATTCTTCGTTGACTGAGATCATCATTTTTTTTCTAGCTTGCATCATACGATGAATAATTAAGGGCTAATAAAAACAATCATATCTTTCCGTCTAAAAACAAGACAAGAAAGAATAAAAAGTAAAGAAACATAAAATATCTTTCTGTCAATATAAGATCGAATTTCGGTCATATTTTTAAAAAATCTTCGATGTTATCGGTATGATTCATACTCGAAAAGTTATTTTTATTCATGTGCTATTATCCTAAAATACAAGAAGATTTGATTGATAAGTTTTTCATGTAATATTACATAAAAATTTGGTGCTTCGAGTGATTCTTCTTCTCTAATATCTATCCTTTACTCGATTCATACAAAGATTTTACCAAAGTTAAAATATTGCAAGCACACTTCATCATTTTCAATTGTTTTTGAAACCGATTCCTTTATATATTTAAACAATCATAATGATGATTCATATTTTTGGTGTAATAATTAAAACGTGCAATGCTATTTTGATTCAAAACCTATCTCCTATGAGCTTCATCGCTTATAAATTTAAACTATAGACTTGTTTTTATTGTGCAATTAATCATTGAGACTATCCTAATACAGCCAATGCTAGACTTTTCACTTTTATTTGGACACTCCTACTATCTTACGAACGAAGTCATATCCCCCATTTGTGATGCACCGCATTCAATGATAGTTTACCAAAAACGTAGGTGCTAATACAATTTCACTGATCCTTTCCATCTGTGTTGAGCTATATGTACAAAGCTCTTTGGTGAAATTTCAACGTTCACGTGGACAGCACAACAGTTATCTTACTTCTTCTTAAGACATGCGATTTTTATCGTTCAGAAAATACTAATATATATATATATATGAGAGAACTCAGTATAAGTATGGAGAAAAGTTGGAGTTGAAATTTGCTAATGCACTTGTTTAACAAATAACTTATCAAAACATTTAAAAAATCAATCAAAACTATGGACTTCCTCATGTTTAAGAAACTTCTTTCAGCAGCTCATGGATATTCAGTAATCAAGTGCCATATGTCAATGACATCTTATAAAAACAAAATGTTTAACAAGCTAGTATAATTGAATCACTAGAAACAATTTGTATTCAAATGCTGAATGTCCATACATTTCTGAAACATATACTGTCAGTATAGTACTTTGATCTCCGTACATATATTAGGTACATAATATATAATAAGATCTTTTAATGGATACCGACCGATGACTTTCAAGATAATCATGGAACTCTATAGAATAACCACAATAGTGACGAGTCATTTTATTTTTACAAGTATGAACATTTTGTTATTCGAAATATAATTTTAAAGGTCACTTTCATTTTAATAAATATATACATATATGTGTGTGTGTGTGTGTTATTATTTTTAAAAACAGAGTCATACTACTAATATAACAGAAAACAAATGGAATGCATTCAATAAATAAAGAATAGACCGGTTATCTTTTTTCATTAGTTCGAATTCGATTTTTCTTCTTGATCATCAAGATTTAAATCATAATGATCATGTTGTTGTTGTTCTTCATCATCATCATCATTCCATTCATGCTCATCAGAACTTTTTATTCTTCTACTGGATTCATTTTGATGATCAATATCATTTGTGCTACTATTACCATCTTCGTTTATCAAACGTTTATATTTTGTACGACGATTCTGATACCATACTTTAACCTAAAATATTCATTTCTGATTTTATTCATTTTAGTTTTTCATTTAATAAATTTTACTTTAGCTTCAGGTAAATTAAGATGTTTTGCTAGGTCTTTACGTTCTTGTCCAACAATATAATGATTCTTTTCAAAAGCATTTTCTAATTTAAGTAATTGCGACGGCGTAAAAGCTGTACGATTACGTTTCGGTTTACGATATGAATTAAGAAAAAATGCAGCCATTGATCCTGAATCTAAAAATATTAATTTATGTTGATATTTTGCCCAATAAGAAACAAAACTTACTAGTCAATTGATTCGTATGTCGAAGATATTCCAACATCGATTCACGTTGTAATTGATACATACTTGATGCATGTGGTGGTAGCCATGTAATTGGTGGTACATAACATAATGATAATCTATTTGAGGGTTTTGGTAAATCATGAGTTTTAATAATATCATCAATAGAAAATCCATTGGATTTTCGTGAAAGTGAATTATAACAAACAGGCATGATGATCAATTGAATATCGTTTCTTTCTCTGATGAGTTGATAGAATGAATCAATTTGTGTCGTATTACTTTTTTCTCGAGCCTTCTTTTATTCTATCCAATTATACCTGATCAATCATTGGATGAAGAAAGGACAGGAATAGAGAGAGAGAAAGGGGAAGAAGGAGAGACGTGATTTAGAGACAATTATTTTCTTTTCTGATTATCGTTCAATACGAGAGCCGTATCATCAATTGGATAGTTGTCGATTATTTTGTCAACCAATACTGATCGTTTATTAAATCGATTGTTCTCTTTACTCGAAGCAGATTGTATTCAGTAGTATTTATTTTCAAAACAACATGTGTTATCTCTTTGAAGCGTTTCTTAGTTTGTTGCATTTTTTGTCTGTGTGTTGTCGGATATGTTGACAGCTGTGAAATAAAAAATAATTTAAAAGACTGACTATGTAAATGAGAATTGCTTTTTCGAGTGTCATTCATCCGTAAGCTAAACATAATGAACATGCAATTGATTCGATTAATTTTCATTATGTTATAACATGAACAAAAATACAAGATATACGTAGGTGTCATTCTAGAAACATTATTTTTAAATCTCTTGGTACATGAATATTGTCAATTTGCCAAGGGGCAAAAGAACAGCAATAAGACTAATAATAATATGTCACTGATCGATGATCCATTGAAATGAACCAAATTATGATGATCGAACGAAAAAGATTGAAATCGAAAATTAATTCTGTATTGATTTGCAGTACAATACTTTGAAAGATAGAAGTTAATCAGGTAGCAAAGTGAAGAATGTATTCAAGTTAACTGGAACAAAAATATTGGCTTCGTCATTAACTTTATGAACTATCTATTAATAAACATGTGATATTTCAAATTTTAAGTTTTAGCAAATGTAAGAAAAATCTTGTGTTCAAATAAACATGAAAAATTATTTCGAGTATTTTTAATTATCGTTTTTGGTTATAATCTTACCAGTTGAGAGATTATGTTTTTTTTCTCTTTCTAAATATCAATTTATTTCTCCAATGTGTCATTTATGTGTGGATGGGAGAAAAAAAGATATTTGTACATGATTGGTTGTGTATATATTTGCATAGAGCTTCTGTATTGTGTCACTTCACTTTAGCAACACTCTTCGTTTGTCCAGACACGAATATATATTCATTCAATCAATTGCTACTTTGCTCGAGGGTTAATTCCAATTAAAATAAAAAGAGGAAAAAAAGAAAATAATATCCAACCAAATAGAGTTGTAGTTGTTACGTTGTTTACTTTGGTCATTTTTCTTTCACATTATTGGATATCGTTATATTTTTTTTTATCTAAGAAGAAGGAAAACAATTGACAAAGGTTGCTCATTTTTTATTGTCATTTAAATGAACAATACGTATGAGTCACCTTGACAGATAGAACGTCTGTTTGTTTTTATGTATTGTCTCTTTACTTTGATTTGTTTTGTAATTTTCATTTTTATTAGAATAAGTTACATCTGTAATAAAAGTTCATTCGTAATACTTGTTAATCTATTTAAATAAGTGAAGAGACGTGACTTTCTAATCTCTGATTATGATCATTCAACACACCAAAGAGTTGAATATGTTTGATGTGGCGCTATAAAAATACAATGTTTAAATAAAGATCATTGACTATTATCACGAGTCTCTCCCTATGAAGAATATCAATTCGAGACGCGTATATGATTGATTCAAACATAAGATATTATCTTGTAGAACTTGAAATTTTTTATATTCAAACAAATTTTAACTGATAAAACTATGATCGATTGAGATATACTAATCAATCTGAAATTCAATCGTTTTTTCCTCATTTTACTTAGCAATTAGTAGGATACGATTATATTATATTTCTTCTGTTTGTTGATGAATGCATGATAGAGGTGATCAAGATGAGGATTAGTCCGATACAGATGCACATATATCGACATACACACGTGCATATGTTTTTATCGAAAAATAGAAACAAATATCTTCTAAATTTAGATGATAGAATATGAATAATTAACAAGAGAAAATCATTAATAAATGAAGATATTTAAACCTTTGACTAAGTTTTTTGTCATGAAACTATTTCAGAAAACATTTAACCATTCATCTATTATTTTTTTCCGAGAAAATCAAATATGACTTGCGTTCGCTGAAACGATTGATATCATTACTAGTCTATTCGGGAAGATTTTCGTTTAGGTCAAAGATACAAACTGAAGATTTGTAAACTTTCATAATTGTATCCCATAGAAATAAATGATCTTTTTAGAATCTATGAAATTCATTTCTACTAGCTCGTTTTTGTTAGAATGTTGTGTAATCATGAAATATAAAAGTCATGGCCTCGGATACGCCTATTTTCATTTTTTTACCTTTGAATGTCTCTACTGTCTTTTAAATATTCCAACAAGAGAAAAATTTTCAGCAATTGACACATTCAACGTTTTCAAATGAATTTTTAAATGATTTGCAATGTTCTTTTTATATTTAAGAAAATTTTATCGAATGAGTTATCTTCGCTAATTGCAGAATATGATATCCTAATAATTTTACTATAATAAAAAGACAACATTTTTAGTTTAACAACTTCTCACAAACACATTTTTATTATATGAGAGAAAAAAAATAAGTTTATTATTTATTAATTTTTTCTCTTTTTTTTCAAGTGTTTCTTAACACCAAAACCATTTTCAGAATCATTTGATTCATGTTTTCTTCTTTTATTTGTTGATTTTGTTTCATCGAAATCACCATTTTGTTTTTCTTTTCTTTTACGATTTTGTCGACTACCTTTCTTCTCATCTTCCATTTCTTTCATTTGTATTCGAGCTTGTCGATCGGCTTCGTTGACACGTTCCAAAAAAAGCATAACTTCATCTTCATGTGTTGAATATTGTGGTAATTGTTTACCAATGAGATGTTCAATGCGTTGATACAATTCAATATCATATTGTGTTACAAATGTGATTGATTTACCACTACGACCAGCACGAGCTGTACGACCAACACGATGAATATAATCTTTTGAATGCGTTGGAATATCATAGTTAATAACGATATCAACATGTGGAATATCCAAACCTCTAGAATATTCAGATGAGAATTTTTTTGCTTTCTTTTACAGATAGAAAAAATACAAAAAGAAAAATATTACCGGCTAGCAACATCGGTAGCTATGAGAATTGATCGAGCTTTGCCTTTAAATTTATTTAATGCACCAAGACGCTTTGTCTAAAAAGAGAAAGATAACACATCATGAAAACGTATAATCGAAATATTAGTTAAAGTTTGGAAACAAATGAATAGTAGTTGAAATTATCATTTTATCGTACTGCGACATTTGATTTACTAATTTAATTAAATTCAAAATAGGTTAGGTGTGAATATTTTATTCGTAAATACTTTCGAGAAGTTTCAATAACATAGAACATGCACTCTTTTTCTAGTTCAACACTTGATTCAATTAATCATGATAAAAAATATTCAAAATCAAACATCTCTATTTCTCGCTTATATTGGCAGCTTACGTAGCTGACCGTCTGATACATCGAATAATAGTGTTCCATGGTATATAATTATGCTATAAATAAGTAATTTCCTAATACACAGTGAAGATTTCTCTCTTATTCTTACTTGACTCATTTGTCCATGTAATGGTACAGTTGTAAAGCCTAAATTTCTTGTTAATAATGCTAATCTTAATGTTGTTGTACAAGTTGAAGAAAAAACAATAACAGATTTTCCATTCATATCATTTAAAATTGAGACTAAATAGACATCTTTAAATTTCGCTGGTATAAATAAATATGCTTGTTGTAATTTTTCAACAGTTGCATATTTCTCTGATACTTCAACTTTAACCGGATCACGTAATGAAGCACGTTGTAATTTTGCAACTTTTTTTGTCATTGTTGCCGAATAAAGGTATGTTGAACGTGTTGATGATGGTGGAAGAATTTTAAGAATTTTATCTAAATCAATTTCGAAATCCATATTTAATATTCGATCAGCTTCATCCATAACCAAATAACGTATTGAACGAAGTGAAAAGCCTTTTGTATTTTCTAAATGATCAACAAGTCGACCAGGTGTTGCAATAACAATATGCGGTTTTTTAGCTAGAGCTATCGATTGTGACATCATATCCATACCACCAACAATAACCGCTAGGAAAAAGAAAAACTTACTTCATAGAAATACATAAGCATTCAAATAATATTTTTACATACCACATTTAACACCAATACTGGCACCTAACGCTTCAAATTGTTCACTGATTTGATAAGCTAATTCACGTGTTGGTGTTAAGACAAGTGCAAAAAGACGTTGTGGTGTTGTTAACAAAGCTTGAAGTATGGGTAATGCGAATGCACCAGTTTTTCCAGAACCAGTTTCAGCTAAACCAATGATATCACGATCTAGAGTTTAATTTTATTAAAATATTTCAAATAAATAGAAAAAAAAGAGATTTACTTTGACATGCAACTGGTAATGCTTCGCATTGAATTTTTGTTGGCGTTTTCCAACCAAGTTTTTCACAGGCTTCACATAAGACATCATTTAAACCCTAGAGAAAGAGAGAAACGAAGTATTTTAATTAACATTAGTTGAACATATGAAATTTCGACATGTCAGTTTGTTCAAATGGACTCACGTTTTAGATCAATGACATCCACTTATTTAAACAAATACTGCTTTTAAACAAGAAAGATAAGTAACGGAAAAAAACATATTAACATCTCTATCAAAACATCAGCTTCAAATATCTATAGTTTATATATTTTTTTCTCAGAATCCAATCTGTTTTTATATATAAAAATTAGGAAAAAGAACTGATATAGAAGTAAAGATCTATCAGATATTCTATATTGTGAAGTTGAACAAAACAGCTAACAACTATGAAATATACATTCTAATAACTTTTTAACATAGACTTCTGTAAATTTGAATGATTCATTTTCATGAATACGCCTATTCCTTCAACAGTTCACTCGTTCGATTTCGATTGTATGAAACAAATTTTCGACGATTAACCTGAAGTACTTACAAGTGATTTAAAAGTGATATTTTCTTGAACGTGATTTTCATCGCCATTTACTTCTGTTAAATTGTTATCATTATCCATTTTTAATCTAAAAATAACCAAAACAATTTTTATTATTTCTAATTGTGGATTATTATTTTTTTAATTTTTGTTCAATATTAGAACAAATTTCATCAAGTTTATAAGTAGAAACAAATATTATTTTTCTTCGATGTGTCCATCCATTATTATTATTATTATTATTATTATTATTAGATTGTGTAGGATTATAATCGATAGATAGACTTGGATATTGTTGAAATATTTCTTCTTCACCATTCACATAATAAATTGTACTTGTATCACTTGTATGTAAACGTAATTTTGCATGAACTATCCAATAGTCAAGTTCAAAAGACATTTCCAAACGAAGTGTACGAATAGCCGGTAGGCTTATTTCAGCTGGTATATTCATATAACGTTCGTTTATGAACAATCCACATTTCGTATCTACGAAATAGAAAATAAATTGAAATAAATGCGTTCGAAACGAGACCCCAACGGGCGTGTAACTCAGCGGTAGAGTGTTCGCTTTGCATGCGAAAAGTCTTGGGTTCAAGCCCCAACTCGTCCAATTCCTTTTTAACCGAAAAAAAATACTTACCGTGAAGAATATTTTTTGCTTCTCCACTATCCGAACATTTATCCGATAGCTATGAATGAATTTGTTTATTTTGTTGTTGATCGAATGGAAGAAGTGAACACACACCTAATACTGGATTTTCATCGTCATCATCGTCCGTTTCGTCTGTAGTTGAATCTGATGGCTGATGAAAAACACTACCAAATGATTGTTGTGTAATAAGTTGTTTTGCTAATTGATTTGGATCAAGAATGGATTTTTTTATTGAATTACCAAAAGATTGTTCAAGAAAATAGAGAATTGCTGAATGATCCGTATCGACGAGAGAACGAGCCTCTAAATCTATTTGAATATTTTCTTGTTCATTTGATTCTTCTTGGTCGCTATCATTCTCGGGTGATGAAGATGAGCTTGAAGGTTCTGGTTCGGAATTAGGTTTTTGTTTTTTAGATGGACGAGGCATGGAACTGTATAGAAAATTGAATACTGATCTGTACTATTTCATAATTTTTCTTTCATTTACACTAGAATGATTCATGCAGAATTTTGATAGGATAATATGGATGAATCAGTTAGATGTGTGAGATTTTGACTCAATACACTCTATACACATCTCTGGAAATACGATGAAAAAACAAACAGTTGTTTTTGAGAATACCACCATCAATATATTGTATGAATAGAATAGAAAATTATATTTTGAATAATAGATGCCACTAGTTTATATTTGTATACTCGAAAACATATTATAGTCAATAAACCGCACATACTAATCAACATATCGTCATTCAGCTGATTTGTAGGATTATTGGATATTCGAATCTTGCCTTAGAACTATTATGGTACAGTTGTGTACTTCATGATAAGACTCATCGCAAAACCATAATCTCCTATTACCAAAAATGAATAGTTTTAATGAAATTTAAAAACAAAGAATGGCTCCTGTTTTCCATGCTTATAGAATTTATGAAATCACTGAAGATGATCTTCATGTGATGGTCATAGAAATTTAAGCTGTGAACATGATCATACATATTATAATAGATTTCAAATTAAATTTCATCATAAAGACATTAATGACTATGTCTGCCAGTATAGAAAATATGTGAAATTTCAATTAAGATTGATATCTGATACTATTTTTATTTTCCCTATAGACATAGGTACGAATCAGAAAATTTTATCAAGCCAATAAAAAAAAGTGTAATACCTAATCATTTTTTCATATAGTAAAAATATATTTTTCTTATCATAAAATATTTGCTTTCCTATGTATTAATGCTTAGAACAGAACTTGAATTGCATTCGACACTAACATAGGAAGTACCTATGTCGAATGATCTGTTCTTTTTCTGTTTGATATTCCAACTTTCAATAAAAAGTAATGTATGCTTCCGTTCGATTGCTATACAAGTAATAGTCGATACAATACATATAACTGTTATTGAACTAAGTATAACATGTCCATAAATAACAATCTTATTAACAGGTAAATGAAATATAATTAGAAATAATCGAGCAAGAAATTCGAACAGTAATCCAATAGCCCAAATACTTGTGATTATAATACATGAAAGACGAAATGATGAACAGTTTTTATATATCCAGTCATATACTTGAACTACTTCTTCTTTATGGAAAACTTTCCTTGACGAAACTTCCTCTTGAAGATCTGTGTATCGACTATCAACTTGTTCTTGTTGATCACAAAATATATGTTCAGGTAATCCAACATCTTCTCGATTTGTTGGAACTAAATCTTGATACATATAATAACCAACTGGACGTAAGCTACAACGATGATGGCAACAATGAAATGGAATCAATGTGATAGCGAATATAATTGAAATAATACCAGTAATAACAGATTTTTCTAAGAGTAGTACAATTGGATTACGTGTTATAACGACTACAATACCTGTAATAGCAAAAGTAGTAAAAACTAGAAAGCCAAGTGCATCAAATGTGCAAAACAATATGGCTTTAGTAATGACCATAACAAGAGGTGGGGTACCTGCAGCTAATAGTGCATAAACAGGTTTCGTGTGTTTTTGTAGAATAAAATATATAACGAGCGGAAGAATAATATCGACAACAATTGCTATAAGAAAATGAGGAATATGATGTTTAAATGTACGCCAAATAGAAAATGTTTTTTTCGCAGATACTTCTGACTGTTGATCTGGAGAATAAAATAATTCATATATCGGTAGCATTCCAAGCCAGTTTCTAAAATTTTAATTTCTATAAAAAAAAATCAAAAATGTTTAGAGCTTTTTTCCGTGTTATATAGCTAGATTCGAGGAATATATTCTGATTCTTATTCAAGATATGATTTGAGTTTAGATTCGTTTCTCACAATTATTCAAATGACGATGCTTCTTCTTAAATAGCACATACATCTACTGTTTAATATTTATTAGAAAAATGAATGATGATACTTTCTGCCAAATTATCATTGTCAGTTAGTTTTAATAACTTTCTTTTAAACTTTTTGCTATGCTATCGAATTAATCAATTCAGTATATTTAACAGAAAAGATACGTTTTTCATTTCACTAAAATTCGACTGTTGTAAATCTTTCAATAAACTTTTAAATAAACATCTGTCATTTTTTCTATTAGAATTTTTGAAATTCAATATGCTCCAATATAGATCTGTTTTATTCCTTCTTTTCACTCGACAAGTCTGAACTAGGAAAAGGAAAAATTGTATTTAACCAAATATCCTCTAAGTCTACAATCAAAATAACGATGGGTGTGTGTTAAAAGAAAGTAAATTCTATATTCAAGAGATTAATAATCATGGTTATGAATAATAATCAAACTAAATGCTAGTAATACTTGCACAGCTCTAATAGGTTTCTAGAGAAAAAATGATTTATTTGACAATTAAATGTACCGAACGAAAATTGATAATTTTCCATACTAGTAAGATTATGACGAGAATTGCAGTAACTTTCTTATGTCAAAATTCAAATATTTTGTGTTTTACTAACGGTAGAATGAAATAGTTGTTATTATTATTTGCATGCATCATTTGAAACAAAGGCTTCGATATGTGCTGATTTCGAAAATATGGAAAAATACTCACCAAAATACGTTTTACTTGCAGTCACGATGCATGAAAAAGAAAAATTTTACGTTCCTGTTTTAGTTTCTCCTTTGCTGACTTTTGTATTTCTGTCGATCATTCGAGTCTCATATTGACAGAAGCGTTATGATGTACATTTTGCAATCAATACACATTCGATTATTGTTACGAAGAATGACGACATATATATCGTCATTTTCGTAATAAATGATGGTTGCTTAACTTCATTCTGCTTTTTTTCTTATGCATCACATTTTACTTGCATATCTAATGAATCGAGTACTCTCTGAAGCACATTTTTCTTTCGTTTTTTCCTCACAAAAAGAGAAAATGAATCAATTCAAGTATTTTTTTTTAATGCTTCAAAATAGTATGTCAATATAAGGTAGATGATAATATGAATGGATTTTATTTAAAATACTATCAATATTAAATCGATTAGCGATACAATAGTGTAGATATAATAGATAAATTTTTATTTGATGATTTTAAAATACAAAAATATATTGACCAAAAATAAATAAAAATTGGTATTGTCTGATTTATGGACGATTATTTGATCAAAAACATTACTTTAGTGATAATGAAGTTGATAATAATGTATGCGCTCATAAAACTTCATTTTTTTTTATAAAATATTCTTAATGGCTAGGCTATAGTAGATTTATCTGAAATTTTAGCGAAGAGTTTTGAAGGATATCTTCATTGAACATCAATAGTCAATCGAAATATTTCTCTAAAATGTAATTTTTTTTCTTTTATTAACAATAATATACATGGAACTATTGTACATAAAAATGCTCTTGTTTCCATCGTCCGATGGATATAATTGTTTGTTTTCGTTCTCTAACAACACAAATAATTGTTAATAAAATACATATCACTGTTAGTGCACTAAGTATGATATTTCCATACATAACTATTTTATTAACAGATAAATGGACTAGAATAAGAGTCAATCGAGCAAGAAATTCTGCCAGAAATCCGACTCCCCAAGTACTTGTTATTAAATAACATGAAAAGCGAAATGATGGACAATTTGTATACATCCATTCATATAATTGACCAATTTCTTCTCTATCAGATATTTTACGTATAAGAACTTCAGATTCACGATCTTCTTCTTCTCCGGTTCGAGTAGATTCTTGATTATTAATGAAGAGATTTGCAGGTAATCCAACTTGTTCACGATTTGTTGGAATTAAATCTTGATAAAAATAATAGGCAAGTGGTCGTAGATGATAATGATGATGACAACAACAATTAAATGGAATCAATGATATAGCAAATACAATTGAAACAATCCCAGTAACAAGAGACTTTTCTAATAGAATTATGATAGCATTGTGTGTTATGATAGCAACAATGCCTGATATAATAAAACCAATAGCAACAAGAAAACCAAGTGCATCAAATGTTCGAGTTAAGATAGCTTTAAGAAGTACCATAAAAAGAGGTGGAGTACCAGCAACTATCATTGCATAAACAGGTTTAACATATTTTTGTAGTATAAAATAAATAATAAATGGAAAAATGATATCAACAAGAGTAGTTGCAAGAACACGTGGTATATGACGTTTAAATGCTTGCCATATGGAGAATTGAATATGTGTGTTAACTTGTGTCTGCACAGTAGAAGAAGTTGACTGAGTAGAAGTCATTGGTTTGTTTGTCTAAATACCTACAACAAGCAAGATAATTGAGTAGTTGTTGGCTATTTTAATTCGGTAGCTAGATACATTTAACAATAAATAATAAAGAAAAAAATACTGAATATCTCATGTTTATTTATGAGAATCTGAATTTTCACTTTTGTTGTTTCAATAGCTGTTTTTGATTATGTTTCAAAATTCAATTCATTTCAAATGATTCAATTCATAATTTGAGTAGAATATGATTACGGATATATTGAATTTTTTAGATAAGAAATGAATAGATATTGATTTGAATCCGTGCAAAATAAACATTACTATAGAGATCTTTTTATTCAAAGAGAAAAAATCAATTATTAAAATACTTACGTTTAAAAATGAATTTCAACATTGTATGAGATGATGTTTTCAATGCAAAAAAATTCGCTTGATTGTTTTCATAGATCAACTTTGATTAAAACGATTATCGAAGCACGTATTTATACGCTAAAATGTATATTATACAGTTGTGTTTTTCTTCTCTCGTCAGCTCGTGTTTTTTTTGATCGAGGCTACATAGAGAATGAGTCATGCGCGAACAATATTATTAAGACACACGTTTTTTTACTTTACGATATGAGGCGTTGTCAGTCGGTCATGTGATATTATATTATATATACATGAAGAAAAATGATTGGTATTTATTGTCTAGTGATATATTTTTATTACATAAAATAAAATTCGATCATAGATGCTGATGAATTTATTCATAGAGAAGTGATTGAAAAAAATCGTAATATAAATGTAAAGAATACTTTTCTTGTCCCATTATTTGAAGATGACTACATGGAATAAATGACTTGAAAATAAGCATTTTGATTAATACACATTTTGACATGAAAATCTGAATTATCATAGAAAACAGCTGGAAAATCATTCATCCTGTAGATTCTGTTCCATTTTTTACTTGACGAATGTTTCTTACTTTGTAGTAGATGTTCAAATATGATAAAATAATCTACCAGAGTGGCAGTATTTTGTTGCATAGATCAATTCAAATAGTTTAATAATTTCATAATACTTCTAATTATTTTTACATAAAATCAATAGCTAGAGCATCCTTTGCAACTACAAAGGAAACTTCTTACTATGAAAGAGAGTCACTAAGTGAACCTGCAATTCTAGCAAACATCTATGTTATTTAGATACTAAATGTCCAATTATCTAACGGATTTGTCACGAATATACAAGAATCAATTTTCTTTAGGGAAACTATGTATAACTCGTTTTCTATTGATGCTTGACAATCAAATAAAGTCATTTTTAAGTACATTAGTCAAAAAATGGTAAATGATTCAGCTGTAGATCAATGTCTTCGACATAATTATTTCTTCACTATTCGCATAATCAACTTTATTGCGTTCAAAAATTTCAATATGAAACAAATTGTAGAAATTTAAATGGTAACAAATCTGATTGACTCTTGGTTTTCGACATTGTAGAAAACTACTGAGATTGCCAAAATGCAACAATTAATTCAAGATATGAGCAAAGCACTCTAATGTTGCTTTATAATAATAAAAATGAGATGAATATTTCAATCTGTCCATTGTCAGATAACTTTCATATTTACAAATCTTGAATGAAATTTTGATAATTAGCTAGATAAGATGCTAATGGTTTCTATTTTACATAGTTAAAGTATACAATTAATTCTATCTTTTGTTTTAACAGTCAATAATAATCTTCCTTCAATGAAATTCATATAAAATCTTTGACATCAATTTATTGAATATTCGTTCTTATGGAATAAAACGCATCGGTTATGTAAGATTTTTGAGAAATAAATAATTATTCAACTGAAATATATTTATAGTTAAAGTGATTGAAGAGCTAGTCCAACTGTCTTGCTGAATCAGAGTGTTGTTACTCAATACAGTATATATACATTACATGAAAACATAACTATTTGATTGTCATAGCTCTTCATAAATAGCCTACTGGTTAAAAATACACAAAATTCAACATTTATTATTAAAAGTATCCAATTGAAACATGAAACGAAATTCTATTTTTTTTGTCTGTTCGACAAAATTCTTCCATTACATACAAACCATTAACATACTTCTTGCATACTCCGTGCGTCCAACCTTTTTTTTACCGTTTTTTCTCATCAACATCAGAAAAGTATTTTATTTACATATAGAGTGAAAAATTTTGTTTTGATTTTGCTGCTTCTCGAAGTTTCATTTTCCCGTCTTCTGATATATTGCAATCTTGCATCCAAAGTTTTTTCAACGATCTATTATGTTGTAACATATCAATGATAGCGTCAACACTTGCATCACTAATTGATTTATTTACATGAAGTGATAATATTAATAGATTTGAATTTTGATGGTTTACTGTATTAGCTAATAATCGTACACCACGATCACCTATTTGATTATTATTCATTCAAATATCACGAATCCAAATTTGAGCAGCAAAGATAACATCTGAATTTTGCCATCGATCTATTTGAAATATTATTGAACAGTTGACATAACAACTGTTATTCATAATATGGAACTGAACTAAGAAGCCATTCATTCAACATTGTGATTGCTTTTAACTCGAAGACTTCAGACATCACACTTTTGAAATAATGTACTTTTACAAATAGATTTTAATGGATCAAGTGATGACACGCCCCCGAAGTTTTGCAGAGAAACTGATTTTGTAATTTTGACTAGAAATATCTTCTAGGAATAGATCTTAATGAACATCGTTTATTGTCAAAATTCTGAATCTTTTGTTTTTCTTCTATTCTTTTGACGAGAACATAGAATCTACCAATTCATTCGAGTGATATAAAAATTAATCTACGAATTTGAGCTTTTTTTACGCCCTACCTAAATATGTTTGTCGAGTACTCTAGTAGTCTATCACTTTTTCAAGTTTAGTCTAGACTTCAATGAAAATGAAGTCAAGATTGATTATGTTATATATGCCCCATCAATTACCAGCCAATGCTAGCCATGTAATTGATCGATTTGTTTTTAACATTTCAGCCAAATGTTCAGCTCCTTTATCAGTAATGCCATTTGAACCGAGTTCAAGTGATTTAACAATTGACGTATTGGATGATAAAACTTTTGCTAATGAATGAACACCAAGATCTGATACACAATTATTATGAAAATTTAATTCTTCTAATGTTGTATTTTGTTTTAATGCATCGGCTACAATCGATGCACCTACTGACGTAATAGAATTATATCCAATATCCAGTCTTGTACATTCTTTTTCAGTTAATGCTTGTTTTACAACAGTTTTCAAATCACGATCAAGCAATTGTTGTTTTGATAAATCAACTGTTGTACGTGAATGACATTTTGAGATATTGATTTCAAGTTGAGGATTATGATAAGTAAATATATCTGAAATAAAATATCAAACTAATATTTTTAACAATTTATAATACTTTATTTTCTTACCCCCTTTAACATTAATTTTATCTGTCAAATGATTAATTTGAGTCTCGTGTTTAGTACAACGTTCATTGACAAGTATTATTTCATTTTTATCACGTTGAGTTTCAATTTGTCGATCACTTATTTGAGATGTATCTTGCATAATTAATTCTTTTAATTGTTTTACTTCGTTTCGTAATGCTTTTAGTTGATTTTTTTGTTGATACAATATTTTATTTAATTGTTCAACATTAGTATTTAAACGTTGATTAGTTTCTTGTAATTCTTTAAGATGTAATTGATGATTTTTAAGACATTGCTCAGACATATGTTGAATTTTTTCTTTTAAATGACGATTATCTTGCATTATTTCGCAAAGTACAGGACGAAGTTGTTCATAAGAACAAGTAAAAATGTGTTGTTTTAATTGTTCACTTGGTCCTGTCCATGGACATTTAATATCTGTAGCCATACAAAAAACAGCTGCTTTTAGACATGATTTTGTAGCGTGTTTTTCAAATAAACCACGTTGAATATTTGTCATACCACAACTAATACATTTAACAAGTAGACGATCCAGCATATTTAAAACTATACGTTCCGTAACTGGTGTTAAATCTTCTAAAACCATTGATTTATTGTTACATTTTGATTTTGCACAAGCTCCACCAGTCTTTTTAATTTTATTTTCAATACATACACTACAAAATGTATGTTTACATGGTGTAGAAACTGGCCCAACGAGTGGATTATTACAAAATTCACAATTAAGATCCTTATCAATGGACGTTTTGTCCATGTATTCAAAATTAGTAGTTGTACTTGGACTTGTGATTGCCATTTTCTTTAAGAATGAAAAAAAAGTTTATTCTACTTTTTTTCGAATTTCCTTCAAAAATATTCGAAATATATGTGATACGAAATGATTTCGAAATTATTATCGTATAACTAAAAGATCGATAAGGGAGAAAGTATAACTTAAACTTCTTCAACATGAATACAATTCATATTATTACAAATAGTCTTTATGGATGTTATTCAATTAATAATTCATATTTAACTGACAATCATAGCTGTATATACATATTACATTGATTTCTAGGATCTATTCAATGAATAATGCGCATATAAGTGTTTCAAATAGTGCTCTGGTGTTTATATTTGATCTCACTCAAAAGAACTTTATCAATAAGTTGGCTCAAGTAAATATTCTAATGTTTTATTATAGTAAAAATATTAAAAAAAAAGAGCTTTTTATGACAAACGTATGATTCCTGTTCAATCGACATTCTCTCAATAATAATTTGCTTTCAGTGTAGCAAAGAATTTCTTCCAGCTCATTGAAAAATCACTGATGACGGGACTTTCTCTTTAAACTATTTTAAGTGAATTATTACAGTAACCTATGAATTCTATTCAATAGTCAATATTTTTCTAGCAGAAAATCATGTTAAAACTATCCTTTGATCTGCTTTCAAGATATAATATAAACAAATAATTGCTTTGATAAGTGCTACTATGATACACTTCAGTGAAGTTATATTTTTTCAAATGCAGAGACGCTCTAATTTATCGTATTTTTCATTGCAAACAATTTTCTTCATAAAAGTAAATACGTCTCATCTATTGTGTCACATGAAATTTTAATTCAATCGTAATAAAATGTTCAAATAAAACTTGTTTACCGATTAAACCTTCATTTCTTTTTTTCTGTCAATCGAATTTGTTTATGTGTAGCAATTGTAACGTTTCGACCAATTGTACATATAGATATATTTATTTAGTTTTGAGACACATGTCGAACGTCGAGTTCGACATTAGAGATAATTCCATTTTACCTTGAATGTTTTAAAAAGAACGCTGCTAGGTTTTTTTAACCGACACGTTACTAAAAAGACAACGTGTGAGTAAAATGAAATTTATTCTTCGTTTTGATTCTAAAAAAAGTAATAATTTATGGCAAGATAATTAATTTTCATTCTAAAGTTATTTAAACTTCATATTTTTCTTTCATATGCATCACATTTATTCAATGAAATTAAAACTTCTCTCTTGCATGTCGGAAATTCGAAGTTTGAACTAGCTTTATCTTTTGTGCATTTCTTTTTTCTTTTGCCGCTTTTTATATTCAAATGTAAATAATAATAATAATAGAAGACGAAGAAGAAGTAGAATAAAACATGCAGACTCAACAACGTTATGTGTGCTTCTTTGAAAAGCACTGCATACAATGAAGCAAAATCTACTATTGAAAAATTACAAGACAATATACAACAAAAACAAATATAACTACGTCAATCATTTTGTAAATATATAATTTACATTTTGAGAACTACATTATTGTTTCTCTCAATGTAAACTTCATTCAGGGCGATTATTTTCAACATGACTGTAGATTAGTTTTGAATTCGAAAATATTTAAAAAATTTATCACAGTGACAAATATATATCCAACAATAAATATTATGCTCGCAAGCTAAAGTACTTTTGGTATTATTACCCAGGTCGAGCAATCATATTGTAAGATCTGATAAGATCTTGCATCTGATCTTATATGATCTTGCACGACCCTACGAAAATCTGACAAAAAATCGTAGCTCCTAAGATCGGCGATCAATTCGCACAATCAGATTTGTTATGTCTTCTTCTCGCTCACATTATTATACTCAGTTATCAGCGAGACAGCAACGTGATGGTATGACAACAGAACGGAACAAAAGGATAATCCCCCTTCGCATGGAATCGAACCNCTTATATGATCTTGCACGATCATACGAAAATCCGACAAAAAATCGTAGCTCCTAAGATCGGCGATCAATTCGCACAATCAGATTCTTGAAAGATCGTATTGTGTAAGATCTTTCAAGAATCTGATTGTGCGAATTGATCTCAGATCTCAGGAACTACGATTTTTTGTCAGATTCTTGTAAGATGTCGCCCGTATTCCAAGATCTTGTATGTGCTTCATAAGATCTTGTGTCAGATTTTTCGACCTGGGTAATGATAAATGATTATCTTGTGCTCAGATATCTATGATTGTTGTAAAAGAAGGACAAAAGGAAAAAATTGAACTAATGTGTTATCTGATCATAGAAAAAGTTAACAGCTATAGAAATTTCAATATGAAAAAGAAAGATTATTTAGGTAATTAAAAAATAGCAAGTTAAGTTTGCTATATTCAGATTTATGTCGATATGATCTTGAAAAAAGCTTTTAGGTTGAACATAGAATGAGGAAAGATAAAATTGGTTTACTACCACTTAAAATGTTTAAATTGTTACGGAAATAAACAAAGTTTATAAGAAAATTCAGCATTCTCTTGATATGTTGAGAATTTTCTGGTCTCTGATAGAAGATTATTAGCATTAACGAAGCTTTTCAAGAGTTTAAAATCATTTTATTCAAACGTTTTTTAGAAACCGAGACCTCAAAAGCGTAGACACAGAAGCAATGAGATAAGAGGAAAACGTTTTTAATTAAAACCACTGCCTGAATTTGATCTCGATTTTCAAAATCTTAGAAAAAATCCAAAGACATCGCCACCAAAGCTTTTGAACAATCTTGTGCTCTTGGATAAATTAATTCAAGCTGAATAGATTGATCTGTTCGAAATGATCTTTTGTATTTCTCATAGGTCATGACAATTTATTAGATTTTAGAAAAATAAAACTTTATTTAATTGGATTTCATAAAATGACTACTGAAATGTCTGCCATTTTTTTATATTGAATTAATACTAATAGTCATTTTTACTAATTTTATTTACATGATTCATGATCAGCTCATCAGTAATAAATCAACGCATGCATTACATTGTTTCCTATTCTATCTTGGCATAGTGAATTATGTTTATTTAAAATTTTATCAATCGAAATCTGTTATAAAACAGTTTCTAATTTCCGACATTGATTTTATTCTATGTGAATTGTAATCTCCATCGACTGCATGCCACTGTTCATACTGGGGTTCAGAAACAATGTATCAGATGTAATAGAAGATTTCGAGTCTTTTATTATTAAAATTTATTTCAGTACCAAATTATTCTAAACAACGACTCTCGTTGAAATATCTGTAAGTAATGAAGATTTCATATTAATAGTTATACTAAAACTACTAGGGTTTTTATAAGATATTTATTTATTTTAGCAGTTGATTTAATAAACTGTAATGAGCTTACATCATATGAATACAAAAAATTGATTCGATTCCGTACAGTTTTGTAAAACGACAGATCCAACATTGGAAATAATTTGTATTAGAGAGCAGAATAAAAGTAAATTACACAATTTTACCGCTCAGTTACGAAGTTCTATTATGATCTGATCGGCCGCTTTCAGTAGTTCTATCGACCTATTGTCATTTTATCAAATTCTTATTATTTAATCACAAAGAAATTTTTTCATCTTATGTCGTATGATAAAGAATTTCATTTTATATTTAAATGCTAATGAAAATAGCCTTTTTACATTTATATAATGAGACAACACAGAAAAAAAAACTTAATTTAATATTGTTCAACATCCTGTGTTATTGGTATCAATGGATTCATATAGTTATTATCAGTCGATGGCATTGCCATCGGTGGTTGCATCTGTAAATATGATGTTGGTTCTTGATTTGAATTATTATTTAAAGGATAATTGAATGGATACATGAATGGATAATGAGGTATCGATGATGATGGCGGCGACGGCGCTCCATATGAAAAATAATATGGCGATGATGATGGATAATAAAGATTTGTACTATGAGCCGTACTATCTGGTAGTGGAGGTGAAGATGACGACGAACATGGTATATTGGATGAGGTTATTGGAGCGTAAAAGGGTGATAAATCGAACAGTGATGTTGATGATGAAGGATAACCAAGGCCTAAAACAAAATACAAGTTTTTTTCCCAGTTAAATTTATTATAGATATTAGCATAAAAAACGTTGTTTGTGCAATGATAAATCACAAATTAGAAAATTCTCCTTATGATGAATAGACTTTTCTGTTTCTTAGTATTATTCGACAAAAATTTGATAGATCTCATATGAAACTGAAATATAAATTCGTATTAAATGCAAGTCTCAATCATAGTCCATAACACATTGCTGTAGATAGACCTAACAACGATGAATAGCTTTCCATTGATAAACAGACGATGAAAATTTATTTTTCTTTACTAGGATGAATTATAATGCAAATAGAACAAAAAATAAACAAAATTTCGTACCATTATTTAATGAAGATCTGCGTTGCGAATGAGTGTAACTATAAGGTGAGCATCTATATGATTGAAGTATAACTCGATCTGGTCCTCCTGATGATGACTCTTGTGAGCCAAAAATAGAGGTACGACCTGCTTGTTCATCGTCTGTTTCTCTGCAAAGCAAAAACACTATTTAGTTTTGAAAACATACTTAATTCAGCTAGATACCTTTTGAAAGTTTCTACATCAAGGAATGCTTTAGCAAATGGATTATGCCGGATTTTTAATGCTTTTACCTAAATCAAACCAAAAGCTTTTTGTAGAGATGATCTTTAAATAACAAGAATCTTACTTCTTCATTTTGATAAGCTGTCACAGCAATGAATTCAGTTTCATCGAAACTTATTTCATAGATTTTCGTTTTCGACATGATGTCAATAATAGAAATTCGCGGTCGATATTTATGGAGTGAATTGAGTAAAACCTTTTGAATAGAAAAACAAATAAATGTCCTGATGTACACTGTTTTTCCATGTTTACGTACCTGAGATGTTCCTATTTGATCTATTTTATTTGTTAATTTAACTTTAGGAAATGCTACTATATCCTTCATCCAAGTTCGACCATAATTCGGTGAATCAGGATGTTGGTAAGGTGAACGATGAATAGTTTCATCAGCTTTCATACCTGGTTGCCATTTGCAACTAGCATACCGCCAACGATGAGAGTCAAGTTGATCAAACGATAATTCTACGGTGTACATTTTATCTGGATCTAATCCACCAATATTTATTGATACAATTGGAAACATACGACGACCAGCTTTTGTAACTCTAGTATGTTTACATTGTAAAGAAAAAAGAAGTTTATTCGAACTAATCACTTACATCATTTCGTTAGTTATTTCATGAAATTGATTCCATAAATCTCGATTATGTAAATTAATACTGATATTTTCTTGATTGTAATACTGAATCTGTTCATACTGTAATGAAGAGTGTGTGAAGTTTTAAAAAAAAAGTAGTGGTAAAATTTAATCAACTTACCAGTCCGGAATATTGCATTTCGATATTTTTTTCAAGTCACACAATAGTGAGAGATATAAATTGTGAATTCTGCCAAATATATGTAACATTTATTTAACATTTTCTTCGATCGATTAACCAATGAAAATAGGTCATTCGTTTGCTTCTCTCCTTTTAATTAACACACAGTGAAGACCAATCAATGAACACGTTCTTTCCTCTTTCAAGAAAGAGAGAGAGAGAGGGGGGGGGGAAGAGGAAGTTAAACAATACCAGAATGACTAAGTTTTTATGAATCCGGCCTAGAGAAAATAGTAGGATCTGATCTCAAACATCTCGTAAATGACGAGATCGAATTTACAACATAAAGATTAATAGATTTACTTCATATTAATTAAATCATGATGAATTACAAAGAAAAATGTCGAATCGTCTGTATAATAATCTCTGAAAGTTAAGTATTTTAAATAGATTTTAAATAGAAATAGTTTGAACTCATCAAAAGAAAATTAAATTCTTTGATTTAATTAATATTTAGTCTCGTTTATTTTTTGTACATGAACGTTTTCAATCTTATTAGATCGACTTTTTAAAATAAATTTCAATTCATTATACATATTGTCGTAAACTGCTAGATTGTCGTTATCAGTCCATACCTGCGTCTAGTTTTCGAATATTCTACACCAAATTGAATTAATCTGTATACATACAAACTGTAATTTTTCTTGCTTTTCCCTACACAAATGGTGCACCGATCAATTATCGTTCTTCGTCTGACAAATGCAATTACACAAACACTTGTATCAACTACAGTGGTCGATATTGTTATTCGTCACACATATTAATTGGTCTGCCATTGATTTATGATCTCAATTGAAGATAGTAAAGCAAGCTGAGATTTTTTTTCCAATTTCTCTCATATCTACGTCAATTGGTCTATTGTAAATGTTTTCTTTTCATGAAGACTAGTATTTCAAATAAAAATTTGAAACTTAAATATATGAATTAATATTGTATTGGTTTGCTGAAAGAGTAAGTAAAAAAATGTGTTTCAAAATAGATATACTTTTGTTAGATGTATACTGGCACTTACAAAGATAGGAACCATTCAATTCTCATCTTATATTCACATCTTAAAACAATCACAGATATGTGCATATGCCATACTTTGAGCTAGTTTTAAAATATTAAACCAGAAAGCTTTCTTGTTGAAGTTTTTTGTTCGGTTAAAAAAATGGATACTATCATTTTAATTCGTAATAAAAATCATTGTAAAAATTATGTATGTGCCAGGAAAAACAAGAATATTTTCTCAGATCCAGCAATTTCCTCATATTGAATTTCTTTTCTGAGTTCCGTCTCAAAATAATGTTACTATTAGACGAGAAAGATTTGCAGTTGATGTAAATAAAATAAAATGTCATTCGAATCACTCTTTAATATTTCACATATAAATTAGTTTTTAAAAATGTTTTGTTGCTTGATAGTAACTGATTTGAAGAAAATCATTGCCGATAAAAGGTTTATGATAGAAACACATTCGGTTATTCTGCATATTGCAAACGTATTAAGCTATTTATTGTGTTAGTTTTTATAAAATAATCAAATAAGAAGAAAATCCACTTCAGTGTTTATTTGGGAAATTCCGTAATCATCAAAGTAAAAGAAGAAACCAAGCAGAGATTAGTTTACTGATAAAATGCATTTTGCTGAATGATATCATCCTCAAACCGTGGTCGATACTCAAAGTAATCCAATGAATCTTGCTAAACGTTTGTTAACAATCACAATTGAATCATTGTCTGGTCAATATGATTATCCTGCTAGAATTATTATGCATCAAGAAAGTGAAACGCCAACTCATGCTGATACAAGGTTTTTCGACATCAATTAGTGATGTACCATAACCATCGTGAACATTGGTTAATGAATATTATTGTCTTGTTGGCGATGTTACTCATGATGTCTTATCGATATGTAAAATTGATTTTTTAATCCAAATTTAGTAAAAAAAACACCATTTATGGTAGAATTTTCAACAGCAACATACAGACGACAATATTCTGATTCAGCTCGTAGTTCACGTAGTATTGCCATGAAAATTCATACAGATGAAGAAGAATATAATATATTTTCAGTTAACTTTCTTGAAATTTTAGTACGTGACCCAACTCAAGAACCAGTTGTCATTTGTTCACAACAACGTCATCTAAATAGTTTTCTTGTTCATTGAGATGAAGCATCGAAATTTATATTGGTTGTACTGCAAAATATGCTAGCTAATACTTTGTTTCGATTCGATCATTCCGCATATGTTGGTAAGAAAATATTTACATTGTAAAACTAGTATAACATAGCGTTTCTGATGCTGAAACCGTTCGACTGTTTGGTTAAGATCCAGATCATTCTATCTTGGTAAACATCATTTAGATAAAGGTGAATCATGTGACGTTAAATGGGAAATTCAATTTATGGATAAAAATAGAAAAGTTACTGATTTCGATCTGCTTGTTGAAACTAAAACATGATAAAAAGAACGATATTCATATGTTGAATTTGGATGTCAATTATGGTATTGAACCAAATAGGCATCGAAATTCATTTACTCAACCGCCACGTACTCGATCTGATGATTTTAATTTGTAATGAAAAAACTCAATTATAACAAGGATATTTAGCTCAAAAATCATATTGTTGCCACGAGAGTGAACTTCCTCTTGATGCTGAATATTTTCATGCACGTTGATTTTATTTATATGATTCAACTCAAGATGAATATACTCATTTTCATTAAAATATAACCCAACATATTTAGATCAGTATCAAAAACTGAAATAAAATTTTGATTCTTTGCTACATGTTATAAGATTCATTCAGTTTAAGTTAATGGTATTTTAAAATTATTTGATGAAATAATATTTGATCAAGTCGAATATGTTGCTAAAATAGCTCTAAGACAAACATACTGTTGATAATATATAGTCGTTGAATAATCGAATATAAATATGATGGGCCTTGGGCTGTGATCAAGACTTTTTCTTTGTCATGTAAGACTTGCATATAATATCATACCATCACGATTCGCGTATTCTATACGGGTATGGTCAAGAAAGTTTTTTGGAAACTACTAGCAGAGTGTACATCATGTGTAATACGATTTGATAAACATACACCAACAATCCTATCAGCAAACTCTAACTGTACTAGGTAAATATATTTCGTGGTGTTTTTTTAATTTTTTTTATAGATGCTGTATGAAAAGGAGGTGAAGACATAGGCCCTTCAATAGATATTATTCAATAATCTTTGTGTACTTAACAAAGTAGCAGCATCGGATTCCACATTCCAATACCAAACAGATCTTGTTAACAATATTTTTTTTTCTGTCTAGCGCAACAATAAAATGTGATTAATCTAGATGTAGACATTCGTCATAAGTGATTTTAATAACTAATCGGTGAAGATAAAATTAAATTGATAGTAACACGTTGAAACTAAGAATATAAAAATATGACTATGACTATGGTCATATTTCTTTAATGATAAGTTCTCGCAAGGGAAGATATGTTAAAACAAGCATAATCTCATGATATAGTTCCTAGTAATCGAATAAACCGAAGTAAAGAAAATGTTGAATATTTAATTTGTTTATTTCTTCTTATTTATTTAATTTCTTGTTGTTGTTGTTCTTTTTTGTTTTGTCTATGATCAATAACAACAAATATATATCGAGTGTGTATGATGTTATATAAAAACAAAAAACAATGCGGAGAAAGTAAGAAGATAGATATTTGTCGGTTTTCTACGAAGATTTCGTTGTTGTGGCTTTTTTTGTTGCTACAACTTGTTGTTTTTTAGTTGTTTTGGCCAAGTTAACGCCCGATAAACGTTTAGCTTTTACTGATGCATGAGTACGTGCTTTACGTGCGGCAACCTATAAACAGAAAATTTTCATAAGACACTAAATTTGAAAGAAAGCTATTTTACTTTTGATTCAATTGTTTTGCCTGTACGTCGTCCTTTCAGTTGTGTTAAAAGTGTTTGACGTTTTTGTACACCTGCATATGGATTGAGTCGTGACATTAAACCAATATTCTTCAATGGATTCTTCTTCACTTTACGACGTGCTTGACATTTTCTAATTTTATTTTCCGTTTATAAAATAAAATCACATAAACAAAACAAAACAAAACAAAACAAAACTACATACATTGGTGCGCGAAGTACACTCTGAATTTCAAATGCTTTAAGTAAACGTCCTAAATCACTATTGGTCATCATTGGTTGTGGAAGACTACAATAAATAAATGATTTTAAAATATTTATAGATAGTGTTTTTATAGTTTGCTAAAAATGATACGAATATATACACATTTTTTTGTGATATCTCCGGAAAATGTAGAATCCCTTCGCTATAGCCTGATAAGTGAATCAATGAGACAAAACGAGAAAACATCGATGTAATCTCTTACTTGAAATCAACTTTAAGTTGAGATTTTTTACTCCATGTACCATAAAGTGCATCGAGTTTTTTAAAGGCTGATTCAGTCCAAATGAGAAATCGACCAAGATGACCACCTGGTGCCAAACGAAGCAAATTCAATCGTTCAACACTTAACAAGGATACTCCTAAAATGAATCATACCTATTTATGTTGTTTTCAATTTTTAACAGATGTTCAACAACTCGACCAACTATCAAGTACAAAACAAAATTAGATGCACAAAAAAACCTATTATCCTATTCTTTCACCATCCAGGCTTTTTAAGCAAAACAAAAGTATTCATGCAGATTTTAATCTCTATTTTAGATACAATTGAAATTTTCGGGAAAAAATTTAATAACTTTTGTCGTTAATCAATCAGTAAATAGCTATCAAGAAAATGATTCATTTTTCTCTTGCGTGTTTTCACGGAATACATCGATGTATCTGGTCTCCATCTCCGAGTTAAATAATTTTCCTCGGATTAATAAAAAATTTCAGAATTGAAATTTATTTGTTCAAAATGAAGAAGAAATATTTCATGAAAAAAAGAAATACTTCCGAAGACGTGAACAATCATTTTTATATACCTCTCAGTTTTTTGGAGATACACTTTATAAATCAAGATGTTCTCCAAAGATAAAAGGATAATATTATATTATCGAGAAAAAATATTCTTACCTGGGATGTTACGAAAAGCTTTTTTGACACCATTATCCTTATCATAAATAATAACTGGACCACGTTTCATTACTGTTCGTCGATTACGCATTTTTCCTTTTCCAGCGCGTGTATGTTTCGATGCATAAACTTTGAGAATATCAGACCATGCACCAACTTTACGTAGAACGGCTACAGCTTCTTTAGTTTTCTTTAAATCTTGAAATTTATCCGATACAACTAGAGGAATTTCTGGTACAGTTTCAATGCTATGACCTATATAAGTTATAGAATATGAGAAAAAATATACAGCTGTTTCTCAAATGTACCTCTAGCTAAAACAAGCGATGGAACACCAGATGCAGCGATAGCACTAACAAGTGCATAACGTCGTTGTTTTAAATTAATTTTTCTATGCCATTTACGCCATACTTTTAATGGTGCATACATTCGACCACCACGGCACATATTACCGAAAGCACCTTGACCTGATCGGTGTGTACCACCACCACGCACACGTGGAATACGAGCTACAGCACGGCCAGTACCCCAAGATTCAGCTGACGTTTGTTCACCTAACAACAAAAAGAAAAAAGGAACCCGCATAGAAATGCTATTTTACTATTTGAAAAGAAAATCCTACCAGCGTTACTACTGACAGCGTGTGCTTGTCGTTTATTACGTCTCATTTGATCATGAACAAAGCTAACAATATCAGTACGAATTGGAGCTCGAAAAACAGCTGGTAAAACGACTGATCTTCCGGTTGATTGCCCTTTTTCATCGTACACACTCACAAGAGGTCGCGAAGCGGCCTATAATTAGATTGACGTAAATTAAAGAAACAGATTTTTAAAGAAAAAATTGGACAAACCATTTTAGCGAGTCTTAATTGATTTTAAGTTAAATTCGAAAGCGACTGGATACTGACGATTGCTATTGACCCCCACTGAAAAAAAAGATGGACTCTTATGAGTAAACATTGGATTCGATGGTTAAAATTGATTCTGAAGAATAATTCTAATTAAATAACATTGCATTAAAAATTTTTGTTGTAAATTCATCAAATTCATCATAAATGCATTACTAATTTACTATTGAAGGCAATGTTCATGATGTCAGTAGCTGATTGATTTGACCAATCCGAGATAAATCAACGAGCCATTGACAACGACAGTATACAGTGTTTCTAACAGCAAGAGTCCGCCTTTGTTACAAAGAGTCAAAGAACCTTGCAATATTGATTTGACACTTTGTTTTACACTTTGCTCATGAAAACAAAGTGTCAAGTTGATACTTGCTGAAATTTTTTTACACTTTCCTTTTTATTATATGTAACCTTAGAACTCCCTAATTATATTTACTCGAAATATTCTTCGTATACTGACATCTTCAAATTAATTGGTTCATTCATTAAAGCATTTCTCAATTTATCACAATTGTAGCTATTGTTATTGTTATTTGAATTTATTTATTGTTGTTATTATCATTTGAATCCATTTAGTGTTGTTTTTGTTATTGAACTTTATTTATTATCATTTTAATTACCATTTTAATTCATTTATTGTTGTTGCTACTATTGTTATTTATTTATTATTATTATTACCATTTGAATTCATCTATTGTTTTTACTATTATTGCCATTTATTTATTTATTTTCGCTATTGTTGTGATCGAATAATCTCTACGTGTTTCTCAACAATTTATGCATATTAATTGCTCGTGTTATTTATTTTTAAAAATAGAAATCACAAGTAAAGCTGTTTTTTTATATCTTCTAAGACTTGCCACCACTTTCTTTTTAGAGCAGATGAACAAAAAACAAATAGAATTAATTGAACTTTGGATTAGAAGTCCAAAACCACCAACGAACGTTTTATCACCACGTGAAAATCAACAACAAATTCGTTCTCCATCATCATATACACCCGACTCTATTCCTTCATGTATATTTGACGAACCAGGAAATGAAATTGAAATTATTGCCAGTGAATCTTCATGTTCATCATCAAACGTTGCTGATATTCAACACGTGTCTTCTTCCATTGAATACGAAACTTCTAACAAGTCAAATTTAAACAAAAATCAAGTACTAAAACTGGCCGTAATTATCTTCCCGATTGGGAAAGCAACCAGATACTATGTACAAAATTTATTCATAGGATTCTCTCTTTTAATGTAATTTTAATCATTTATACCTTGGAAACTTTGTGACACTTTGTTTAAAAAAACAAAATGTCACTTTACACTGTAATGGCAAAAGTAAAACGTCATTTGACTTTTTGTTTTAGATTCCTATTAGAAACGCTGACAGTATATTTATCTTATGCTCAAACGAGAATGTTAGAGATTTTTTTTATAGATTCAGCGATATGCCTCGAAACAGAACAACTTAAAAAAGCTACTGTAGTTTGTCTTTAGCTGTATTTTTCATGAGAATTGAAAATTTTATACAAATACAAATCAAGTAAAAGCAGAAGTCTTCTAGATAGATTAGTTTTTGTTCTATATTTGAAGATTTATATAATTGCATAATTAAACCTCATGATAGCTAACTTAGTTATTTTATTATAATTTCAGATCTCTAGAGTGTCATAATTGCTAAATGAAATTTAAAAATTATAAATTTCGTGTAGTGTCAAAAAATTCAAATTATGACGTTGCAATTTGTTGGAATCACTATGAAAGAAACATTTTAATTATTATTAGCTGATTTTTATTTTTAGATCAGCATCTCACTTGATATTAATTGGAGCATCAATCAAAACATTTAATTTTGATGTAACCCATTCTTTTATCGGTATTCGAGTACCAACTCGACTTTCGATATAATCAATTTTTTGACACAACAACTAGTAATGAACTTTTTTTTTTATAAAGTCCAAATTAATTATAATATTATGTTCTGCTTTTCAAAAGGAAACGCCATTTATTATGTATGCAATTTCCAAAATACACCCTTCACAATTGGCAGTGTCGTTCGAAACACTTTATATTGGATACTTCCTGTTGTTTTCCTATTCAATTTTAAATAAATAGAAATAATATGGCTTAAATCTTTTATTGTTTGTATTTTGTTTCAGATTTTCCAAATCATTAATAGAAAAAATTCTGTTGTAGGTTGTATGTCGCTTGGTGTCCAAGCAAGATGAGAGAAGACGATAGAAGATTGCATGTATTCTTAATTGCTACTATGATATTGAGTAGCCCGAAGTACGCCAATATGACTTTCGCCAATCGGTCTTTCGCCATTGGCGAAAGTCAGGTGGACATTCGCCAATACTGGCGAAACTTCCTCACATTCTCAGTTATTAGAGCAGATGATATTTATATATAATATGGACTCTTCCCTATTCTAATACAACTTCTATTATGTTCTTGCCGAACATACACCAACTTTTGATTCATAGTTGAATGGTTCAACACCTGTCGTTATTATAGTGAATGTCCCTCATACATTCGCCAATATTGACGAAGTTCGGCGATCCCATGACATTCTTCTCGACGATCATACTGTTCAGTTGATATAAAAACAATAGCTAATTTATTTATTTATCTAGAAACATCATCAAGCGAAAAACACGTCAAACGCTTATAAACTTTTCTACCGATGTTTGTAGTCTGAATTGAGGTTTGTGTAGGATTTGCCCCGCATAGTATGCCAGATGTGCAGGATGATCATTTATGAATGTTTACCAATGTTGAATATAATAAGTACATGTGAAAATAAATGATATCTATCTTTTATTATTATATTGGTGATACTAATTCGAGAATAGAAGTCATTCATATGAAATTTCAAACCATTTCCTCGAAGAAATAAAATACTTATGAAATATCTTCATGGGACTCATTTAGTAGGTTTAGTTTTGAGTCAGTCATAGGTGTAGTTAATAATTTATAAACCAGTATAGTTTATTTTTTACGAATTCATTTCACTTCGGAAATGTAGACTACGTCACAATGACGTATTCACCTCGAATGATGATAGATCAAGTTGATTTTTAATATTTACGTTATACTTTTATTGTTATAAAATAATAGAAATCTAATTGTAATGAATAAGTTTTGTAAAATGATTCATTTTGAGAAACTATATAAATATCAACACTCAATATTACCCAGGTCGAGCAATCCGACAGTAGGCACCTATCGGAATCCATCCGATCCGACTGGAATCCAATAGGATTTTATCGAATCCTGCCCGATTTTACAGAGTTATCGTTGGATTCCGGGTCGAGGAATCGATGTCGGGTCCACGGTGTCGGATTCCTATGAATTCCAAGGAAAAACCGTTGTATGTCATCGGAAGTTCATAGGATTCCCGACACTGAGGATCCGACATCGATTCTTCGACCCGGAATCCAATAGAATTGTATCGGATTGTAGGATATTTCCAGGTTCCTATCGGATCCTATGTCGGATCAGTCGGCCTGGGTAGCTCTAACAAAGATTTCATCATTAAGATCGTCTTATTCTATAAGTCTATATCAAAAATAAAATAACGCTAGATTACCGACTTTGTATTTTATTCAATAAGAAAAACACAAATTTCTGATCTGATTTCAAGAACTTTTTAAGAGCTGTTCCAACATAAGAATATGTTTACATGAGCATATACTATGTATCAATTTAATTAAAATCAGAAAAATCAACCCGTATAACTGAATAAAATAAAACGTCGATTCTCAACTCGTCTTTCTAAATAGTAACATATTGAAAACGAGTTTAGTTTTTTTTCGAATTTTTTAGCTGCTTAAAAATTGTACACACAGTTCGGTAACCGACTAAATCTACTGTTTTTTTATTCATGCATCAAACGGTGATAACGGGTAAATAGAAGAAACTCAACTTTCATTATAACTGTCATCCTAAACATTAAAATAATTTTTTTTTCAAATAATATACTACAATATTTTCTGTTAGTCTTCTACCTGTATGTTCGACACTTAAATCTAAAATAACTATTTAAAAATATTTTTAGATGCATCCAGTACGTGGCACAGTTCAACCGTATGCATGGGGTATGATAGGTTGCTCGTCAATTGTTGCTCAACTTGCTTCAAAATCTTCTTCAATTGTATCTACTCAACCGTATGCTGAATATTGGATGGGAACACATCCAAAGAGTGAATCATATTTAATTGATAATAATCAAATTAGTTTAAAATCATATTTAAATGTTGATTTACCATTTTTATTTAAAATATTAAGTGTTGAGACAGCATTAAGTATCCAAACACATCCCAATAGAGACCAAGCAAAAATCTTACATAAACAAAATCCAAAACAATATCCTGATGATAATCATAAACCTGAAATGGCTATTGCATTAACTAAATTTGAATGTTTATGTGCATTTCGTCCTTATAAAGAAATAAATGAATTTATACAAAAATATGAACAGTTACAAATATTATGCAATAAAAATCTATCAGATCAATTTTCAAATGCTATAAATTTAAATGTTGACCTTTCTATTCAACAATCATTACTTAAACAACTCTATTCGAATTTGATGCAATCATCACCTGTAGTCATATCACAATGTGTTGCTGTTCATCTACAATTGATTTCATCAACAACAGATTCTAACGTTGAACTTTCCCGCTTATTTGAACGTCTCAATAGCCAATATCCCGGCGGTGATGTTGGTTTATTTTCAATATACTTTTTTAATTATATTACATTAAATCCTGGTGAAGCTATTCTTCTTAAAGCTAATATACCACATGCTTATTTACATGGACAATGTATTGAATGTATGGCATGTTCGGATAATGTTGTACGAGCTGGTTTAACACCAAAATTTAAAGATATTGCAACATTAATTGACATGCTTGATTATCAACCATTAACTATTGATCAAACGAAATTTTCAGGAGAGAAAATTTCAGAAAATATAATTCAATATGACCCAAGAGAAATATCAAATATTGATGATTTTATTGTGCAAGAAATCAAAGGAAACAATGGCGTCATTAATGCAATTGATAAACCAAGTTTAATGGTTATTATTCAAGGACAAGGGACAATGAATGAAGGAAAAGTTCCGTTTGACGAAGCCAGTGTATTCTTAATAGAAAAGCAGACATCGATTGATTTTAAAGCAAATAATAATATTTTAGCTTATCGCGCTTATTCACTTATCTAATAAAATAATCTCTTTTAATAGTAGTGTCATTTAGTTAGGATAGTAGATTTTAAAATTTTAGATGTCGTTAACATTGCTACTTATATGTCGTCGGCCAATAAGACTATCACTTGTAAGTGTTGATAAATGAAATAGGGAACACAGTTCAATTTCATCTTTCTTTTGTTTTGGACCATAATATTTATGAATCGAAAAATAAAACTGTGTTGTGTATGTTTCATTTTATAGTTGAAAATTATGTTTTTTTGGCTGCTTGAACGGTAGTAGTAAGACATGACTAACGTAACTCTGCATTTCATTTCGCCAGTACTGTCACGAATAAAAAGGAGTATCAGTTTTAATAATTCTCTGCGCGGACAAAACACAAACTTATGCGCCCCAGTAGTTAGTAACTCGTCAATATAGCGAATGTCTGGTCTATTCTTTGATCCGAGGCTTTCTTCATGGGTTGTTTTATTTTAAGCACAAATTTTAATATGAACCACTTAATTACTATATGTTGTCCATATCAGTTATGATTTTTGTTTAGTTACGCCCGTTTAATGTCTCTCGTAATCTGTTCATCGCTGAATCGTCAACATTGAAATCAAAATATGGTCCATTGAAACATCCAACGTCATCATTTGAAAATCCATTTCAAGAGCCAACTGATGAAAAATCTCGTCGTCTTAAACTACAAGAACATATTCGTTTTCGAGAAAAATTTCAATTGGAACAGGATTATAAATTAATATATGCTATGCCACGACAACGAATGTTTAGTTTAATGCATTTATTATGTACATTTGCTAGTGTAGCCATGCTAACGTTTGTTACAATTCATTTTCATCGTGAAATGCTTGACATGGAACCATTACTTGATAGTATCAATAAAAATGTACCACCATGGATTTTATACTCTATTGCAACAGTAATTGGTTCAACTTTTGGATTAGGTTTGAATAATTATTTTATTTTATTCTATTCTATTTTACTTTTCAATCTTGAATAAATTGTTTTTATTTTAAGTATTAATTCTTATCTCCCGAATACCAGTTAGATTGTATTATTCACCTGTTCGTCATTCGTATGCTTTATTTTATCATCCAATCATAGGCGTGCTTCGTAAAAAGAAAATTTTATTTCGAAATGATCAATATAAATTGATTCCACAAAAATCAGATAGTATTGAATCTGCACAACGATCTATTAAAATTGGTTTGGAATTCGGTGATGGTTTATTAAGGATGAAGAAAAAGTTTTATTTAATTGAAACTCTATTTCGTTCAAGACGTGATATTTACAGAATTAAAATGAATAATATTAAAGATGATGAAACACTAAATAACATGAAAGATAGAGAACAAAATTCAACACAAGAAGAAACTGATATTTGGGAGACAGTTGTTGAGAAAAAAGGTCAATATTTTGATAAACAAAAATTATCACAAAGAAGGACTTTTATGTAATAATAAAAACTGTTTTCTTTTTTTTGTTCAAGAATAAAATTCAGTTTAAAAAATCTTGTTTTATCATGATAAAATATATTAATTCAAATCATCATCATCTTTAAACCAGCTTCATATTATATAAAATATCATCTATTAAAGTCGAGATGGATTTTTAATATATTTTATTAAAATTTGAAGACTCTGAATATATCTTTATTTTGATTTTATTAGTTTTTCAGCATCAGATCAAATTACTATGATAGATAATTGAAAAGTTAGACTGAACAAACATGAGTTTTTGAAATCGTGAAAATTTATATTTATTCTTTGATCGAATCTCGTTCGTTTGATTATATTCTATTGATCATATTTCATAGAGGAATCCTTTTTTTTATTATGGATTACAAGTGTCAACAATTATATTTATTTTATGTTCAAAAAATTCAAGTATTCATTGACCCAAACGATTTGTGTTTTTATAGATCTCAGTAGGATGTGAGTGAATACGAATTTCGCTAGAAATAATATCGATTGTTACATTCACTGCAGCTCATGTACCAAACGCCTACATTCTGTTTAATAATTCAATGCATTGGTTCGTGGGAAGTTTCGTCGATAGTCACCAAGTGAAACGTTTTGTACTGTACACTAACTTCAAGTATACGTCAAAGATTTTCTGTAGAAATTATTTATTTTAAGTGAGAATAAAAAATGCACCATCATCATTTTATCTTGACTCTTTCTTATCTTGACTTGTTGGGCAATAAAATTTAAATATTTAATGGTATATCTATGAGTGAGTGTCACTGATACACGGCGAAGTATTTGGCTTTTTTATTCTAAAAAACGTTTATTTAAAATAGGCTCACACTGTGATACTCACAATAGAAGATAGTGGTAGGACTGGAATAGATAAGAATATTCTGAGAATACGCCCAATAGAGGCTCTGAATACACTCAAATACAAAGCTTTCATTTTTCTCTCGATATCTTTTAACCCAATATTAAACAAAAACAAAGAAAACATGTTTCAATGCTTGAATCTCTATGCCATGAGTCATTTATAATTATTTCATAAAAAAAGAATTCCCATAACTATAGAACAATAACATTGATTTATCAGAAAACGCTTGTTTTTGAAGGGTAATTTCTCATTTACAAACTACAAACTGGTTTCTTCTAAATATTTTGTCAACAATCTTTGATGTACTAATTATTTAAATTTTACCATGAGCTGGAATAAATTCATTGCAAAATAAATAAAAAACTTTGTCATCCTTCTTTAACTAAAAAAAGCAATCTTTTTTTGTGACAAATTAGAAGAAAAATATCTCTGAAATTCATTAGTTTATTTTGATGTAAGATTTTCCATCGATCTAAAGTAATATTAACTTTAATCTTCAACTTGTTTTTCTAAGTTAGAAGCATTTTTTCTGTACAATAAAATGTTCTAAAAAAGCTCGAATCAAGTAAGCAGATAAAAGCCAACAGGGCTCTTTTTTATATGTTTTTATTAGATGACTATGATAAGATGACAAATGCCCTTATACATGTACTATGCGTTGTTCTCAGCGAAAAACACACGAGATAAGATTAACTTGCGAATATAAAATGCCTTGCATTCTATCGATGAAAATTAAGATGCATGAATAGTAGATATATTGTCGCGGAGCATTTTTGACAATGATACTAATAAAAAATTTTTAGAGTACAACAATCTTGTAATATTTTGTTTTCAGCTAGCGCGCAATTATGACAAAATGTTGCGATCATTAGACTACTTTGATTCACAAAGATACGAGTACTAAATTTAATATAATCGCTTGTTTTCATAGCTTCGACTGTTTTAATATTAGTATTGATTCTCAGAAATACTATACAATAGTTACTTTTAGATATAAATCAAGTTGAAACTATATCGAAAGTCATTCTTATACTATTTTTGTGATTATTCAAGTACGAGTCTCATCCGACCCGATGCATTTTTTAAAATGTCTTTATTACTTGAGTTCTTTTAGATATAAATGTAGTTCAGTACCGTTATTGATTTGGAATGAATTGAACAATCTATAAAATAATCGATCGTCCCTTCCGCTCAGTTATTTTTCTTCTTCGATAAAAAATATCGTATTCACAACTCTCTATCTGCATAGCGCAAACCTTTTTATTTGTCGATTCTTCAGAAAGTTTTGTACAATGATGCAGGTCAGAGAAATTTATTTAAGAAAACCAAAAAAGTACTAATTAAAAGAGAAAAAATTAAAATAGCATTTGTAAAGCAAAGTTAAAACGAGAGAAATTATAGAAAATAGATAGAGTTTGCAAGCGAATGAGGTCTCTCTTCGTATCATAGATGATTATGTATGAGTCATTCTTCACCATGCAACTATTCGCTTTTCACGAAGAGTTTTGTTTATCTGCGTCAACGTAGAAAGTATATTAAGCAATGGTATTGTTTATTCTGATTGAAAAATATTCTTAAAATATATCATTTTTCAATAATTATTATTAATGTATCTTAGACTATAGATGAGTAATGCACAGATAGTTCATAAGAACAATGCAATAGATTGAATAGAATCGAAATCGATAGTCTTTGTTGAGGAAAAAAAACGTTGGTTTATCTCTATTGAAGACTTGAAATGAAACATAGCTGTTTAATTTGAATACATGTAGATAACCTCCTGATATGTCGACGACAATTACTTGGGACTTAACCAGATCTGAAGCGTCTGAAAACCGAGAAGATTTTCAATTGATTTGGTTTGGTTCCAAAAGTTACGATACACCATCTAGTCATCTCATTCATAATATGCTATTGGATCTCAATCCCACGGCCCAATTTTATAGTGATGTGTCACTATGTGAGAATTTTATTAAAACTACAAAAAATGAAACACTCATATTGATTATGTCTGATGAGTATGCTAACGATTATTTGAAGAGAATGGCTACAGTACGCGCTGTTCGTGCTGTATTCGTCTATAGTAGAAAGGAATCAAATGATAGGGATTATCGAGCACAACATTCAAAGGTTATTAACATATTCACTAGTAAACATCAATTGATCAAGTCAATAAAAATGACTATACGGCTGTTGGAAAAGCAAACATGTGCATTTAGTTTATTTAAGCAAAACCAAAAAACAGCAAAAGATTTATCACGAGAATCTGCTTCTTTCATATGGCATCAACTACTCATACATGTTCTTCGGCAGATGATGGACGATGAACACGCAAAAATTGATATGTTAAACAAATGTACTGACTATTATCGATTTAACAAAACGGAACGTAAAAATATTGAAAGATTTCGACTTACTTATTGTCCGGAAAATGCAATTCGTTGGTACACAGAAGATTCTTTCGTTTACAAACTACTGAATAAAGCTCTTCGTACAGAGAATATTGAATTGATTTATGCATTTCGATACTTTATTATTGATTTATGTGCCGAATTAGAACATCGAAGACTTAAGCTGAATGAAAATGAAACTTTATTACTTTATCGTGGTCAACAAATACCTAATGAAGAATTTGAGAAATTGCAGAAAAACGTTGGCAAATTGATATCACCTAATGGATTTTTATCTACGTCACGAGATAAGAGAATCTCAGTGACCTATGCTGGAAAAATTTTGAATCAGATGACCGCTGTTCTATTCGAAATTGAAGTTGATTCTTCATCTCAATCAGTCATATGTGCTGACATTGAGAATCAGACCGTCTTTCCACAGGAACGCGAAGTCCTATTTTCGGTTGGGTCTACATTTAAAATCGATTCGATCGAGTTTGATAAAGATATGTCCTTGCATGTAATGCGACTTAAAAGTGTTGACGCTTCGGAACGCGTTGAAGAATATTTGAAATTGGCAACGGATGAAATGAAAGATACAAGTCCCATGCTATATTTCGGTAGCCTTCTTCTTCATGAGCTTGGACAAATTGAACATGCCAAAAAATATTTTAAAGTTTTACTAAAAACACTACCATCTGATCATCCAGATATTGCTGGTTTATATACGGGACTAGGACATGTATGTATGAAAAAAGGTGAACATCAACTGGCGTTAGAGAAATATATGAAAGCGTATGAAATACGTCGCGATAAACTCTCCATTCTAAATCCTCGTATTGCTGCGTCATTACGCAATATTGCTCATGCACATAGATCAATGGGTAAAAATGATCAAGCTCTTGAATTCCTTCGAGAAGCAAGATATATTAACGATAGAAACTATTCGAATGATCATCTGGACGTAGCGATGACACTGGAAGATACCGGTTTAAATTATCAAGATAAAAACGATTTTTCAACGGCTCTTATCTGGTTTAAAGATGCTTTAGAAACCTTGAAACGTGTGCTACCTTCAGAACATCCCCAAATTGCTCAATGTTTAGGACGCATAGGTAATCTATATAAATGTATGCGTCAACATGATTATGCATTAAAGTATCTTTGTCAAGAACTAGAGATGGATGAATTTTGCTTGCCGTTAGATCACGTCGATGTTATCAATGATTTAACACGCATAGTAGAGATATACAAGTTAATAGGTGCGTATGATCAAGGATTACAGTTTTGTCAAGCAAAATTAGCTACATATACAGATATATTGGGTGAAAGTCATCCACGTTCTGTTAATACACTTTTAAACATTGCCAGTTTGCATTTAATGAACAATCAACTTGATGACGCATTGAATGTATGCAAACATACTTTATCAATAGCAAAAAATGTTGTTCCGATGGACACGCATAGTGCAATTGAATGTCTGAAATACATGAGTAATATATATCAAATAAAAGAAGATTTATATCAGTGCCTTGATTGCCATCAGCACCAGCTTGAATTAGAAAAAACAATTTATTCTTCCAAACATTGTAACATAGGATGGACTCTTATGTGCATAGGAGATGTATATTATAAATTAGGCTACTACATAGCATCATTGACTACCTTGAAAGAAGCCATGGCCATTTACGAGGAAATGTCTCCACGAAATGACGATAATCTTCATGCTATTGAACAAAAGATTAACTTAGCAAAACGAAAACAATCTTTTCAAACGAAACCTCTCGAATGGAAACCAGCAAAACGCACACCAAGACATAGATTAAAATCAAGATCTCAATCTACCAGTAATTCCAGATCATCTTCTGGCTTTCGTTCAAGTGATTAGATTCGTTGATAATAACGACACAATCTATCTTCATCTTCTATCGATTCAATGATACAAGAACGTTTGGTACATCTAAGGCTAGATACTCGGATATCATGAAAGATCGTAACTGTGTACTCGCTCTCTCTCTTTTACTGGCTTTTTTTTATCTCGTTGATTAGATTGTGTTCTTTGTAAAAGTAAACACTACTGAAAGTAATGGAGCCCTCTAGTGAATATACATGTGTCAATTATGGTAGTAACGCTACATCTCCAGTTTATTGATGCTGATTATAAATAAAGTATAAACAACAAAAGTAACAAAATAAATAAACAGATCAGTCATCCATTCGTTCTCTTATAAAGAGTTTCAAACAATATCAAATTTAGAAAAAGTAAGCAATCATTTGTAGAACATTATCAAAATAATTATGACAGCGGGCTAGCGAGATTTTTCATTGGAAAATAAATTTAAAATTTACTTTTATAAACTAAGAATATTATAGTAGAGATTAGAAACAGATGAATTTCTATACAGGGGTCTAGGTTGTGATTTACATATACGTGTCTCTTCATCAACAACCATATAATAAATCTTATAGCTAATATTTGATTTCTCATCTTAGTTTTTTCTGCATTCTTGATACTGTATTATCACTAGTAAAGTATAACGAATCACGAATTACATATTTCTTTGTTTACATCTGCTAAAATAATTGTTAGAAAAAAAAGCATATTTATTCAGTGTTAAGATATAATCAGGTTATTGTTGCAATTTAGAGCGTTACATACTTGCAAGGAACAAAACAGTAGGTAAAGTTCATCAAAACCACTATTATGCAGTCGTTGATGAGTCTTGTTATCAAAATGAAAATATTTCAGATAGTAGACTGAACAAAAATATCTTCTGAGAAAAATTAATTGCAGAAATTTCTATATGCTGTCTTATCATTTTTCAAATGAACAGTCTTTTTATTGATTTATTCTTTCATAGGTTTAGTATAATTTTATATTTTCGTCCAATTTGATCAATATCACGATATGATCATATTCTGTACTAACAGACAAAGATATATTTATATTCAAACTTTACAAAGTAAAAATTTAATGACTGAAATGATACCAGATGTGAACTATTGCTTGAAGAGTAGACGTACTCTTATAGTTGAAAAAATTTCTAAATGATCATTTTTTCTTCGTGCTTCAATCTGTTGTTTATTGGAATGCCAAGCATGTGATTTGAAAATTATAGGTAATTCATCTTGAAGTCGCCTCTCTTTTTATGAAAAATTATTAAGGTTTAAAACAAAAATCTGCAAAAGAATAATGAAAGTTGAGTCCAATCAATAGAGAAGAAACCAGTGATTGTAATACGTGAAAGTCAACCAATAAGTAATTGTCCAACATTCACCATTGACATAATAATTAAATAGAATGCACATGAATTTTGCCGCAATGTTTGAAGACTAGGAACAGGGGTGCAGAATCTGCCGAAAAAATACAAAACTTCCCCACACGGAAATTTTCTTTTCGGGAAATTTCCCCCACTATAAAATTGAATAATAAAGCAAGGAATTCTCGTTTCAGATGTAGGTACATCCTTAAAAAATTGTCAATAGTCTATGACTTGTTCTTTCATAATTCTTGCCATTGATGTTCTAAGTTTCTCAAAAACCTATCGACTGTCTACATATAACAGAAGCAGCTTATATACTTCATGTAAAGATTACAGAAAAAAATTGAATTTATCTATATGTACCAACAGGTGCTTCATATAACTCTTGTAGATTTAGCGTATCAACAAATCTAACACCACCTAAACTGCTTCGAATAAAAA